CTTTTTCAAAGTCTAGTGAACCCGTGAAGATCCGGGGTAGAATAGGTCTTCAGCTACCCATGCTTGCCGTAAAAAGCGACTATGCTTGTCGTAAAAGGCGACTAACGGGATCGGGTGGTCAGGATCGCTGACTTGGTTGATGCATGTCATCAACCAATTACGTGGATCGATGCTCATGATATCAATCACTGGATTATTTACAGCCCGCCGTCATATAGCTGGAATATTGCTGAGTGCGGCGTTAAACAACAAACCAACCAACCAACCAAATCAAAGTCGAGCGTGAAATGCTTGGTCGTTTTTATTATATGATGGCTTATAAAGGATGGACAAGGGGTAAAATGCACGCAGTTTTGCATGTGATTTGCGCTGCACAATTTATAGACCGTGAAACACAGATAAGAGTTCACAAGTTGTTCCATCTGGAGCTACCACAGATTATTACATACATTATAACAAAAATTAAAATGAGGCCAGATGAATGTTAGTTTGAACTGAATCATTTGCATTCATCATGGAATCCCCCTGTAGTCTATATTGTACAGAAACACACCTGCAGTTTTCAACTGATCCTAACTCGTCAATAGTGGGGGCTGTCGGGTAGCTAAGTGGTTAAAACGTTCGCTCGTCACGCAGAGAACCCGGGTTCGATTCCCGACATGGGTACAATGTGTGAAGCCCATTTCTGTTGTCCCCCGCCGTGATATTGCTGGAATATTGCTAAAAGCGGCGTAAAACCATACTCACTCACTCACTCATTCGTCAATAGTGTGATGGTCCTCGAATAGTTGCGAATGTTAGTCATACTTGTTTGTGATCCTTGGGAAGTGTAGGCAGAAAGGCACCCGTGCACTCACCAGCGAGAGAAAGGGATGTACTAACGGGAAGAACTTCCTGTGTATCACTGGCTATGCGAAGTATTTAATAAACGCACACAAAGAACGGTTTGGCAACAGAACAATATATTGAAGCCCATGAAACATTAATTCATCATACAGTGTCAACCAGGTTCTCTGTAAACGTCATATCATACATGGTCTAGTGGAAGAGCGACTGCCCGTGGAATGTGGGGGATTCGATCCCCGGCCGAGTCATACCAAAAGACGTTAAAAGATGGTACTTGTTGTTACCCTGCCTGACACTCGACACTAAGGGGCTAAGCAAGGACTGGTCGGCTCAGAGTCAGTAAATTGTGTCTGAGTGGGGTGCTCATGTTAAACTGAAAGTGACGTGGGGTCAGTTGTCATTTCAAAAGTCAGTATCGGGTGTGGCCACCAACAGCAGTGACACAAGCTTGACAACGGAACCACATCCACGACACAAGATGGTTGAGGAAGGATCGTGAGGTGTCATTCCAGATCTGACCAAGGCCCGTCGCAGCTGGAGCAACATCAACGGTTGGTTTTGAAGTCGGCACAAGCTACGTTTCATTTCACCCCAGCAGGCCAAGGGAGTGTGACGATGTTCTGTTGTCCACTGAAGTGTGGGACCACATTGTCCTAATGTGAAGTGGTGTTTCGTCCATGGGTCAGAAGGAAATTGAGGACGGGTTACTTCTTCACGGTACCTTACACCTGTTAAATTAATATCCGCGACTACGAAATGGGCCCTGCGATGTGCTGTGATGCCTCCCATACACCACCGAGAGCATTATATTGAAGTCTAACTTCAAACCTTACCGAGCCCGTGAAGATCCGGGGTAGAATAGGTCTTCAGCAACCCATGCTTGCCGTAAAAGGTGACTATGCTTGTCGTAAAAGGCGACTAACGGGATCGGGTGGTCAGGCTCGCTGGCTTGGTTGATGCATGTCATCGATCCAAATTGCGTGGATCGATTCTCATGATATTAATTACTGGATTGTCTGGTCCAGACTCGATTATTTACAGACCGCCGTCATATAGCTGGAATATTGCTGAGTGCGGCGTAAAACAACAAACCAACAACCAACAACAATTGAAGTTAGCGTAACGTTCCATGACATCTCTCTTGAAGGAGTCCCACGTGCAAATCTAATCGTAAGTTTTCGGACCACATCCTCCATCGGCCACAGCTTCAACCAGGCAAATGGTTTCCTCTGAAAGATAGAGCCAAACCATGTTATTGGACCTCCGTATTTGTTAGGATACCCAGCACCTACCCGACCCCTAGATTATCAATGGGTCGGTCTCCCCTATAGTTTTAAGTGAGACACATACGTTTTTGTCCAGCACCACCCACCCCTAGAATATCAAAAAGTCGGTCAGTCCCATAGTAAAACACGCAGGTGTCACGGCGTGTCAGGTTGCACATGGTAATCTACTACTGCAAAACAAGGGGTGTGGAGGCATGTGTATATGCAGAATAGTTGCCGCGTAAACATGTCATGTCTTTCTCTCCAGCGGTGTCAAGGCCATCCTCACTGATTGTAGCACTTGTATTAAGTGTTGTCGGAACACAAGAACACAGTCAGACGGATGCACAGTAGCTCCTATATCCGATGTGCCTGTCGATACATGCACAACCTACTTGTCTGGGACACAGATGTTGACACACAGGGCCGCTGGGCGTATTACTTGCATTTGAGGTGGGTGAGGAGAAATGGGGTTTAACGTCGCGTCCAAGATTATTGCACTTATATAGCGACGTGCATGTACGTGTGTGTGTGTGTGTGTGGCTGCTTGTACTAGACCGGACTGATGCCGATTTATAGTGCTAGCACACTGAGATACCATGCCGCAGTTTAACATGACACAGTCAGACACAGTCTACTGACTCCGAGCCGACCAGTCCTTGTTTTAGCCCCTTAATGTGGAGCGCCAGACAGGGTAACAACAAGTACCATCTTTTAACGTCTTTTGGTATGACGAGGTCGGGGATTGAACCCCGGACCGTCCGCTCTCCGGGCGGACGATCAACCACTAGACCACGGAGGCGGTCTATCGCTGCCCTGTGTACACACAAGATGGTGACGTCACTATTGGCGTAGACTTCTGTTGACTCAACCGAACCAGGTGTGTTATCGTTACAGTAAACATATTAAGCAGACATATAGAGAATCTCACCCGAGTGTCTTTTGATATCAAATATATCAACATGACTTTTCAACGAGTGTTCATATATTTGATACAAAAAAAACACTCGGGTGAGATTTTAGTTTTCATCCAACATCATTCTTCCAACTTTTTCAGTTTATAGACAGTAATAAACAGTGTATTTAGTCTAAAAAGTACTGTTGACAACTTCAGCAGCAGAGGCATTTGTGATGATTGTGACGTCATGGTCACAATGGTCTGCAAAGCATTGTGATGCAATTTCATTGCAGCGATATCTACAATGTAGATATCGCTTGATGTCACCCAAGCGATATCTCCTGTGGGAGCCAGTTTTGGATGATAAATACAAATCTAAATAGTTGTATCTGTAGACGATATATATATTTCATAAGACTATACAAAATATGCATCTTGATCACCTTGAACAAGAACAAATATATTGATTGTTAATATGTAAATTATACAACATATTCTTGGATATAATTACACAAGTACTGATACCGTTTTAAGCATTAAGTGCGAAAGCAGATATAATATGATAAAATTATATTGCAAATATGAAAAAAGCAAAACCGTCACCTTTCAAATAAAAATAAATGACAAGCCTTGTTAATTATCAAATTCTTTTTATTTGAGAGCAGAAGTGAGTGAGTATGGTTTTACGCCGCTTTTAGCAATATTCCAGCAATACCACGGCGGGGGACACCAGAAATGGGCTTCACACATTGTACCCATGTTGGGAATCGAACCCGGGTCTTCGGCGTGACGAGCGAACGCTTTAACCACTAGGCTACCCGACCGCCCCTTATTTGAGAGCAGGTGACCTAAGCACATGTACTGAGTTGTGTCCCTCGATTGAAGAAAATGCTGTACTTTGGCTCGAAGCCCATATATAAATGTCATCGGTATATGTCGGCAAAACCCCGAGCTTGTGGGTTTCACTAAATGGTTTACGTATAGCTACGACACGTGCCACTTTGGGCTTTCCTCCCTCCTAACGTCAACACGTCTTATATACTACTCAAAGTTCGCTAAGGATCAGGTTTTGACGAAATCAAAATATCCATCCAACAAATAAAGATTAACAAACCTTAAGGATTTCATCAACTGAATGCACTTATGCTCCTCAACGTTAAAGACGTCTTTTGACGAGCGAAGTATTAGGCAGCTGCATAGGCTTGCTTGGAGCTGGATCAACACAACGTCATGTTGGAAAAGTCTTTGGTGTAAGCTAAAGTGTGGTCAACAGGACATGGAATCAATACCAGACGTTTGGATCAGCTACCCAGCGACATACAGGTGGCCGACAGCGTTCTACCAGACCCGTGAAGATTCAGGGGTAGAATAGGTCTTCAGCAACCCATGCTTGCCGTAAAAGGTGACTATGCTTGTCATAAGAGGCGACTAACGGGATCGGGTGGTCAGGCTCGCTGATTTGGTTGATACATGTCATCGATCCCAATTGCGTGGATCGATGCTCATGATATTAATCACTGCATTGTCTGGTCCAGACTCGATTATTTACAGACCGCCGTCATATAGCTGGAATATTGCTGAGTGCGGCGTTAAACTACAAACCAAACCAATCTACCACACAGCGAGAAGGTTTCTCCTTGATTGCAGAACGACGTCATCACTTCACGACTGCCACCACACCCATGTTCTGCCGAACGTCAGTGGCTTTAACGTTTCTACACAGACTGCGCAAACCCTCTCCGTGAGGCTAGTCTCCAGGCGGCATGCATTCGTATCCCACTGACCCGACACATGCAGGTACGTTAGGATTGGGTTGAAGATCCCCTCATTTGGACAGACTGGGGTCAAGTACTTTTCACTGATGAATCGGGATACAAGACTTCACTGATCGTCGTCCCCAAATGTGCTTTCGCAAACTCCTCTTTTGCTATTTCAACTGATGCACAGAATTTGACGTAATGCCTGGAGATCCTTAGCAAACTTTGAGCAGTACTGAAATACTTTCAAAGCGCTAAACTCATCAAATGTGGAATGTCCCCTCAATGTGAGCTACTCCATTCCGGACGCTCTTTACGTGGGCTGTTTACTAACAATACCCCCCAACACACACAAACAGTCTGCAGCCGGTGGCTCTAGCAGGGAAAGGTAGGTGCACTTCGATGTCCTCTCCGACTATTTAAAACAAAAATCAAGTATTGTATTTAAAGAAGATTATGCTCATGATCTTCACACGACTGAACTAGTGAATGCAATAATTCAGTGCATAAGACTAGTGGCTTGTTTCAGCTACTTTTATTAGTTCAGTTATAGATACCATGTGTGCTATTGAAGCGTTTCAGTAATACAACATGCTAAACACAACCCATTGTGTTGATTAGTCTGTTACATATTGTCATATTTTACATGGTATATCTCTACAATATAACCATAAAACATTATTTTGAAAGCCACGTAGTTATTCTAAACTCCACGAATACATGTCAAATACCAGTGCGATACGGATAACGTTTCTATCACACATTTACTAAGACACGTAAAGGCCGATTGTGATGTGTCTGTTAATATAATATCGGTGATATTGAAACTGGTCGCTGTGGCATACACTATTTACTATTCTTAGTGTAAAACTCGTTGACAAATTATTTTTCCAGCAGTTTCGGGTACAGTAATTTTAGGATTTTAGGTCATCAAACAAAGTAGGGGCACGGGTGGCTCAGTCGTCTAAGGCGCCGGGATTCGCTGTGCACAGTTGCGTCCCTTGGGCACGCCAGAAACCTATGATTGTGGGTTCGAATCCCGGTTCGCCCCGATTATGTTTCTAGGTTTGTCAGCATTATACCCGCGCTCGTGGGTTTCACCGAAGTGGTAAACGTCTGACCTGCATCACTTCGGGCTTTCCTCCCACATTAAGCTGACACGCCGTGATATAACTGGAATACTGTTAAAAGCGGCGTAAAACCCAACTCACTCACTCACTCACTCACTCACTCACTCACTCACTCAAAGTTTTGTTGTTAAAACAGATGGCGCGACCCAGCGTCCCTTTATGACATTTAGAAAAGCATTGAGATTATGAAACACCGTATATTTGGTCGATTATTTGAAAGTTTCGATAAGCTTACAGCTCTAACGTCAAAAACATGGTCATCATTAACACAAACATACAGTGTAGCCATTTCCCCCATCTGGAAAGTTACTCTATGCCTGGCCCTGCGTAACATCCCATCGGCCCTCACCGAGCGTTTCGTATCGCGGAATCAGTCTAACATCAGTAACGAGATCGGGTGGTCAGGCTCGCTGACGTGGTTGATGCATGTCATCGTATCCCAATTACGCATGACTGCGCATTAACTGGATTGTCCGGTCCAGACTCGATTGTTTAGAGACCGCCGTCATATGGCTGGAATATAGCTGAGGGCGGCGTTTATCAAAAATAAATCAATCTATTACAACTCTTCCCGTGAAGATCCGGGGTAGAACAGGCCTTCAGCATCCCATGCTTGCCGTAAAAGGTAACTATGCTTGTCGTAAGAGACGACTAACGGGATCGGGTGGTCAGGCTCGCTGACTTGGTTGATGCATGTCATCGTATCCCAATTGCGTAGTTCGATGCTCATGATATCAACAACTGGATTGTCTGGTCCAGACTCATAACCGCCGTCATAAAGCTGGAATATTGCTGAATGCGGAGTTAAACAAGAAACAAACAAAATAGATGAACCATATATCCGATGATCCGTTTAACGCTCAGCAAACCCCCTGCACAAGTGCTGCCGTCTAGCGGCCATAGAAGGTCAAGGACAAGGACAGTGTTGTGAGCTGCAGAGGGACGCTTGCACGGAGGTCATTATACCTGAAACCCGTAGAAAGCATATTTAAACCAGAATATGTAAAAACAAGTGGCATCCTGTCTTGAAACTGAACATGCACAGTGCCCTTTCCTCAGAAAATGTTAAATGAATGGCATTATACTATGACATTTAAGAATTTCAGGGGTATCGATTCTACGTTAGACCATGATTTTCTGATGACCACTGCACCGCGAATTTGTTTTATTCAAGAGCACTTCTTTGTTAACCAACCCGGTTGGCAATTTCAAATCCTGATTTTACTTCATAATTGTTCCAAATTAACCTGCTGCGGTTCCTACCAATTGTGGCAATGATTTTTTGGGCATCGAATACTCGTTAATACCCGCAAATCGGATAACATATGATGCATAACTTATAAATGAATCAACATGCAATGACTAATATTTGCGATTGCGAAGATTGTTGACGATGTTGTCCTTGTCCTTGTGGCATGAGGCGTACCGGTTTATCAACGTGACCTTTTGTCATCAATAGACACTGCAGTCTTGAAACAGTTTTCTACTGGGCGTTGACGTGAGCAGAAATTTGTCTTTCAGTCATTCAGTCATTCAGTCATTCAGCCATTCAGTCATTCAGCCATTCAGCATTGGTTCCTCTGGGTGTGTGTCGGTCATGGCATTGTAGATGACGACGGTAGCTTTCCTGTAATGCGTGCGTTTACAGGGCCATGGTTTCAGAATAGTTTCATCGACCTGTCTGTATTACTTTGAATTTCTAACACGGTTGTGTTTGAATCCCCACGACCATACGATTGAAGAATATGAGATTCGAAACTCGCCACGCCAGCTAGTAGGTTCATCAAAATGACCGCTTCAATATATCATAGAACCAAACTGCGGAAATATTGCATGAAAACATATATGTGTATTTAATACCTCTGACACACATTGTCGACACTAATTACAAAAATTATGTACCTAAATAAGAACCACATATTATCGACACTAATTACCCACAAAATATATGATTTTTTTTTTATTGGAGACAAGTAACACACATAATCGACACTAATTACACACAAAATATATGTAGACAAGTAACACATATTGTCGACACTAATTACACACATTACATGTATATACCCAGACAAGTAACACATATTATCGACACAAGTTACACACATTATATACCCAGAGAAGTAACACATATTATTGACACTAATTACACACATTATTTACCTAGACAAGTAACACATTGCGACACTTCTTACACACATTATATATCTGAATAAGTAATGCGACACTAATTACACACATTATATACCGAGACAAGTAACACACATTGTTGGCACTAATTACACACATTATATACCTAGACAAGTAACACACATTTTCGACAGTAATTACACACATTATATACCGAGACAAGTAACACACATTATCGACACTAATTACACACATTATATATCTGAATAAGTAATGCACAATATCTACACTAATTACACACATTATATAACTAGACAAGTAACACACATTATTGGCACTAACTACACACATATGTGTAGAAATGTAATACACAGTATCGATACTAATTCCACACGTTAAATACCTGGACAAGTTACAATGATTATACCCCCACTACTAACATACATTATCAAGTAGACTATTCGTTATACACGGCAATTCTAATGTTAATTTTCACATCATGTATGTAACTTTCGAAAACTTCAGGTTACTGACGCTTCCCCTCTTCCACTGTGGCCTGAGTTTATAGATTAGCTTGTCAACATAAACACCTGATAGTGTATAATCGCTGGCAGGCTAATCTCGAATTGACGCAAGCAGTATTTACTTTTTACGAAAAACTTCCTTTTTACAGCACGAACATCCAAAAGTTACGACACATTATTTAACCTGTTGATAGTTTGTATGTATTTCTAATCTAAGATTAGAAATGTGTTAAGCGCAGTGGGACTGGAGAGCGAGGTCCTGCATTCTGAGCAGTATAAAACAGGGGACAGGTAATGATTGCTTCACTGTTCCCTGTACTGCTCATCAAACGCAGGACATGAACTCGCTCTACAGCTGAGACGAGTAATAGTACTAAAAGTGGGTTTCCAGACCAACCAGCTTCTCATTTTGACGATTGCTTGACAAGTGTCCACTGTTTCAGCTCCAGCTCCACCGACACGATGTTGGTCACGGCGGTAGTTGCCCTACTCCTCGTTGTCACAGTCCACGCTGAGAAGTAAGTACAAATCAACTGAATGGACCACTGTTCAATTATTTGTAGCCACTAAGCAGGTTGACATGTGTCAATAATTTGGACATTTGTGTCCTATTGAACTCTTCTTGTTTGTTTCAAGGTGTCTTATTAAACTTTTAACTCAATTGTCACATGTTTGTGGTTTGGATGGTATAGCTTCGTTGGACCCATACCAGCTTGGTGTAACGTATTTAGCTTAATGTGTATCGGTAAAAGAATTAAACACCGGCCATCAGCACCATATATGTTTTCTTTCATTGGGCAAAAGATGTTTCGACGTTTACACCAGACAAACAGGGTCTCGTTTCTCTTAGCGATCTATACGCTGTGTATGCGTATATGTCGTTTCATCATTGCAGTCACATCATTGTGGAACGGGGCCACAACCTTTTCTCGTTATCATTCAGGCCACACAGAGCGTAATACTAATGATAAATCCGTTTTACCCAGCTTTGACAAGTAATCATCCTGGAGTGTCAGTTTGATGTGGTGGGTGATCCACATCTTTGTCGTTTACGGCTTTGGTAAAGTCCACGAACACGGATATGGCGCCGACAATGCGAGAAACATAATCAGAACGAATCTTGGAATTGAACTTACGACCATAGATTTGTGGTACGCCTAAAGGACGCAATTCTGCACAGCGAACTGCAGAGCCTTAGAGGACTGAGTGAGTGAGTTGGGTTTAACGCCGCTTTTAACAGTATTCCAGTCATATCACGGCTGTCAGCTTAATGTGGGAGGAAAGGCCGAAGTGATGCAGGTCTCAGACGTTTACCACTTCGGTGAAACCCACGAGCACGGGTACGGTGCTGACAAACCTAGAAACATAACCGGGGCGAACCGGGATTCGAACCCACAATCATAGGTTTCTGGCGTGCCCAAGGGACGCAACTCTGCACATCGAATCGCGTCGCCTTAGACGACTGGGCCACCCATGCCCCCTCTTTAGAGGACTGAGCCACCCGTGTCTCTAAACATACGTCACTGATCTGTTGGCTGGAAACGTCCTCCAAGTCAACACACAAAGAGCTTCAATATACACTGAAACTATAACGTGCGTCAGCATGTTTCTTAAAATTCATGACTGTACCCATGAAAATCCAGGTTAGAAAAAGTCTACAGCAACCCCTGCTTGTAGCAAGAGGCGACGAGGTTGTCAGGCCCGCTGACTTTGTTAATGCATGTCATCGTATCCTAACTGCGTAGATTGATGCTCATGATGTCAATCACAGGATTGTCGGGTCCAGATTGGATTATTTTACTGCCGTCATATGGCTAGATCATTTCTGACTTGAGTGTCTGTCTTTTCACATAGCTGGAATATGTCCGGCGTTAAACAACAAACAAACAAATCTTCAGGACTTAAGTGTCTGTCATTTCTCATTTTACCAGCTCGTACCTGATCACAGCAACGAAGCGGATTACCCTAGGACGGCCGTTCGTCGTCAACGTCAACATCCTAAACGCCAGTTCTCTCGTCGACGTTGATATCAGCATCGTCCATGCCTGGTACAACAACACCGACTACGTGAAGACACCAATCACCACCGTCACACGACGTTTCAAGCAGGGTAAGTATTTTTGACATTTCAAAGAACATATGCAACTGCCCAAACAGTAACCGATACCAAACAATTCTGTCTTCATGCGTTTGTAGGAGAATTATCCCCGTTTTGGAGCTGTTGATTGCAATTACAGTTGGTAAATAAAGGCATGTTGGGGACTTTTGAGGGGTGATTTGGAGATAATGTTTGTTTATTATTGAAAGTGAATATAAATGTGTGATATATTGGTGTTCGCCCATGACTAAGTCACACATGCACTTGCTGTTACAGATGCGCCAGACACTGTTACACTGGTCGTAAGTATGTTACTCACTCACTAACTCACTCATTAGCCCAACTGAACCCGTAGTAGGAACATATTTATTATGTAATAGGGATCCCCAATATGATGTGCAGTTATTCGTAAATAGTGAGTGAGTGAGTTGGGTTTAACGCCGCTTTTAACAGCATTCCAGTTATATCACGGCGTATCAGCTTAATGTGGGAGGAAAGTGATGTAGGTCTCAGACGTTTACCACTTCGGTGAAACAAACGAGCACGGGTATGGTGCTGACAAACCTAGAAACATAATCTGGGCGAACCGGGATTCAAACCCAAAATCATAGGTTTCTGGTGTGCCCAAGGGACGCAACTCTGCACAGCGAATCGCGGCGCCTTAGACGACTGGGCCACCCGTATTCGTAAATAGAAAAAAGATACGGACTGAAAATGATACGGAAATACAACGAACTAATTTCAAAAGTCTATTGGATTTAGTTATTTGAATTTACCCAAATAATCTGTATCAAAGCACCTGCGTTACGGAAACAAAAATCTTCATCGTACTGACAAGCCGAACTTTCTTCTGCCAAAGTAATTGAAACATTTACGACCATTATGCTATCTTAGAAATAAATTGGAGACCCCGTGAAGCTCTGGTCTATTTGTTATTGAATGGTCAAATACGTGTATAAGCAAGGCGCTTTCTCTGTTGGATGCAGCAGTGTATTCACTGTCAATCTGATAGCAGAGGTCACAGCCAACGGTCTTGACTGTAAATCTTTGTTGTCGAAATGTCAGGTCAAATACTCAAAGGTAACATTGCAGTTATCATTCCATGGTCCCGTTCCACAAAGCGATTTTAGCACAAAGACAACGTTAAAGAATGGGAGTTACGACTGTAGCTCTAAGATCGCTTTGTCGAACGGACCGATCTTTAAGTTGACCTCACTGAGATTGCAATGCTGTTGTTCCAGGCGCCACAAGCAACTGTCATTGGAAGTTACCTGCTGAAGGTGAAGGGGTCAGGGGGACTCATCTTTGAGAGAGAGGAACGCCTCACTATAGCCAGGAAGACCATATCAGTGTTCATTCAAACCGACAAGGCCATGTACAAGCCAGGACAGCGAGGTAAGGACCTCGACCCCAAAGGAAAAGCAAGTCAATGGAACAATTATGATAGAATGTTCATGTGGCTCTGAATGATAACCTTCCATATCACGTGATGCAGAGTGTGTGTGCGTGTTTGCGTGCGTGCGTGCGTGCGTGCGTGCGTGCGTACGTGTGTCTGTGTGTGTGCGTGCGTGCGGGTGGGGTGTGGTGGTGGTGGTGCTGTGTTTATTGTTAGCGACAGGACATTTTTCTCTTTTACAGTGAGGTTTTAATCACAACCCTTCTGAGACATCCAGGGTCGTTGGGGTATCTAGAGGTTAAAGCTTTCGCTCGTCTCGCTGAAGACACGAGCCCATTTCTGGTGTCCCCCGCCGCGATATTCCTGGAATATTGCTAAAAGCGGCGTAAAACCATACTTACTCCCTCTAAGCCATCCAGCATGTCCAAAAAGCTTTGAAGTTTGAAGTTTCTTCTCGTACACATGTGGACATTTTTTATGGAAGAAATCCATTTTTAAAGTCCCACCACCCCGACCGCAATGGTCGGCATCTTTAATGACAGCCCCGTGAATCACTATTTCATGTAATTCATTATCAAGGATATATTTGTGATTACCTGTTCTTCTTCAAGTTCATTTCAGAGCTTTTGCCGTATACCCAGATATGAAGGTGTACCAAGGCAAAATAGATGTCGACATATATGTGAGTACACAAATACCTATAAATAAAGAACATGATGTAAACTAATAAACTATAGACACGTTCTACATTTTGTCGCACACTGCACCGCGTAATCCCGACAAGCAGTGTGCTGTTTAAATATGAGATATCAGTATCTGAAAGTTGTGTGTGTGTCTTCAATCTGTAAGGGAACACAAGTTTGATTTAACATGCCTCTGGTGCTTCTTTCTTTAACTCAAAATGACCCCCTACTGTCGGTGTGATTTTCAATATGAATATATTGACCATTCCAACAAGTATATACCTAAGATTCTGTATTAAAACTATTTTTGTCCGACTCCTCTTAAGGATCCACGAAACAACAGAATTCGCCGCTGGGTTTCGCTGCAGGATGGGACAGGGGTCAACCACAGAGACATATTGCTCAGTGACCAGCCGGTTCTTGGGGACTGGAAGATAGAAGTCACCGTTCCTGAGTTTGTGAGAACAATTCTCGCATTTTAGAGAATTTTTTGTTTTTACATCTTCCCGAGGCAAGGGAGTTAATTAACTTCATAAGTCGAGTTTCCACCCTTGCCGAACAAGGCTTGAATTATGGAGTTATGTTTTGGCTGGACTAACGAGTCCATGCATAGTCCAATTAATATCGCGTAACGAAATCGACATCCGGTTCGTAAAGTACCTTGCAGTTTTCTGTCGATTGCAGGATTTGCAAAACTCAGTGTCAGCAGATACTTTCCATCCTTTCATGTTTTTAAGCTAGGTGCTCACATGATTTGATGAACTCAGCGAAGAAGGACCCTATTAATTACAATATAGATTTTGATTGTCGCCGTCATTTTTTTAAGCAAATGCAAGTGATATGAGTGGTGGAATCTGATTGGTCAAATAGGAGGGACATAGAAGGGGCATAACTCTGACACTGGTAACAGACACTGGTGGCGCTTCAATCGAGCCCAAACATTCCTGCCTAGTTCGGTAAGGGTGAAAACTGGACTTTTATTGTCAGTTGACACCTTTGCCTCAGGAAGATACTGTTTTTACTGCAGTACTGTGTTTGAAATAACAGTTTCTAAAGTTCGTGAAGACCTTTCCTGTGTATGAATCGATTAGCTTCTAAGCCAGTGTTGAAATTGTTTGACAGAGCGTTCTGTTGAGATTGGTGTCGTGCGTCATTCCTATAATAATGCTTCAATGCATACCCCCTGTTTGCCACTATTTTGTGGCTTCTGTGTGTTGAAAAAACACGATGAACTCACTTTATTTCTTTTTGCCGTAATGGATTTATTCAGTCAACAAACATCAATTGGAATTGTATATGGAATAGTGCTATCTTGTCTATGAACCATACGCTGTTTTAATGTGCACATAAAATAATATGCTTAACTTATTTCGTAACAGGTAGGTTTAAACGAAAAGAAAACATTCACAGTCCAACAATATGGTGAGTACAGCATGTGAAGAAGAACATAAATTAACAGTCTCATATATAAAATTAATTCTGCCAATTGTCCAATATCATTGATGTTATAGTTTAAGGTGATATGTTTACACTATCATAGACAAAACGTCTTGATCCAATTGTGCACTTACCATCGAAGTCCACTTTTGCATTGATACTGAAAGTAGAATCGTATACGTTACATTCCATAGTTAATAAAATTGTGTCTTGTGCACAGAGTTGCCAAAGTTTGAGGTGAAGGTAGAGTTGCCTCCCTTTTCTCTAACAACTGACATCGACCTTTCCGGAACCGTCAAAGCCAAGTATGTATGCAGCTTCGGGTTTTGTTTTTTCTTGAAACGCCTGGAAGTCAATTCTTTGTAGTAATAGTAAAGTAATTGTGATACTTATGAACAGTAATGATTCATAGTCGGTACAAACGACCAATCGTCATTTCATTGGGTTCCAAAACTTCCGCTTTGATGACCTGGCACCACTGTCTCCAGAAGACAATTATTTTGCAATTCTAAGACGTGATAGGAAATAAAGGTTGCTGCAAATTACGCACGCCAAACACATGTGTGAACTTGCCATCCAGCTACACGTATGGAAAAGGAGTCAAAGGCATGGTGGAACTGAGGGTGTTTGTCGGCGCCATCAGGAACTCCTGCGGGAACTTTGCAAGATCAGTTCTGAAGACGTTTCCAGTAAGTCATCACATAAGCAGTTACCTGCGTACGCTGGTAAAAGTTGCTCTAGTATAGTTGTGTTGGTCAAGTGAATTGTGTTATGTTGGATGTTGATAAGACTGACCATCGTATGTAAACATAAAACGTCTCAAGTCAGTCTCGATTATCTGCAGAAACAGATTCCATTGGCGCGAAAGAGAACTAGTTGTGACAAATATTGATGACACCAGGTGTTCGCGAAAGAATCCTCCTCTACACACACAATTTGCATAAAAATAAGTTGTTTTTTGTTGCTTTACGCAACACAGCGGTACTCCTGCGAAAAGTGATGTTACTACATTGTGCCATTTCTGTGCAGATTGATGGCAGTGCCCGGTTCTCGGTGTCCATGGGAGAGATCAAGAAGCTGCAGTCGTACCTGAACCAGCAAACGGTGACTGTACTGGCAGAGGTCAAGGAGGACCTAACTGGGAAGACACTCAACGGCTCCTCAAACGTTGTCTACTACACTGACCCCTACAAGATCACCTTCCTGAATTCCAGCCCCAGTAACTTCAAGCCGGGTCTACCTTACAGGGCCTACGTATGTAGCTGTTAATATCGTAACGCACAACTCTACATGACCTACTAATGTAGCTGTCGGTACAAAACACACTACTCTACATTGCTTTCTTATGTAGCTGTCATTACCGTAGCACACTACTCTATAGGACCTGCATATGTAACTATCAACATCACACACCACCCCACAGGACTTACATAACCAAAAGACACAGGGGAATGTTACCTTTCTACATTTGTTTCATCCAAATTGTACAATTAAGATAAGAATGTTTAAAGTATGGACAGACGCCAGACCAAAATAAACGGAAAGTACATCTGAAAACATGTCAATGGAATAAAAAACTTAGATCCGATTTTGTTGTCCGTTGTGCATGGTTTTCATCCTAAAGTTGCAAATATATGGTTAATACCTTCTTTTTCAAATCTAGGTGAAAGTGACCCAACAAGATGACCGTCCAATCTCTGATGCGAACTCCACCATCCAGGTGTACACGTGTGTAGACTATAGGCGAACGGAGGCCTATCAGAATCGCTATGAGTGCAACGCCTTCACCGGCAGCTATTCCCTGCCTATACTTAACCTCCGGATACCTGAGAATGGCATTATCCCTCTGGACCTTGATATACCGGACAATACAACAGACGTTAAGATGAGGGTACGTAAGTCAAAACGTATGTACACTATAGATAAATATACATGAATTGACGACATAATCGTCATGATTATGAATTGACGACATTACATAAGGAAGGAATTTTATGACATTATAATAACTTAATAAAGCAACCTCCATAGAGGAAGTGCAATGAATTGACGATATGGCGTGAAGCAACATCGTGACATATAACATCATGAAGCTCTAATGTGACTGAATGAAGCCACGAAAAACAGACAGTTAATATAGTAAAGAACGAGGTGACATTATGAAGCACAATATGACATTTTGAAGCCATGTAATCACACAATGAATGACCATGTCTGTTTGTTTCAAATACATCGTAATTGTCCCGGAAGTAAAGTTAGAGATTAAACACCTAGGGTAGGCTTCACGTTCAGTTGTAATTAAATGAAAAACCATTTGTACACGATGCACATTTCATCTCGGAGAAAAGCCATCAGACTGCGCACTGGGCATGGTGTAAGGGTTAGGAACATTGTAGTGATAGTAATTCCCGCATGGGATTGTTCTAACTGTGTGTCTCTGTTCCAGGCTTACTACAAGAACATCCACGCCTCCAAACATCTTTCCGAGAGTCATTCGCAGAGCGACACCTTTGTTCAAGTCAGGCTCCGCACAGCTAATCTGAAAGTACGATTCATTAGTGTGCCACAGTCCGATGTACAAAGTTGTTTCCCTTTGCCATCTGGGTTCGTGGGTTCAAATCCCAGGTTCCCCCCGACTATGATCCTTATATGCGGGCATTATACTGTTTTTAAAATTAGTGACGGACTGCTTGTTTTCCCACATCAAAACTAAACATTTAACCAAACTCACTCACTCGTCCATCTATTTCATAGCATGTAGCATCAAATTCTAGCACATTATTAAATATCATGCAGGGCCCTCGGATATTGCATTTGGACATTTTACTTATGTTTTGCATGATATATACGTCTATTATGCTGCAGGCTGGTGACAACGCCGAGTTTGAAATCCAGGCGACATCTCCACCTGGAAAGGTAGCATACCAGGTAAATATGACCCTTCAAACCAGGTAAATATGGCCCTTCATACCAGGTTAATGTGACCCTTCATACCAGGTAAATATGACCCTTCAGACCAGGTTAATAAGACCCTTCATACCAGGTTAATATGACCCTTCATACCAGGTAAGTATGACCCTTCATACCAGGTAAATATGACCCTTCATACCCTTCATACAAGGAAAGTTACCTTCATGTTGTACAAGTTGTACCAACTAGTTGTACCGTGTGAATGCCCCTTAAGCGAAATTATCTTGAACGTTGAACCACATTTCACCTCATCTCAGTTTCAGACTCTTTATAAATTGATGGATATAATAAGGAGGTAAATTTTGATTATTTATGTTGATATATCTTTTTTTCTATTTATTCAACCAGCTTTAACATTACCTCATCTATTTTTCATATCACTGATTTATTGTGTAAAATTCAAGGCTCCTGATGCTATGGTCCGTTACAGATTATGTCGCGTGGGGTTGTGGTGAAGGGTGGAATAGTACGCCCCATCTCCACCGAAGACAAATCCCTCATTCTCAACGTTCCCGTCCTCGCCACGATGTCTCCCACGGCACACATCCTCGTTAATTTCGTCACACCCGACGGGGAAATCGTTGCTGACTCCATCAGCTTCAACGTGGACGGAGTCTTCGCCAACAAAGTAAGACGATTGTGTGATCATTAACACCAAGTGTTCTACACAGATCAGGGCCGGTAAGACGATTGTATAATCATTAACACCAAGTGTTCTACACAGATCAGGGCCTGGTAAGACGAGTGTATAATCATTAACACTAGGTGTTCTACACAGATCAGGGCCTGGTAAGACGATGGTATGATCATTAACACCAAGTGTTCCACACAGATCAGGGCCTGGTAAGACGATTGTATATAATCATTAACACCAGGAGTTCTACCAGTGCCGTAGCCAGCCGGGGGGCGGTGGGGGGAGGGTGTCTGATTTTTTATAGAAAACACATTTTTCCTTGTGAAAGTTAACTTGAGTAAGAAATGAATTATCTAATTTGCCCCCAACCTGTCGAAAAAAGCGATCTTAGTCCTAAGACTACACTAAACACAATATCGTCCGACTATACTTTGACATAATAGACTTACCATTGTCGTAACGCAAAAAGACCGCTTTGTTAAATGAGACCCAGGATTATTTCTCACGAATCGGTCTCCGTGGCGACTCAGGTTACACCACAGCATTCTATAAGAATCGGTGATATTGGGGATCCATCAAATGCAGTTTTAATCAAGAGATCTTACTACTACAACGACGAGCGTATGCCAATACTGCTTCGTGGGGTACCGTTAGACGAAGTCATAAAGATAACTAGAGCTACAACAAGCATACGTCAACACTGCTTTGTGGGTCACTGTCAGATCCAGTTCAACGTTATCGTCAAGTCAGTGCCAGTTATTATAAGCAAACTGACTAAGCTGATTGCTTGTTACTATGATAACAGTCCGATGATAACGTCATGCGAACGCTACTTGTTGGGGAGGGAGAGAAGTTTGAAAATGCCAGGAGGGCTTAATGTATTTTCTGATACAACACTCGGGACTGTTTGGGAATTATAGGTGTTACCTCTGTGTAGGTTGGTATCGCCTACAGCACCAAGAAGGCGGAGCCCCACACGGATGTGACAGTCGACATCACGGCGGATCCCCAATCATCTGCCTTCCTTTTGGCCGTTGACCAAAGCGTGCAGCTTCTTAAAACCGGAAATGACATCTCAACAGACCAGGTATCTTGTTACAGCTTACATGTGTATTGAGTACATTCGGGTCAACTCGGCTTGTTCCGTTAATTGCATAATACCTTGGTTAGCAATGGAGTAGTGGTATTGCATGGATTCACCGTAAACTGTAACGCCAATTCCTGTTTCATGTAGTTCGTATAACATGACGGCCATGTTTGAAGACAGATCATTCTGTGAACAGAAATTAGGTCTACACATTGATTGCAAGACAAAAGCAAACGGAAATCAATTTGATCAATTATAAAAGGTTGACGACTGCCCCTGTGTTGTAGTCATTTGATTGTCACATGCACGAAACTACTTCCAATATGGCTTCGTGGAGCAGAGTGTTTATTGTGGTAGATATTGTGGTAGAGTTATAGTGATCCTTTCACAGAATTTCCATTTCTCTTTTTATTCCGTTTCGGCGGATAACATCGACTGGTTATTATCTGTTTTTAATATGTTATGTCTTACCATAACACCGGAAGTGTAGATACAAACCTCAAGTGTCAAACCTCAATATGCCTGTAAAATTGTGTACAGTAAACTACGGTTATAACGAACACGCTTATAACGAACTACGGTTATAACGAACTCAAAATAGTAGTCCCTTTGAGTTCGTTATAACCGTAGTTTACTGTAATTAAGCCTTAACCATTTGAATCAGTTTTATTTCCCTCTGTGGATGCCCAGGTGATGAAGGAACTCAGGGAGTATGATTACACCGCCCCAAGGGTTGACTTCTTAAGATGGAGTTTCCCGGTTCCAACATCCGGCACGAGTGCAACAGAAATTTTCCAGGTGAGATGAAGGAGGTCATTTGCGCAGTACCGAGATTATCTCAGTACTTCAAGTACTAGATTTCCCTAATATCCTTAGGAAGCATCAACTGCAAATACCACAAAATGGTTTCTCGGGCAAATGCAAAACATTTTTTTAAGGACGATCCATATGAGTCAGATTGTCCCCTACAGGATCCGTTTTCAATATTATATCTGTTAAAGCACAGGACCATGTAACAATAAAAATAAAAAGTTTGGCCTCGTCTATGATTTTTTTGCGACTTTTATATTTTTATTGTTACATGGTCCTGTGGTTAAAGTCACACCCCCCCCCCCACACACACACACACACCCCCCCCACACACACACCCCACACACCCCACCCCACCCCCCAACCCCCGATCGTTTAAACGTCTCCTTGAACCTGAAAAATAATTTTCGTAATTACGTGGTTTAGTTTAGAATTAGTTATCAATAAAGGTAATAAAATAGGTGAGATGAGGTGAGGTGAAATGCCGTTTAACGTCGCGTCGAAGATTATTGCACTTATATAGCGACGTGCATGCATGTGTGTGTGTGTCTGCTTGTACTAGTCCGGACTGATGCCGATTTATAGTGCCAGCCCACTGAGATACCATGCCGCAGTTTAACATGAATACCCCACTCAGACACAGTATACTGACTCCGAGCCGACCAGTCCTTGTTTGAGCCCCTCTATGCCGAGCGCCAGACAGGGTAACAACAAGTACCATCTTTTAACGCCTTTTGGTATGACGCGGATGTTGTAGATATATTATGTCCCTCCATACTGTGATGTTGTAGATATATTACGTCCCTCCATGCTGTGATGTTGTAGATATATTATGTCCCTCGCTACTGTGTTGTTGTAGATATAGTATGTCCCTCGCTACTGTGATGTTGTACATATATTATGTCCCTCCATACTGTGATGTTGTACATATATTATGTCCCTCCATACTGTGATGTTGTAGATATAGTATGTCCCTCCATACTGTGATGTTGTAGATATATTATATACCTCCGTACCGTGATGTTGTAGATATATTATGTACCTCCATACTGTGATGCTATAGACACATTATGTCCCTCCATACTGTGATGCTGTAGATATATTATGTTCCTCCATACTGTGATGCTGTAGATATGTTTTACACCGTATACTGGATGTTGTTGACATGTTTTTTCCCTGTATAATGTAATGTTGCAGAGAGCTGGAGTCATTGTCATCACTGATGCACAGCTGCACTATTTTGGTAGAGATTCGAGGCGTGAATATAATTTTAGAACATCGGGTGAGTTTTTCGTCGAGCCATTTATATCAATGTAGTCTCTACTGGAACTAGTGATAAGTGCAGATTCCAAAATTGTAATGCGAAGCTTAACCCAGGATTCGTTACATGCAGAAATAAACTGTGAAATATCCATGTAGAATATTGACAAATTATATTGCAATAGACATGGTAAATGCAATACAGTTGGGCAAATATGTGACAGCACCATTCAATAATAGGCCCCATTATTGGGTGAGGTGAAATGGGGTCAAACATTGCGTCCAAAATTATTGCTATTATATACGTGCTATACGTGCATGTACGTGTGTGTATTTGTGTCGCTGCTTGTACTTGTCCGGACTGATGCCGATTTATAGTGCTAGCTCACTGAAATACCATGCCGAAGTTTAACACGAATACCCAACTCAGACACAGTATACTGACTCCGAGCCGACCAGTCCTTGTTTTAGCCCCTTAATGCCGAGCGCAAGACAGGGTAACAACAAGTACCATCTTTTAACGTCTTTTGGTATGACGCGGCCGGGCATCGAACCCCGGACCTTCCGCTCTCCGGACGGACGCTCTACCACTAAACCACGGAGGCGGTCGGTCCGATTATAAGGCCAATGCGCTCACGAATTTCATAACCCAATGTATGAGGGCCTCATTAAAGTTCTGCCAGGTACAATCATTACCTCTGACTATAAAAAAAACACTGCCACATAAAACCAGGGCTTGTGGTTGGTAATCACATGCGTGTGTTTGCGAATATGCTTTTGAATAAGCTGCGCTTGAGACGGATGAAAGAAGCAAGTACTATATTAAATGTTTCAAACCGATAAAGAAGAACATCTTGATGAATAGTAACATTATTTAAAGGTAGCATAGGATGAATACACCAATTGGATGAAAGTAACTTGGACGAGAATGAAATAGAATGAAACCTAATATACATATACAGTAAAGTACGGTTATAACGAACTCAAGGGGACTACTAATTTTAGTTCGTTTTAACCGTAGTTCGTTATAAGCATATATACAGCATAACTAAAGCAAATAGTCGGGACTAAAAAGTAAGTTCGTTATATCCGTCAGTTCGTTATAAGCGTGTTCGTTATAACCGTAGTTTACTGTATATTAAATTGATGTTAAGTGAATAAGTGTACGTCGCATCGTAATAGGTACAGCCATATACCGAAGTAGCATCAAATTAAAATTATAAAAATGGATATATTGTAACAACGGATGGATATACTAACGTTGGGTAGAGTGAGTGAGTATGGTTTTACGCCGTTTTTAGCAATATTCCAGCAATATCACGGCGGGGGACACTACATTTGGCTTCACACATTGTACCCATGTCGGGAATCGAACCCAGGTCTTCGGCGTGACGAGCGAACGCTTTAACCACTAGGCTACCCGACCGCCCCTACGTTGGGTAGAACATTGGATAAAATGTTGTATGGGATGAGTAGTGACAATGGGTTTTAAGGTCAGGTTATATGGGGTGTGCAGTAACAATGGATGAAAGTTTGTATAAGATGACTGGTGACAATGGATGAAAGGTCGTACGGGAGGAATAGTAAAAGTATTAGAATAGTAATAGGAAACATTGAAGAATTGTAGGTGAGGTGAGGTGAAATGGGATTTAACGTCGCGTTCAAGATTATGGCACTGATATAGCGACGTTCATACACGTGTGTGTGGCTGCTTGTATTTGTCCAGACCGATGCAGATTTATAGTGCAAGGCCACTGAGATACCATGCCGCAGTGAAAAAAGCGGCGTTAAACCCAACTAACCCACTCATTCACTATTGTCATAACAGGTCGTTCGGGATCGGGACGTGCCAAACGCCCCCGTGTTTCCAGCAAGTCCAGGGAAAGGGGATACGCTGCACCCACTTCCCCTGTCCTGAAGAAGGTAGAGAGAGTCAGAGAGATCTTCCCGGAGACGTGGTTGTGGCTGAATACCACAGTCGGGTGAGTCTACTTTCATTGTGAGACCATGACCAGCTGCATGGTGCAGATCTTATCAGTGAGTGAGTGAGTGAGTTGGGTTTAACGCCGCTTTTAACAGCATTACAGTTATATCGCGGCGTGTCAGCTTTATGTGGGAGGAAAGCTCCAAGTGATGCAGTCTCAGACGTTTATCACTTCGGTGAAACCAACGAGCACGGGTATGGTGCTGACAAACCTAGAAACATAATCGGGGCGAACCGGGATTCGAACCCACAATCATAGGTTTCTGGTGTGCCCAAGGGACGCAACTCTGCACAGCGAATCACGGCGCCTTAGACGACTGGGTCCCCCGTGCCCCCCGCAGATCTTATCAAGACAGCATGGGAGATAATAGGCCGCCATATAAGGATGTTATGGAGGGGAGGTCTTCATCTATGTTACGAGTGATACAGTGTCTCAAGTAACGAAAGGAAGGACTCACTATTACAAATGTTTAATTATTACCCAAACCTACAATTATTCTATATTTACACAATTGCAAAATCAATCTGACAAACAGACATATATGTGGCAGAGCAAAATAGCTGAATACTCACCGTGCTAGCGAAAACTCCACCAATAAGTGAGTAAGTGAGTTGGGCTTAACGCCGCGGAAAGTCCGAAGTGATGCAGGTCTCAGACGTTTACCACTTCGGTGAAACCCACGAGCACGGGTATGGTGCTGACAAACCTAGAAACATAATCGGGCCGAACCGGGATTCGAACCCACAATCATAGATTTCTGGCGTGCCCAAGGGACGCAACTCTGCACCGACATGGCCGAATACATCACAAGATTCCATGGGGGCACGGGTGGCCCAGTCGTCTAAGGCGCCGCGATTCACTGTGCAGAGTTGCGTCCCTTGGGCACGCCAGAAACCTATGATCGCTAAATAAAGCTCACATGTAACATATGGATTAATTGATTGAGTATGTTTTTTCGCCGCTTTTAGCAATATTCCAGTAATATCACGGCGGGGGACACCAGAAATTGGCTTCACACATTGTACCTATGTCGGGAATCGAACCCGGGTCTTCGGCGTGACGAGCGAACGCTTTAACCACTAGGCTACCCGACCGCCCCTAAATAGCATCTGGAGGTGAGGTAGATGGGTTGGAATTCAAGGAACCAAGAGACAAGGAAAAGACATAGCCACTGGATTGGTGTCGTTATGAAAATATAATGATGTAGAAGGATTCTGGTTTTTGTTTCATTGTAATGCAGACCGGACGGCCGGACATCGATCCAGACAACTGTCCCTGACACCATTACATCCTGGGTGGCCAGTGCCTTCGCCATCAGCCCACGCTCCGGACTCGGAGTAGCACCTACCTCGGCGAAGGTGAACATTAAGCCACAATATCGTATATTTATTAACAATGTCATATACCTGTAAGGATCCACGTCACTTTCTGCGTGTTGCCCCATATGAGATTATGCTTTTAGTGAACGTCTGTCACCCGTCTTTCTCAAACTTCTTTACTCTAGTTAAGCATCCTATTTAGTGTATGCTCATAAGAAATTATATATATCAGAACAATATGCTGAGACTTTTTCAACCATATTTTGATGGCTATGAACTTCCAACGCGTACACACTTCACCCATCTTCCTATAATGTTTTGAAGGGGCCCTATGTGTTGACTAGAAGAGTTGACACAAGTCGTATAGACACGGGTTCGATCTCACATAGGTAATATTTGGGATGACACTGTCTTTGTAAAGTACAGATTCTAGATCTTTTTGGTTTAGTCTTATCCGGGACTCGAACCCACACTCAAAGAGCGAGGCACCTAATCGCCAGCCTACAAAGTCGGCGATCTAACCCACTTAGCCACCAACGCTTCCACAAAATAAAAGTCCGAAAACTGATAGTCTAGATCACGTACTTCGTGTACCCCTCTGAGAAATGTAAATTGACACGGTTCTCATGAAAGCCATGAATACACGATGCCATTTTACTAGTACTAGAATACTTAACAAAGAGAGTGTAATCCAAATTATGAAATATCTTACATTTTACCACTTTCTCAATGGCATCGTGTATACACGGGTTCGATTGCCCACATCGGTAAAGTATACTAGGAAACCCATTCTTGACGTCCCCCGTCGTGATATGCCAAATGGCGTAAAATCAGTCACATTCGCCCACGTTTGTATTCCTATGTTGCACAGCTTCAAGTGTTCCGGTCCTTCTTCGTCAGTCTGAACCTGCCGCTGTCCGTGGTGCGCGGGGAGCAGGTGGTCCTCCAGGCCAACGTCTTCAACTACCTGCCCTCAGTGGAAGAGGTAGGTCACGGTCTACATTGATATCAGAAGTGTGGCATGATGCTTCGTACACACTGCTGTCGGGGTGTGAGGTAGCCCAGTGGTTAAAGCGTTCCCGACATGGCTGAAAGGTGTGTAGCCTATTTCTTGGTAACAATACTGAACATGATATCTGTGGTTTCACACAATCGAATTTTCATGTGAAAAATTCTTGACTTTTAACCAGTCAACAAATCAACATCAGAAGCGATTTTGATACGTACAAAAGTAAAACCTCAAAGCAGGTGTTATTCAATCAAAGTAAAACCTTAGGTCTTACTAAAAAAGAAACAGAACTTCAAAGTAAGACATCCCTATTCAAAGTCGCTCCGGGCTTTCACCTTGATTTGCTCCAAATACCGTATTCGACGTAATAAGCGCCCCGCTCTTATAAGCGCCCACGGCAATAATTCCTGATATATTTGCTAGTGAACAATCCCAATTATCACCCCTTCCGATTGATCAATGTACACAAGACTTATTTATTCGTGTATAATATGTGTTATATGCATCCTTAATTATGGAAAAATTAAATTCTCGAAAAATATATCTGTTGTATGTAAACATTTCAGGCTGTCAGCATAAACCACGAAATTAAGGATCTTTCAACTCTGTTGTTTTTGACCAAAATTATATTCTAATAACAGCCCCCTATTTCTAATTTTGAGAGCGCCCTGGGCGCTTGTTATGTCGAATACGGTACTGTTGAAAGCCCCGTGTAGAACAATTAGTCGACGTCACCGAAGGTTTATAGTAGTCATTGGGTCACATCTTTCATATGTTTGAGGGCCCATGGACGAGGCAGGATAAGCTTATCCGTTTTGCGAACCTCTTATTTAGACATGTTTCGTGCATTTTGCTTTTCTACAAAGGTTTGTGATACATCACGTGCCAAGTCCCTTATCCTATTATTATGTAAGTGATTTGAATAATATATACCTAAGATGGGAGAGAATGAACATATTGAGTATGATATCTCGTCATATTACCTTTTTATAGGTAACCGTTGAGCTGAAGAAAAACAGCGGTTTCCAGAGTGTCGTTATTGGTTCTGGTGGTGAAGAAAACCTGACCTCTGAACCACAGCTTCAGACGTATATGGTCGGCCCAGGTGAAGCCAAAGCTGTTTACTTTCCAATAGTTCCTTCAATCATTGGCGATGTCGAAATCGAGGTCTCCGCCAGATCCCCAGCAGCAGCTGACGCCGTCAAGAGGCAACTGAGAGTGAAGGTTTGTCAATGAAGGACATAAATGTAACTATTTAAACAAAATGTCATGCTAAATTGAATTATTTAATACATTGTGTTTTGCAATCTGTCACATAACGATCAAAGGACAGGGTAAGCTGCGAGCAAGTTCGGGTCAACAGGAATTGGTTCAAATTTGTTCTGGATATTGATGATCGTCTGTATGTGACTAACAACAAGCCATTTCTATCACTTAGATTTAGGGCTAATGACATGATCAAATACAGCGGCTTGCAGGAATAAAGGAATACAAATAAAAAATGTAAGGAAAGAGAACATCAGCTATGAGCAAGATGACCAAAGATACACTTACACCATATTGTTTTAATGTATTTACCTACATGTGTGATGAGAGCCAGTTTGGGTAAACAGGAATTGGTTCAAAATGATTCTGGACATTGATGGTCGACTTTACTTGTTTATTAACTACGAGACACTTCTATCATTTGCAGATTTTGGTCTTATGACAAAATCAAATACAGCGGCATGACTAAAAGGAAGAAACATGCCAATGTTTCGCACTCAAGGAGAACGTTAATTCCTGTAAGATTACTTTCGCAATAGTCACCTCAGATGATATAGATTTTAATTGTATCCATTTTTTTCAAAAAGGCAGAAGGTATCAGGAAAGAAAAAAACATCCCTGTTCTCGTTGACCTGACATCAGACAAAACGTTCTCCAAGACGATTAAGGTTTCCTCTCCACCTGGACTTGTTGAGGGGTCTGAAAGAGTTCGGCTCACAGTGACCGGTAAGTTGACACTGAGCATATCAGTGACAGTGACTCTGGAGTTAGTTGATTACTGCTTTGTTGGAGTTAATTAGTGGTACGTAGATGACAGTTGGTTGATAATTGCTGTATGACCGAGGTATTTCTTGGCAGTTCGTTGGTAGTATATGGCTGATAGTTGTTGTGTGACAGAGGTATTTCTTGACAGTATGTTGGTAGTACTTGGTTGATAATTTCTGTGTGACAGAGGTATTTCTTGACAGTTCGTTGGTAGTACTTGGTTGATAACTGCTGTATGACAGAGGTATTTCTTGACAGTTCGTTGGTAGTACTTGGTTGATAATTTCTGTGTGACAGAGGTATTTCTTGACAGTGCGTTGATAGTACTTCGTTGATAACTATTTCTTGGCAGATACTTGACATAAACTTGTTGGTTGTTGGTTGATGAAGGTAATTCATGACAGCGACAGTTGGTTGCTTATAGCTATGTCACAGTGACATGGACTTGGTTAGTCAAGTTACACTGATTTGTTGAAAAATAAAAGATGTTCCCATTAATAACTTGAGAGGTGGTTTTATTACAACTCTGCGTCAAAAGGTGATACACGTGATATTCATGTTGGTGTAGTTACAGGCATGTTGCATACGAAGGCTGTGTTAATTAAATGAACGTTGGTTGGTTAATACACCATGGGTCAACTATTGTCCATTACAGGAGACCTGCTTGGCCCAAGCCTTGATGGGATGGAAAACCTCCTGTCCCTGCCAACTGGATGTGGGGAACAGAACATGCTGAAGTTTGCTCCCAATATCTACATCGCCAACTACCTTGAAGCGACCAACCAAATGACAAGGGCGTTGGAGGATAAGATCAAGTCCTATCTGGAAGTTGGTGAGTGGCATGCTGATTGACTGGTGTCAGAAGTTGGTGAGTGGCATGCTGATTGACTAGAGTCAGAAGTTGGTGAGTGGCATGATGATTTACAAGTGTCGGAAGTTGGTGAGTTGCATGATAATTTTGCTTGATCCAGGAAATGTTCCCAAATACATCATTGTACACGACAAACCCTATTCAAACTGCCAAGGGAAATAAATCTTTACCATTTGGATTCTTCGTGTCATCTCACATCGTGTACATTAACATACACTAAAGGCACTAAACTGCGCAATACACCTGTCCTTCAGTCATGTCACAGCAGAAAACTTTAAGAACTGGCCTTTTCTCTCCTCAGGCTACCAACGTCAACTGTCCTACCAGAGAAGTGACGGGTCATTCAGTACTTTCGGGGAGCGAGATGAGGCCGGAAGTGTGTGGTAAGTGAGAGAGATATGGTGCACGTGAATCAGTAAGGGTTGCGTGAGTGAGAGATGGTGTGATGGAAGGAAACTAGTTGAAGCCAAACCTTCTGCGATCTATTCCCCTAAACCTGTCGCCGTCTGTCTTCAATGTTATGTTGTGTGATCAGGAGGTCCAGTCGTCCAAGGCGCTGCAATTCGCTGTGGAGAATTGCGTCCCTTGGGTAAGGCAGAAACCTATGATCGCAGGTTCGAAGTCTTAGAAGGGTCTTAGAAGTTTGACAAACAGAGAAACAAACTCATGATAAATCTTGATGATCCAAGGAAAATGGAACAGGCAAACATCTGCACAGCGTCTCAAACGAGTTTACGGCCCGTCTGATCAGTGCTTTAACACACACTGATGATACCCAATGAAGTGTATCACCACACGCTAGTTATTTCATTGACTTGAATGTAATAAACAATATTGGGACAAAAGGCCAACTGACTTCAAGGCTATTATTAAACGGCCAGTTATGTACATAATTTAGAAAACAAAAAGGACACAGGCACATTTCTAAAAGCAAATCGCCATATCCGTTTAACACATTTTTTACATTACAAAAACTGTTTAAGCCATCATATCTAAACATACAAGTGGCCCATGTCATTAGATCACCCATTAATTTAAGACAATAATTTCAAGACGTGTATTTGATACCACTGTTTTTAAACAGGCTCACCTCTTTCGTGGTGAAGTCGCTTTTCCAGGCTCGCCAATACATCTACGTCGACAATTCCACCATTGACAAAGCCCTCAGCTTTCTCGCAGACATGCAGACGAGTGATGGCGCTTTCGTGGAACCGGGCAGAGTTATTGACAAACAGCTACAGGTAAGATAATCTCATGTTACAGAGGCAGAACCAGGATTTTGAAAAAGGGGAGCGAGGCACATAATAACTAATACTTAGCCGCATAGCATAATGTCACTAGTCATTCATATTTTGTTTCATAATCTCGTCTTAATTAGGACCGTTTACGGCTCACGGAGCTATAAAAATAACTGACAGATACAGATAGCATGACTATCTTGAGGTAAAGTGGTATACAAACATTAGTTTTCTAAACTCGGTTACAGGGTACCAAGGGCTCCGGACCAGGTCTCACTGCCTACGTGCTGATTGCCCTTGTTGAGACTTCAGGACACAATGGTTCACGGGTAAGAGACGTTTCTTCGAGCGTTGCATGTCCAATGTATATGAAATGGAACTCTTTTTAACGAACAGATCCATTTAATAAAACTATCATGTATTAACATAATATACCCAGAAATGAATGTGTGTCTGTTAAATTGCCATTTGGATCAGAGCCAAGAGGTTGCAAGCTCAGTGGCAATTCTGATGGTTTTCCTCTTCCCGAAATAAAATACAATTAAATGATAGCCAACGCGTTGCTGATGTAGCATCCCATCTGCAGGACCAAATATGTTGATGACATTGCTCATAAAACCAATCACTGGTTAGTCTGGTGCAGAATTGATTGTTTTCGGGCTGCCATCTTGTTGCTGGAATATTGCTGAACGGGACGTTCATTACTAAACAAGAAATAGCTGAACCCCATCGACTGATCAATAAGTAACCATCTGACATGACAGATATGAGTATTTGGTTGTTACAGGTCAACAGCTCACGTCTCCAGGACATACAGCAGAAAGCTATGACGTACCTTGAGAGGCAAGACTTTCAGCATTTGGCCCAATACCCCCTGGCTATCACCACATATGCCCTGTCTAAGGCCGGGAGCAGATACTCTGGGAGAGCCTTCCTTCAGCTCAAGAAAGTGGCTAAGAACAAGGGTGAGCTTTCGCCTTTACCAGGCTCTTAGAAGTCTTCACGTCTTCATGTTTAACTATTTATTTTCTCTTGCCAGCAATAGTACAATCTGCTTATTAGAAGAGTACAATTATTTTTACATGACAATAATCACATTCATGGTCGAAACATTTGTAACTATATGTCAAGTATTTGGTCTGACCTTACTTAACCTTTATTACTTGTCTGGCTTTTCAATTTGTGAAAAGCTTAACGTGCATGGACGTTGAGAATTGAACCGGGAAACCGATATTCTCGTTGGTCTTGACGCCTTTTCACCTAATATTGTTTTTATTTACGAGGATAAGTTTGTGTACTCACGAAACGCTTATCACATCTTGTATTACATCGAACTATGTATAAAATTCTTGAAACAAAAGTCCTGAGCCAAAGTTGACAGCTCATAAATAAACCATGGGTGATCCAATGTAGTTCCCAAACTCCTACCAAGCAATGTTTGTATTGTGCAGATGGTAAGAAGTATTGGGATGTGAATACTGATGCCAACGAGAAAAAGGCCGAAGTGAAAACGGAACCAATCGACATACTGACGACGGCCTACGGCCTAATGACCTTCGTCTCCCACAATAAGTTCAGCCCTGGAATGGGCATCATGCGCTGGCTGTCGGCACAGAGGAACCCAAGGGGTGGATTTATATCCTCTCAGGTGACTTTAGACAATTGAACTTTAGAACTCAGAAATGGCAAGTAAATATTTCTATTTCTTCTTGAAGGATCTTTTCTATTTGAAGCCTCAGGTCCCTGTACGAAACTGAAAAAGCTGTGTGCAGTTTCAGTCATATCCTCTCAGGTAACTTTAGACATTTGAACTTTGGAACTCAGAAATGGAAAGTAAATATTTCAATTTCTTCTTGAAGGATCTTTTCTATTTGAAGCCCCAGGTCCAAGTACGAAACTGAAAAAGCTATGTGCAGTTTCAGTCAGATTGGATTGCAAAAGTTAATTCTTGTCACCACTGGTTACACTTTTTCCATATTGCCTCCTAGAATTGCCTGGCCAGTAGTGTTTGCCATTTTTCAACCTGTACTGAAACACTGTGAGAACACATGTAACATTTGACAAAATGGCCACGAAGGTCAATTTAAGATGTTCCGTGTTGTTAAGCATTAGATAATGAAACACAATAGTGTCATTTTGTCACACAGTCATCATTTATTGTCAATTGTGTACTGCTAAAATTGTGTTTGTCTTCTCAGGGATTGCCACAGTAATTGTTTTAATTGTATCATGGTGACCTGTAAATAATCTACCCCGGATCCGTCAAACCAGTGACTGACAGCTCAAGCAGAAATACACGCCATCGAGGCTTGATGACATGCAATCAGCCAAGTCTGACCATCCAATCCAGTTTAGACGACTCTGGGCATATGTTACTAGGGAATAAGTTTACCTCGAATGCCCACAGAAGAGTCTTGATAGTGCATTGTAAATTGTAATGCACCATTGTATATTGGTATGGATCTAAGATTGCATCACTGAAATGCTTCAGGATACGACTGTAGCCCTCGAGGCTCTGACCCTGTTCATGGTAGGCGCGCAGCCTGACAACTACAACGTCAGACTCCAACTCACAGCCGGGGATGAAGTCAGGACCATCACCGTCAACAACAAAAACGCCCTCGTCCTACAGAGCATCGACGTAAGTTACCCCTACACAGTTTCATCGATACCGATAACATAACGTTGAAGAGTCATGTCGAAATTTTTATGTGGGTAAATTGGGGTTAACGCCGCTTTTAACAGTATGCCAGTTGTATCATGGCGTTTACAAAAAGTCAACGTCTGAAATGTAGACTGATTCTGCCATTAGCCAAACTACTTTATCATTTCTGTATCACTGGTGTATACTGTAAATTAAGAAATTAATGCGTCACCAAGTTTATGCAAGTGTTGACCCCTCGCCGAAGATGCGTTATGAAATAAAGCGAGTAGCCCTATCTTAAACTATAAAAGAATAATTGATCAATTTATAGTAAGTACAGCTTTGTCTCTGTTGAACAGTGTGTCAATATGATGGGTTTTGTAATGTTTATGAGCCATTCACTTGCTTAATTTCAGCTGACATCCATTCCACCCGAGTTGAAGGTTTCCGCAGAAGGCACTGGCTTTGCTGTTGTTGAGGTACAATATCTTTGTGTGAACATGCCTAACAAATTATTAACATAAGGACATGCATATAAATAAACAGGTACATTTGACGTTAATTTGTCGTCATCATAGTTTCACATAATATTGTCTTTCGTTCTCAGTTGGGCCTGTTTTACAACGTAGAGTCTGTGGCTGACGACAGTGACGTCTTTGATGTCAGCACAGTGCTCCTCGACGACACCATCAACGGCTTTACTCTCATGACATGTGCCAAGTATGTGTTTCTATCATGTCTTTATAATATAGGGTGTACAGGTGGCCCAGTCGTATAAAGTGCACAGTCGTCACTGTGCAGTTTTGCACCCCTGTTCCGTGTCAAAAACCTATGATCGTGGGTTTGAATCTCATGTACGCCCTCATTTATGTCTGGGTTTATCAGCACTAAACCGAGATGGTGGGTTTCATCCAAAGTGGTAAACGTCTAAGACCTGCATCACTGTGAACCTTCCTCCCACATTAAGCTTACACAACGTGATATAAGTGGAATACTTTTCTCTCTCTGAAGAGCAAGATTAGTTTTAAAGGGCACCTCTTCTTATTCCACGTGTGTACACCCCAATCTGTCAGTTGAATAATCAGGATTACAGTAACTGTGACATATTTACTTTCAAAGACATCTCCAGGACGGTTCGAGTGGGATGTGTGTTGAGACCATCCAGATTCCATCCGGGTTTACAGCTGATCTCTCCAGTGCAGGCAACATAGCGGGACTTAAACGCCTAGAACAGACTGACGGTCAAGTCGTCGCCTACTTTGACTCGGTAAATTTTTACTGTGCTACAGACTTGTGGACATATGTGTATACATTTCCGACATTAAATGTCATAATCAATGAATATTCGAAAATATTTGTGAAAAAGTTGGAATTTGAATAGTTGTCTTCTGCAACAAAAAGTCTTGGCCAATGGTATTCAGAGAATGTCTATGCTGGGTTGACAATGCCGCAAGATCTCCTGTTGTGGGTGAGTTTAACATCCCCATGGCGTCATTGAATCATGGACCTTCGCCAAACATACGTTGTATTCTGTGTAGGTTGGGAAGACCTCTACATGCATGAAGCTGTCTTGCTCCAGGGTGAACATGGTGGCCAAGAACAAACCTGTGTACATTTCCATGGTGGACTATTACAAGCCAGGTAAGTTCCGTGGTAATATTACTGTACCCATTTGAACACTTGTAAGCTACGTAGCATGATAACAACATGACATAACTGACACCATCCTTGCGTAAATGTCAGATTTGATTGAGTGAGTGAGTTGGGTTTAACGCCGCTTTTAACAGTATTCCAGTTATATCACGGCGTGTCAGCTTAATGTTGGAGGAAAGCCCGAAGTGATGCAGGTCTCAGACGTTTACCACTTCGGTGAAACCCACGAGCACGGGTATGGTGCTGACAAACCTAGAAACCTAGAAACATAATCGGGGTTCTGGATTTGTCTTGCATGAAATGATATAATCATGTTATTATGACAACATGTATTGGCTCGCAGATGACCTTGATCCATTAAAGTGATACACGATACTTAATTAAGCACTAAACAACTTTTTCACAGCATAGAAGACTATTGATGGTTTTCGTAATCAGATTTCACTTAAACCAAACAACTATGACACTGGTTGCAACTTAATTCCCTCACCCTTCCTTACCTCAGCCTTAATCTATGCTACAGCTACATCTACCTTATGTTTTAGTCTACGATTATATACATGAGTCAGCAATGATATTTAGTCTGTCTAGGTCTGTTCCTCTCGTGGGTATGAATCAGTTGTTGTTCTGTGACTGGTCTATCGGATCCTGATCTGGGTTTCAGTCTGCCCTTGTCCTATGTCTCGCCTTCGTCCGACCCCGACCAAGGTTCGAGTCCGTCCTATTCCGAGTCTCCCCGAAAAAGTCTAAAGTGTCATAGATTTTTTGTATTCTGTCCTCGTGGTCCCCTGTCATGTACTGTTTTACATATGACACCACCGTGGCCCCAAATCCTGTTTTACAGGTAACCATTAATGTGGTCGTTGAACATGTATGCGATTTTACAGATGATAACATTGTGATCTCCTATAATGTGTTATGTTTTACAGATGATAGCACTGTGGTCTCCTACCATCCTCGTAGACTTCAGAAGTCAAGTGTCTGCGAGATATGTCCCCAGTGTTCCGACTGTAATTAACAGGTAAGTTATGTTGAATCCAGCAAGGACAATGGTACTTCACACTTCTAACCAGACCCACTAGAGATTAGGGGACCCAATGGAATCAGATCAGGTCATGCCTTCCTTGAGATGCGGTTGCCGTTGAGACAAAATGGATGCCATCTGCGGGTTCTGTTTGGGTCTCCACGTGAAGGAAATATCCGGAAACCGATCCCATTAGACTTTCTCCTGAAAGACATGATTCACCTGGAAAGTACACTTCCCCATGTGGAACCTGCGACAGAATGGTGCCTAAACAATCCCCGCCTTCTGTTTTACCAACGATCGATGTTGGTACATGTTTGCGCCAACACCCAACAGACTGCCACGGCTACATACCGTACGTCATACTATCCTTATCACTGGGACTGATGTCCACACTGTGGATTGACGGTTTACAATGTCTTTCACATACGCGAGACCTGGCTTCAACGCCTTTCACTCGCAGTTCAAAGTGAAGGGCCAGTCTAATTTTGGGTTATAACAATCATTCCACTGAACCATGATTTATAAGATAGAGAATATATGGATGTCAACTTCTTTATTATGAGGAACACAACGTTTCGGGGGATATGCTTACTCCTTCATCGGGTGATCCTTCATCATTCACCTGATGAAGGAGTAAGCATATACTCCGAAACGTTGTTTTCCTCATAATAAAGAAGTTGACATCCATATTTTTTCTCCTTATGTGTATCATTTCTAAATGCCTTTCAAAGACCTTATATGATTAATGCTTTGGACAAGTTTCAAAGACACTTAAATTCTAGAATCTAGATTCATTGGGGTCATTAAATATTCTTGGACTTCCAAAATATTCAGCGAACAAATATCACAAACATTTGTGTCATCATGAAATTAATCGTTTCTTTTTAATCCTTCTTCACGAGATATTATAGACATAATTCCATGAATTATTTACATTCGTACACTTTGCCTTAACGGGGTAACTTTCTTCTTTCATCATTTTAATCAATGACAATATGATATATATATCCAGCTTTATTAAGGGTATAATGGAAAGACCAGACATACAAGGAACTCATCATCTCGCCAGAAAAGCCCCAACTCATTGCATAACACAGACCGCATTCATCTACGCGTTTCTTTCATAATGCCATGAGAGACTAAACTGAATGGATGCATTCTGTTGCAGTCCTAGACAACGTGGACAAATGGAGTCCACACATCAACCTGACGTTTCAACAAGACACACAGCTAATAACTACTGTAGTGTCGAAAGTTGAAATATTACAGTGACAATGTATGATGACATTCCTGTGTATTTTTATATCGGAATATACCTCCCAATAACTATATCCCAACCTGCCTGAAATTGACGCAGAGGTCCAGCAGAACCCGTGGAAGGTTCTTTCTGGGAGATGATCGCCATGACTCTCATACAATATTCTATCGGACATCTACACTTTTCTTTAAGGCAAGGAGAGACTAAACTGAATGTATGTATTCTGTTGCAGTCCTAGACAACGTTGGCAAATGGCGCCCACAGATCAGCCTGACGTTTCAACAAGACACACAGCTTATAACTGCTCTAGTGTCGAAAGTTGAAATATTACAGTGACACTGGATGATGACATTCCTGTGCGTGTATTTTCATATCGGAATGCATCTCCCAAAAACTGTACCAAGACCTGCCTGAAGTTGACGCAGAGACCCGGTCGTGTAAGGTCTCATCAGGGAGATGATCACCATGACACTCTGGTGCGGGTTAAATATAAAACCAGTGCCTGACTCTCATACAATACATCAGACAAATATTTTATATTGAAATAGTTTATAGCCTTAATGCGTTATACCCGTACACAATTACATACGCCAATTGCTCGCTCAAGATTCAATTCCATATATGATTCCAAACACACTTTTGTGTCTCTCACTTTATTCTTATAACTCGACACCGATGTATAATAACTTTCCCTTCACACATACATGGCTTGGAAATTGAATAAAGGCTTAGTAGTGCTGTATTTCCTGGGAGAATCATGAAGCTGTTGTGTGTTGTCTTTCTTGTTACTATCTGTGTTGTCTTTAACGAGGATACTATTCCCATACACTGCCTCCATAAAAAATTAGGGGCGGTCGGGTAGCCAAGTGGTTAAAGCGTTCGCTCGTCACGCCGAAGACCCGGGTTCGATTCCCGACATGGGTACAATGTGTGAAGCCCATTTCTGGTGTCCCCCGCGTGATATTGCTGGAATATTGCTAAAGGCGGCGTAAAACCATACTCACTCACTCCCATAAAAAATAAGACTGACCTATTCAGTCAGTTGACTGTACCTTGCATATATTCAACATACAACTGTCCCATCTGTCTTCCCATCTGAAAATATATATCAAGCGACTCAATGCCTTTAACAAAAAAGTAGAATTATAATAAAGTCTGTACACGAAGGTCGTTTCAGTTTAAGCAGTTCGTAGTTGGAAAAATATATTCTTTTCTACACAGAGAAACGTCAATTCTTTGAAATTTTGTAGTTGTTCTTTGAATCTGTAGACATCTTTAATGTGTACCGCGCTAAAGGGAGTTAACCAATGGCTGACCAGGGAGCATCAGGTGTCACACACATTACATATTACAGCTTGGTTTCGACCGCCTCCGTGGTCTAGTGGTAGAGCGTCCGCCCGGAGAGCGGAAGGTCCGGGGTTCGATCCCCGGCCGCGTCATACCAAAAGACGTTAAAAGATGGTACTTGTTGTTACCCTGTCTGCCAGTATACTTTGTCTGAGTGGGGTATTCATGTTAAACTGCGGCATGGTATCTCAGTGAGCTAGCACTATAAATCGGCATCAGTCCGGACTAGTACAAGCAGCCACACAAACACACACACGTACATGCACGTCGCTATATAAGTGCAATAATCTTGGACGCGACGTAAAACCCCACTTCACCTCACCTCACCTCACATCTTGGTTTCCTGAGAGAGACATACCAATTCTTAAGCAACTTTCTATTGGATATCAATAGCATGCACGCATTTATACTTCTTTTAGTCAAGATTAATACACAGACACGTTATCTATTTGTGTGTAATTGTACCCAGCTACCAAATGTGTTCACGAGTTTACTAAAGTACTTCAGGTGCATCCTGCAACAAGGGCCAATGTTTTAAATTCAATATTTGGTAATCTTCAGAAATTCCCGCAAAACAATACTTGTACAAGGATCTTACTTCCATAAACGGGACACATGATAACTGGTAAAGATTAATTCCTCTTCAAAAGTACCAACAGTGAATCAAGTGCTTTCGCTGTGCAGAGTTGCGTCCCATGGGCACGCCAGAAACCTATAATTGGTTCGAATCCCGGTTCGCCCCGATTATGTTTCTAGGTTTGTCAGCACCATACCCGTGCTCGTGGGTTTCACCGAAGTGGTAAACCTCTGAGACCTGCATCACTTCGGGCTTTTTCCCACATTAAGCTGACACGCCGCGATATAACTGGAATACTGTTAAAAGGGGCGTTAAACCCAACTCACTCACACACTCACTCACTCACTAGCTAATCAAGTGCTTGATCTCCGTACTTACTTGGCTGGTAGTAGTCATAGACCGTGACGCAATTGGGCTGGTTGTTCGTCACCATGCCGGTTCTGGTTGATAGGACGTCGAAACAGTTGAACTCACTTCATCAAAGTAAACAGCACCATTCCTTCTCATCTTACCCCTCTTTTGAGGTCAGGGACGTTCCCAATTGACGTTATATCCGGATCAAGCCTGATGGGAACGATATTTCCATAACTGCCACTGCATCCTTTCTTCAACCATCTAATCAAGAAAATATTCGAAACACTTATTTCTTTAAAGCGTTTGTCATCAACTAATATCCATTCTGTCATAGTCATCATCGAAGATTTAACATCATATTCGTCATGTCAATGTAAGATTTCATTTGACTATTGTAAGGGTTTGTTACTGGCAAAACATATCACAACGACACCTACATAGGGACAAAATGAAATAATTTCTAAAGACAGTGTGAAAAAATATTTCATTTAGAGCAAAGCAATCCTTATTCCCATTCGTACTTTGGTTTTACTTTTCAGTTAACAAAGACCAGAGGAGTTTGAAATGGAGTATAACCATTTCTGCGTTGATCAATTCATTTTCACACATTTAAGTTGATGCGACTATTTCGATCTTGAAAAATGTTGAGTTGTCGCATTGTCGCACTTTTGGAAAAATATGTAATTCATTATTCATTATAAGCGCGACAATGCGTCAATAGGTCAAAATGCGCATTGTCTCGCACTGGTTAACTCCAACACTGTTTGCCTGTATTTATTAGGGCCACAACGAGACATCAGACGTTTTGGCAGCCGAGGGCACCCCGAAACATATACACAATTTAATATTCTTGGTGTAAAAATGGTGGACAAATTATTTTTTTCCTGCATTTTCGGGAAAAGTATATTTTTCCAAAACAGTTGTTTAGGATTTCAGGACATCAAATAAATCGTTTTGTTAAAGTCGTTGACACAAGCCCATGTCCCATTATACCATAAAGAAAAGTATTATGATTATGAAAATTTCTAATTTTGTCAATAAATCGCCAATAACATGTTCATCATAAACACAAACTTTTATGGACATACCCATTACGTTTCACGTGCAGCACATGTTCATCGATATGTGACTTTCCCTTGGCATAATAAGTGTGACTGTGTATTAAATGTCTATAACTAGATTGAGCATTTAAGTGTGACTTGCCCCAAACACACTCTGTGGTCTGTTTAAATAATAACCTGAACCCGACCATCGGCGTGGCGAACGCTTTAACCACCTTACCGCCACTGACAGGAAGAGCCAAACGATGTTTTTGGACCACAGTATTTTTCAGAATACCAGGAACGTCCAGTGGACGAGTCATGTGTTTTGTCCAGCATCCCCACACCTAGGATATCAGATGGTGGGTCGGCTTCTTTACTTCAAGTGAGCCACATCACAGGTGTCACAGCGTGTCAGACAGCGCGTGATAATCAACAGCAGGTTTTTGGTTTCGTTGACCGAAAATCTTTTACATAGTAGGACCGATCTATCTAGTAGGACCGATCTATGTAGTGGGACCGATCTATCTAGTATGACCGATGTATCTAGTAGGACTTATCTATCTAGTTGGACCGACCTATCTTGTAGGGCCGATCTAACTAGTAGGACCGATGTATCTAGTAGGACTGATCTATCTTGTTGGACCGACCTATCTACTATGATCAATCTATCTAGTAGGCCCAATCTAGCTAGTAGGACCAATCTATCTAGTAGGACCGACCTATTTAGTAGGACCAATCTGTCTAGTAGGACCGATCTAACTAGTAGGACTGATGTATCTAGTTGGACCGACCTATCTAGAAGGACCGATGTATCTAGTAGGACTGATCTATCTTGTTGGACCGACCAATCTACTATGATCAATCTATCTAGTAGGACCAATCTATCTAGTTTGACCGACCTATCTACTATGATCAATCTATCTTGTAGGACCAATCTAGCTAGTAGGACCGATGTATCTAGTAGGACTGATCTATCTAGTTGGACCGACCTATTTAATAGGACCAATCTATCTAGTAGGACCGATCTAACTAGTAGGACCGATCTATCTAGTGGGACCGACCTATCTAGAAGGACCTATCTATCTAGTATGACCGATCTAGCTAGTAGGACCAATCTAGCTGGTGGGACCGATCTAGCTAGTAGGACCAATCTAGCTGGTGGAACCGATCTATTTAGTAGGATCGATCTAGCTAGTGGAAATCGATCTATCTAATAGCGAAATTGTTATGTTGTAATGTTCAGTACTGAACTATCGAAAAGCCCAGTTCGCGCATTAGTGCTTCACGAGGCAAGAGCGTCCACTAGCCACTAGTCTTGTTTTCCACCCTTGCTACATAAAGTCCACTTTCCTGTGCTAAATATGATTGGATTATCGCACATATAGATAGTCCCGCCTGTCTTTGTTGACACGAATATGTCTTTTTGATCTTTTAAACCCCCCAACGATTGCCTATGTTTTTTGTAAGGGATGAAATCGCGAATGTTTTCGTTATATGGTCGACTAGGTCGTCACCTACATCATCATTATCATCAAAATAAAGTGAAAGTAGTAACTGTCTGTTGTTTCTGTGTGTACCAAATGTGACGATACCTTGTCAGAAACTATGGCTGTCTTGTGCAGACACGGTGTGACTCTACGACTATTGTCCACTTCTTTGGACAATGGTATATATAATATTTCGATAAACACAAAGTAACAGTTGTACACAAATTTAAAGACAGTCGGACCCCTGTCCCTCGACCCTAGCGGGACGATGTGTGTAACTTTGTAACATCCGGACATTCGGGATAGCAAGGCATGTACAGCTAGACAGATCAAGTGCAATTATTGATCCATAGACTTACGGCTGTATACACGAGAAATAAGGAGCACAACATGTGTACGCAATGAAAGGTATTTAGCAGGCATTGATCAATAACAACTGTGACAAATAACGTACACTGTACATGTCATGTCATACATCCAGGATTGACAAAACAACGTGTACTCTTGGCATCTAATCCATCAATGCCAACCATGTCAGGTACAAAGGAAATAAGTTGCGTAATATTTAACGACACAATAACCATTTCAGAAATTCACCGTTTGAATACGATCAGTTTATGATGTAATAACAATAAATACATTCCGCACGATCTGAATATTGATATTTGTTGAAGTCACGTAATCCCTCCCGCTGGCGGTCACTCTCCATCCGGCGGTTGAAGCAGGGAAGGTAGGTGCCCTTCAGTGTCCTCTCCGACTTTTTGAAGTTTAAAATCAAGCTAAAAATTGATTTATGAAGTGTTATGATTATGATATTCGTCCAACTGTACATGTGTATGCAATAATGCAGTACATAAGACTAGTGGCTTGTTTCATCGAGTTTTTAATAGTTCAATAGTTACAGATAACATACGTGTTATTGAAGCGTTTCGGTAATACTACAACATGCTAAAACATAACCTATTGTGTTGATTGGACCCGTGAAGATCCGGGGTACAATAGGTCTTCAGCAACCCATACTTGCCGTAGAAGGTGACTATGCTTGTCGTAAGAGGCGAGTAACGGGATCGGATGGTCAGCCTCGCTGACTTGGCTGATGCATGTCATCGTATCCCAATCGCATGGATCGATGTTTATGATGTCAATCACTGGATTGTCTGGTCCAGACTCGATTATTTACAGACCGCCGTCATACAGCTGGAATATTGCTGAGTGTGGCGTTAAACAACAAACCAAACAAAAACCATTGCGTTGATTGAACCAGCAATCTGTCAAATATAGGAGGCCTTAACTCAAAATATATTTGTAAAATGCCTGAAACAATGATTGATAAATTATCTAATTTTACTTGATAAATCTCTAAAATATTGGAAATTATTCTGTAAGCCACGTAGTTATTTTAATCTACGAAAGATCAGAGCGACAGACATCTTAGATAGTTCGATTATGCTGTGTCTGTTATTATAATAAAATTTGAGATTAAAATCTGTCTCTATGGAGGCGTGTATAGCATACACTTTTTAATAGTCTTGATGTAAACTGGTGTACACATTACATTTTTCCTGTAATTTCTGGGAACGTATATTTTTCCCACAGTGTTCGTTTAGGATTTCAAGATATCATTGTTTTGTTACAACCGTTGCGCAATCCCTGTGTTTTAAGCAGTATAAAACAGGGGACAGGTAATGATTGCTTCACTGTTCCCTGTACTGCTCATCAAACGCAGGACATGAAGTCGCTCTACAGCTGAGACGAGTAATAGTACTAAAAGTGGGTTTCCAGTCTGAGACTAGCCAGCTTCTCATTTTGACGATTGCTTGTACAAGTCTGTCCACTGTTTCAGCTCCAGCTCCACCGACACGATGTTGGTCACGGCGGTAGTTGCCCTCCTCCTCGTTGTCACAGTCCACGCAAAGAAGTGAGTACAAACCAACTGAATGGTCCACGGTTCAATTATAAGATGAATCAAGTGCAACCAAAATAAACAGTAATAACGTGATTTTGAGACGCTGTGAGTTTTTTATTGTTCATCGTATCTTATCAAATCCATGGCAGCAAACTGATACCTTTTTATACACTAAACACATATCATTATGTTTTGGGAGACCAGTTATCACTACCATTATAGGTTGGCTCAGTTTTTAATCTTGTCTTTCAATAAAATTATTCACAGTGGTACCTCCCTTCTTCGGGTCATTTACAATTCCAAATGCCATTTATATGAGCTCAGAAAGGCGCGATAATGAACCACACCTCACATGTAACTCTACGGATGGATGGATGGATGGATAGATAGACAGATGATGGATGGCTAGATAGATTGTCTATATATCCTGAAGATACATTATATAAGATAGTTATATGAATATAAATTAAAACTAAACAATGTAGTTATATGTCATGGTGTAGAGGTATGAACAAATGCTTCCACTTGTTAACATAATCAGAGACTAGTAACATTGTTTCGCCCAATATATCAAGCACAAGGCCTTTCATGCAATCAGGCAGTCCGCCTTAGAGGAAAGACATTATAACATCATCATCATTCGACCAAAGGTCAACAAAGCAATTCACATCGGTAATATCAAAAATATTTTTAAACGTTTCATTTCTTTCTTGCATATTAACAGTACATGACATAAAAAAGGGTTTGACTATGTCATGGGCTACAGTTCCGCAACGACACTCTCGCGATTCTGTCTCAGAGGATCATGTTTTGACCGTATTAGACAGAACATAAAACTTTGAAGGAAAGCGTGGCCATATCCTGTGTTGACATGTGCACAGTGAAGTGCGGAGCCTGAGACGATTGAGCTACCCGTACCTCTAATCCCGTCAGAATCTGGATCATTAACCCATTGACATCACTAATCAGTCATCTTCCCGAGGCAAGTGAGTTAACTGACTATAAAAGTCCAATTTCCACCCTTGCCGAACTAGGCTGGTATTATGGAGTTACATTTTGGCTGGACTAACGAGTCTATGCATAGTCCAATCAAAATCGCGCACCGAAATCGAAATCCGGTTCGTAGAGTGTCATGCAGATTTCGGTCGACTGCAGGATTTGCAAAGCATGTGCACCGCTAACTCGTTGTCAACAGATATTTTCTAAATCTTGTCATGTTTTTAATCAAGATGCTCACGTGATTTGATGCACTTCGCGATGTAAGACTCGTTTTATCACAATATAGATCTTGATTATCGAGCAGATCGTCTTGACTGGGCGCCACCGTTTTGTTTGAAACAAATGCAAGTAATACGAGAGGTTGAATCTGATTGGTCAATAGGAGAGGCATAGAAAGGACATAACTCGTAATAGCCACTGGTGGTGCTACGATCGAGCCCAGGAATTCCAGCCTAGTTCGGAAAGGGTGGAAAATGGACTTTTAAAGTCAGTTAACTCTCTTGCCTCGGGAAGATGCTCATCAGTTGACTGAAAATGTCCTTGAAGTCAACACACAAAGGGTTTCATATGTACTGAAGCTCTAACGTCCGTCAGCATGATTTTTCGTGCCTTTGAGTGTCTGCTATTGTTATATTTTACCAGCACATTCCTGATCACAGCATCGCAGCGGATTACCCTGGGACGGCCGTTCGTCGTCAACGTCAACATCCTAAACTCGCGTGTTCCCGTCGACGTTGATATCAGCATCGTCCATTCCTGGTACAACGGGACGTACGTGAAGACACCTGTCGCCAACGTCACACGAAGATTCAAACAGGGTACGTATTTTTAACATTGTGCAACGTGTGCGACAGCGAACACGGTGTTAATTCTGGAGTTATTGAGGATTATGATTACAGTTTGTAAACAAAGGCATAATGATAAATGTTGAGGAGTGATTGGAAGATATGTTTGTTTGTAATTGAAAGTGAATGTATATGTGTGATATATTGATGATCGCCCATGACTAAGTCACACGTGCATTTGCTGTTACAGATGAGCCAGCCACTGTTACACTGGTCGTAAGTATGCTACTTTGGTGAAGGCGCTTAATACATTTGCCAACACAGCGCATGATTCGCGGGAACGAGGCGTGATTTATACGTTGTGTTAAACATATGCGAACGTTACAAAGTTAAGGAACGCTTACAATATAATTGTATATTATTCAAATATTTCAATCGTATCCTGTAAAAATTCCTCTGGAAAAACTTGTTTTATTTCACAATATTACATTGAAATATAGAATCGAATAACTTGTTTTGTATCGATATCTGTTCCATAGCAAAGGTTATCTGAGTACACTTTCAATTGTTTCCTTGGATTCTTTATATGATGTGGTGTGAGTGAGTGAGTGAGTTGGGTTTAACGCGGCTTTTAACAGTATTCCAGTTATATGACGGCGTGTCAGCTTAAGGTGGGAGGAAAGCCCGAAGTGATGCAGGTCTCAGACGTTTACCACTTCGATGAAACCAACGAGCACGGGTAAGGTGCTGACAAATCTAGAAACATAATAATAATTCGAACCGGGATTCGAAACCACAATCATAGGTTTCTGGCGTGCCCAAGGGACGCAACTCTGCACAGCGAATCGCGGCGCCATAGAGTACTGGGCCACCCGTGCCCCCTGATGTGGTGTGAACCACTACCTGTGCCCATCTTGTAAAGTATACAGTGTTTCTGTAACAATTCGTCATCAGATATCGTTACTATATTAGACATTTAATAAAACGGAAGTTCAGGATTTAAAGAAGAAGTGGTATGTTTTTTTAGGAGTAATTTGGTAGAAATAAACTGCCGGGCAAAAAGAAGTATACACCCCTGTTTGATGGTGGCTTGAAATACAACAAACAAGAAATGGTTATTCGTTGATTTATTTAATATGGGTACCGTAGTTATGTTTTGGACCTTAAGTTTCCAGTGTCTCGGAGATTGTGTTAATGTTATGGTCAAATCCATTGCAAGTGTTATTCTTTCTTTTGCCTGTAGTTCAGTGAACATCAACGTAATAAATTACGTGTATGTAATTAGAGATATCCAATATTATGCACAGTTCTTCTCAAATAGAAATAGGTTACGAGCTTCAAATCAGCAATATGTAGAAGATGTCTTATAATGGTACAGAGCTTTCCGGGTAACATGTGAAGAAATCATGTTTATATGAATAACAATGAATAAATTACGTGTTTGTAATTAGAGATATCCAATATTATGCACAGTTCTTCTCAAATAGAAATAGGTTACGAGCTTCAAATCAGCAATATGTAGAAGATGTCTTATAATGGTACAGAGCTTTCCGGGTAACATGCGAAGAAATCATGTTTATATGAATATCAATGACCTACAGTCAACAGTCCAACAGTTCGTTATTACCAGGGGCGGTCGGGTAGCCTAGTGGTTAAAGCGTTCGCTCGTCACGACGAAGACCCGGGTTCGATTCCCGACATGGGTACGATGTGTGAAGCCCATTTCTGGTGTCCCCTGCAGTGATATTGCTGGAATATTGCTAAAAGCGGCGTAAAACCATACTCACTCACTCACTCACGTTATTACCATATCTTACTCTATTTGAACTAAATAATTCATGAAAACCTTAGTGTTCTGAATCAAAGCATCTGCATTACAGACGCAAAGAACTAACAAAGCATAGTTTCCACTATCAATGTGATTGAAACATGAACGACCATCATGTCATCTTAGAAATATATGTGAGGCCACGTGAAGCTTTAGTTCCTTACTTGTAGAATGGTCAAATGCGTGAACAATTTAAATAAATAATCAACGTCAACGCCAAGAAATAACCAGTCTCGATTATCTGACGAACCAGTTTCCATTGGGCGTCAAAAGGCAAAATAGTGGTGACAATTAAACTCATGTCCAAAAGACAGTCTATCAAGAGTTTGAAAGTCTATAAAAGAAAAACAAAAAAAGTAGAAAGTCAATAGTATATATTTCATTTGAGTTGTGTTTCAACTAAATTTGTAAACCTTGTTATGTCTTTACGGCTGACAAAGACTCAACGACGCATGAGGGTAAAAAATGACATGTTTCATGATATCACCGTCACAATACATGTTCAACATGACTTTAAAATCTCTGAAAGCACATTCAAAACCCAACTTAATACCGAGTATGTCAACTTGTGCATTAATGCACGCATGAACACGATGACGCACCGATGACGTCAAAAGTCGGATGACGTTTGGGGTAATCCAATGTCATTCCTCAAGGAGACATTGTTCCAGGTCTGTCTGGCTGGTGCCGCTGGTCGTCTTCTGATCTGTCGGTCAAGGTGATCCAATACATGTTCGATGGGGTTCACACCAGGGCCCACTTGCACAAAGCGATCTTAGCGCTAAGACTATTGTAAGCCTATGTTAAAGTATGGGAGTTACGATCATCTTAGCGCTAAGATCGCTTTGTGCAAGAGGGCCCCAGGAGAACACCCCGGCCAGGGTAAAACGTGGATGTTCGCGTTGTTCAGAAAGTTATGTGTGAGCCTTGCCGAATGCCGTCTCGCATTGTCTAGCTGGAAGACAACGCCACGTGGCTGTTGCTGAATGAATGGTTGCACAACTGGTCTCAAAACTTCATCCCGATGTCTCTGGACATTCAGGTTTCCCTGAATAATATCGATCCTATTTTGGACATCACCGCAGACACCTCCACAGACCCTGACTCTATAGCCTCTATATGGACGAACTTGTTGAACACAACCTGGTACGAAAGGTTGGCCTACTCGTCAGTACACTCGCTGCGGACCATCATTTCTGTAAAGCATAATCTACTCTCATTGGCGAACATGACGCGTCCAAAGCCTCGCACTTGCCAACGTTTAAGTCACCTTGCTCATGTCAACCTCTTACGTCGGTGTTGACGTGTTAACATCACTCCGCGGTGGGGTCGACGTGCTCTGACACCATGTTCATTAATTCCCTATACACTGTGACCCCGTGTCCCAGTGCCGTTACTGCCGTTAATGTCCTTGTAAGGTGCGGTTTCGGAGATGAATGCTCCGGATGTGGAGGTCTTCAATGGGCGTGGTCACCCGTGGCATCCCGCTTCTTTACCTGTCTGATGTCTCTCCTGCCTGTTGGAAACATTGCATCAATCTGGTAATGGTGACAGTGGTGGACCCAAACGTTCTTGCAATGACTCCTTGTTGCACCACACCAACCCTCTGTAATATGGTTAAACGTGGCATTTATTCTTGGTGCTTTTTGTGTTCATAATGCGCCGTGTCACCAGTTTTATTCATTACTTCTGAGCGTGCATTTCGTTCTAGGTAGCCCAACATCGTTGTGGAAAAGTGCACGATCGCGATTTCCCCCCAAAATGTCAATTTTCCCGCTTTTTGCCACCGAATACAGTTGGTTGTATTCGCGCGACATATTTAAGTCTGAATTTATATAGATTTTTTAAGTTATCAAAATAGTGGAAAGCATTTTTGTTGGTAAACTTTCATTTAGACATCAGTGTTCACGACTGGATCACTGACTTTTTCTCTGCTGGATACAACAATGTATATAATGTTAATCCGATTGACGCGTCACAGCCATCACGTGGGCCTGTCATGCAGCTCTTGGGAGATACTTTGTTGGCGAAATGTCCCGTACTCCAGCAAGATAAGGTTGCAGCGATTATTCAAGGATCCCGTTCCACAAAGTGATTTTAGCTCTTCGACTTCAATGTATCGTAAGTCAATGTTAAAGAATGGGAGTTGTCGTAGCCCTAAGATTACTTTGTAGTACGGACCGATGTTTAAGTTGATTGTGCTGAGATTTCAATGATGCTGTTCAAGGCACCACAAGAAACTGTCATTGGTCATTACCTGCTGAGGGTGAAGGGATCAGGAGGACTCATCTTTCAGAGAGAGTCAGGTCTGTCTCTAGTCAGGAAGACCATATCAGTGTTCATTCAAACCGACAAGGCCATGTACAAGCCAGGACAGCGAGGTAAGAACCTCAAGATGTCACATAGTCTCAGAAAGCACGGCTGGTTAATCTTAATGTATGGCTTCGAACAGTTATGGTAGAATAATCAGGTGGCTTTGAATGATGAATTTCCATATTTCGTGTTGCAGAGAGCTCTGCCGCTCTTCAGCAATGGCTCATTTAGGAACATTCCATTTAATATTCTGGTCCGTGTAAACGGGGGAGCAAAACAGTTTCATTTTTTATCACAGTCACTTTAGGACTTCCAGGATGCCCAAAGAACGATGGGTTTTCTTATGGTAAACCTGAGGACATTTTGTTTCTAATCTTATTTTTAGAATAGACAAGGTTTTGCAAATAGGATCCCATCACCCGAAATATCTCATAGTCGACATGCGTAGTCACAGCAATCACTATGTCATACAGTTTCTGTTCAAAGATATATTTGTAATTACCTGTTGTTCTTCAAGTTCGTTTCAGAGCTTTTGCCGTATACCCAGATTTGAAGGCGTACCAGGGTGCATTAGATGTCGACATATATGTGAGTGAACACTAATACTTAAAAGAACATGATGCAAACATGAGTGAGTGAGTGAGTATGGTTTTACGCCGCTTTTAGCAATATTCCAGCAATATCACGGCGGGGGACACCAGAAATGGGCTTCACACATTGGATGCAAACATGAAACTATGTTCTGCGTGTATGGATATATGAATGCAGGTTTTCACAGACCGCACTGTGTTGTGTCTGATGTATCTGTCTCTGACAGTTTTGTACGAAATGTATCATTTTAACGTGTACGTGAACACAACTTGATACCGAGTATGACGTCAACATAGCTTCAGCGTGCGTTTCTGTAACCTAAAATGACCCCGTACTGTCAATGCGATTGTATTGTATATGTATGTGCGTGCGTGCATGCATGCATGCATGCATGTATGTATGTATGTATGTATGTATGTATGTATGTATGTATGTATGTATGTATGTATGTATGTATGTATGTATGTACCGTAGATTCTGCACTGAAAGTATTTTTCGATTCCTCTTAAGGATCCACGAAACAACAGAATTCGCCGCTGGGTGTCGCTGCACGATAAGAAAATGGTCAATCAAAGAGACCTATTACTTAGTGACCAGCCGGTCCTAGGAAACTGGAGGATAGAAGTTTCCGCTCCTGAGTTTGTAAGGGCCTATTCTCGCATTTTAAAGAAAATGTCTGCAGCACTGCATTTGAAATAACTCATTGCAAACTTCGTAAGGACATTTCCTGGGTATGAAACGATTAGCTTTTAAGCTAGTATTGAATATGTTTAATAAAGCGTTCTGTTGAGATTGGTGTCGTGCGCCAGTCCTGTTATGCTACTTCATACCCTCTGTTTACCACAGTTATGTGGCTACTGTGTTTTGGGAAAACACATTGAATTCACTGTATTTGTTTTCGACGAAATCGATATATTCAATCTATAAAATGAAACATGCGTTGTTTTAATGTTCACATGAAATAGTAAGCTTTGCCAATTTCCTAACAGGTAGGATTAAAGGAAAGAAAAACATTCACAGTCCAACAATATGGTAAGTACAGTATGTATAATCAAAACAGTAGACACACAGTAACAGTCTCATGTAAAAGACTCATTGATCCATTTGTCCACGTTATGTTGTATAGTTTAAGGTGGTGTGTTAACACTACCATAGATAGTGATCCAAGGGGCGGTCGGGTAGCCTAATGGTTAAAGCGTTCGCTCGTCACGTCGAAGACCCGGGTTCGATTCCTGACATGGGTGCAATCTGTGAAGCCCATTTCTGGTGTCCCCCGCCGTGATCTTGCTGGAATACTGCGAAAAGCGGCGTAAAACCAAACTCACTCACTCTTGTCCCAAATGTGCACTTCTCATCGACGTCCACTTTTGCACTGAATCCGAACATAGAATTGTATACACGGCATTCCGTATTTAACACACTGTTGTCGTGTACATAGAGTTGCCAAAGTTTGAGGTGAAGGTGGAGTTGCCTCTCTTTGCTGTGATAACTGACACCGACCTTTCCGGAACCGTCAAAGCCAAGTACGTATGCAAAATGCAAACAGAGCAACTAGTGTGATATAATTACTGTTATAATTGGATAAATAGAACATCCGGTTTTGTTGAAACCCCTAGAAGTCGATTCTGAGAAAAGTAGTAATTGTCATACATGTGAAGAATAATGATTCATAGTCGGGATGAACTACCAAGCATCATGGCATCTGCTTCCAAAAAGTACTGAATTGATGTACTGACATCACTGGCAAAAGTTGACAGTTAATTTGCAAGACTAAAGATGTGATCAGAAACATAGGTTGCACACGCCATACACATGTGTAAACTTGCCATCCAGCTACACGTTTGGAAAAGGAGTCAAGGGCATGGTGGAACTGAGGGTGTTTGTCGGCGCCATCATGGGCCAGTGCGGGAACTTCGCAAGATCATTTCTGAAGTCGTTTCCAGTAAGTCGTCACATAAGCAATCGATTCTGTGTGGTACCATTGTGCCATCTTGCATTAGTCGACCATAGTATGTAAATATAAAAAGACTACGACGATTATCTACCGAAACAGATTCCACATTGTGCAAACGGCAAAATAGTGGTAAAAACTTCATGGATGGATCGCTAAAAATCCTTGATGACACCAAGTGTTCGCGAAAGGGGTAATCAGGTACTGTGTTATCAGTAACACCCGCCACTTACAGACCGCCTCAGTGGTCTAGTGGTAGAGCGTCCGCCCGGAGAGCGGAAGGCCCGGGATCCGATCCCCGGCCGCGTCATACCAAAAGACGTTAAAGTATGGTACTTGTTGTTACCCTGTCTGGCGCTCGGCATTAAGGGGCTTAAACAAGGACTGGTCGTCTCGGACTCAGTATAATGAGTGGGATATTCATGTTAAACTGCGGCATGGTATCTCAGTGAGCTAGCACTATAAATCGGCATCAGTCCGGCCTAGTACAAGCAGCCACACAAACACACACACGTACATGCACGTCGCTATATAAGTGCATTAATCTTGGACGCGACGTTAAACCCCATTTTACCTCACCTCACCACCCGCCATTAACACAATTTTATTAAATAACGTGTTTGTTTGCTGCCTCACAACACGACGTGGTGTCAGGTGCGCAGTACTACTACCCTGTACTCTTTCTGTGCAGATTGATGGCAGTGCCCGGTTCTCGGTGTCCATGGCTGATATCAAGAGGCTGCGATATTATCTTGTCAGGCAAACGGTGACTGTACTGGCAGTGGTCAAGGAGGACCTAACTGGGAAGACACTCAACGGCTCCTCCACCGTTGTCTACTTCACCGACCCCAACAAGATCACCTTTCTGGATTCCAGTCCTAATTACTTCAAGCCGGGTCTACCTTACAGGGCCTACGTATGTCTCTGTTAAAACCATTACACACAACTCTAAAAGACCTACTCATGTCGCTATCATTACCATAACACGCTGTACCTACTTATGTAACTCTCATTACCATAACACGCCGCTCTACATGACAGTACCAACTCATGTAGCTATCAATACCATAACACGCTGCTCTACAGGACAGTACCAACTTATGTATACGTAGCTATCATTACCATAACACGCTGCTCTACAGGACAGTACCTACTTATGTCGCTATCATTACCATAACACGCTGCTCAACAGGACAGTACCTACTTATGTCGCTATCATTACCATAACACGCTGCTCTACAGGACAGTACCTACTTATGTAGCTATCATTTCCATAACACGCTGCTCTACAGGACAGTACCTTCTTATGTAGGTATCATTACCATAACACGCTGCTCTACAGGACAGTACCTACTTATGTCGCTATCATTTCCTTAACACGCTGCTCTGCAGGACAGTACCTACTTATGTCGCTATCATTACCATAACACGCTGCTCAACAGGGCAGTACCTACTTATGTAGCTATCAATACCATACACACGCTGCTCTACAGGACAGTACCTACTTATGTCGCTGTCATTACCATAACACTCTGCTCAACAGGACAGTACCTACTTATGTCGCTGTCATTACCATAACACGCTGCTCAACAGGGCAGTACCTACTTATTTAGCTATCATTACCATAACACGCTGCTCTACAGGACAGTACCTACTTATGTAGCTATCATTACCATAACACGCTGCTCTACAGGACAGTACCTACTTATGTCGCTGTCATTACCATAACACGCTGCTCAACAGGGCAGTACCTACTTATGTAGCTATCAATACCATACACACGCTGCTCTACAGGACAGTACCTACTTATGTAGCTATCAATACCATACACACGCTGCTCTAGAGGACAGTACCTACTTATGTCGCTATCATTACCATAACACGCTGCTCTACAGGGCAGTACCTACTTATGTCGCTGTCATTACCATAACACGCTGCTCTACAGGACAGTACCTACTTATGTAGCTATCATTTCCATAACACTCTGCTCTACAGGACAGTACCTACTTATGTCGCTATCATTACCATAACACGCTGCTCTACAGGACAGTACCTACTTATGTAGCTATCATTACAATTACTCGCTGCTCTACAGGGCAGTACCTACTTATGTCGCTGTCATTACCATAACACGCTGCTCAACAGGGCAGTACCTACTTATGTCGCTATCATTACCATAACACGCTGCTCTACAGGGCAGTACCTACTTATGTCGCTGTCATTACCATAACACGCTGCTCTACAGGACAGTACCTACTTATGTAACTCTCATTACCATAACACGCTGCTCTACATGACAGTACCAACTCATGTAGCTATCAATACCATAACACGCTGCTCTACAGGACAGTACCAACTTATGTATACGTAGCTATCATTACCATAACACGCTGCTCTACAGGACAGTACCTACTTATGTCGCTATCATTACCATAACACGCTGCTCAACAGGACAGTACCTACTTATGTCGCTATCATTACCATAACACGCTGCTCTACAGGACAGTACCTACTTATGTAGCTATCATTTCCATAACACGCTGCTCTACAGGACAGTACCTTCTTATGTAGGTATCATTACCATAACACGCTGCTCTACAGGACAGTACCTACTTATGTCGCTATCATTTCCTTAACACGCTGCTCTGCAGGACAGTACCTACTTATGTCGCTATCATTACCATAACACGCTGCTCAACAGGGCAGTACCTACTTATGTAGCTATCAATACCATACACACGCTGCTCTACAGGACAGTACCTACTTATGTCGCTGTCATTACCATAACACTCTGCTCAACAGGACAGTACCTACTTATGTCGCTGTCATTACCATAACACGCTGCTCAACAGGGCAGTACCTACTTATGTAGCTATCATTACCATAACACGCTGCTCTACAGGACAGTACCTACTTATGTAGCTATCATTACCATAACACGCTGCTCTACAGGACAGTACCTACTTATGTCGCTGTCATTACCATAACACGCTGCTCAACAGGGCAGTACCTACTTATGTAGCTATCAATACCATACACACGCTGCTCTACAGGACAGTACCTACTTATGTAGCTATCAATACCATACACACGCTGCTCTAGAGGACAGTACCTACTTATGTCGCTATCATTACCATAACACGCTGCTCTACAGGGCAGTACCTACTTATGTCGCTGTCATTACCATAACACGCTGCTCTACAGGACAGTACCTACTTATGTAGCTATCATTTCCATAACACTCTGCTCTACAGGACAGTACCTACTTATGTCGCTATCATTACCATAACACGCTGCTCTACAGGACAGTACCTACTTATGTAGCTATCATTACAATTACTCGCTGCTCTACAGGGCAGTACCTACTTATGTCGCTGTCATTACCATAACACGCTGCTCAACAGGGCAGTACCTACTTATGTCGCTATCATTACCATAACACGCTGCTCTACAGGGCAGTACCTACTTATGTCGCTGTCATTACCATAACACGCTGCTCTACAGGACAGTACCTACTTATGTAACTCTCATTACCATAACACGCTGCTCTACATGACAGTACCAACTCATGTAGCTATCAATACCATAACACGCTGCTCTACAGGACAGTACCAACTTATGTATACGTAGCTATCATTACCATAACACGCTGCTCTACAGGACAGTACCTACTTATGTCGCTATCATTACCATAACACGCTGCTCAACAGGACAGTACCTACTTATGTCGCTATCATTACCATAACACGCTGCTCTACAGGACAGTACCTACTTATGTAGCTATCATTTCCATAACACGCTGCTCTACAGGACAGTACCTTCTTATGTAGGTATCATTACCATAACACGCTGCTCTACAGGACAGTACCTACTTATGTCGCTATCATTTCCTTAACACGCTGCTCTGCAGGACAGTACCTACTTATGTCGCTATCATTACCATAACACGCTGCTCAACAGGGCAGTACCTACTTATGTAGCTATCAATACCATACACACGCTGCTCTACAGGACAGTACCTACTTATGTCGCTGTCATTACCATAACACTCTGCTCAACAGGACAGTACCTACTTATGTCGCTGTCATTACCATAACACGCTGCTCAACAGGGCAGTACCTACTTATGTAGCTATCATTACCATAACACGCTGCTCTACAGGACAGTACCTACTTATGTAGCTATCATTACCATAACACGCTGCTCTACAGGACAGTACCTACTTATGTCGCTGTCATTACCATAACACGCTGCTCAACAGGGCAGTACCTACTTATGTAGCTATCAATACCATACACACGCTGCTCTACAGGACAGTACCTACTTATGTAGCTATCAATACCATACACACGCTGCTCTAGAGGACAGTACCTACTTATGTCGCTATCATTACCATAACACGCTGCTCTACAGGGCAGTACCTACTTATGTCGCTGTCATTACCATAACACGCTGCTCTACAGGACAGTACCTACTTATGTAGCTATCATTTCCATAACACGCTGCTCTACAGGACAGTACCTACTTATGTCGCTATCATTACCATAACACGCTGCTCTACAGGACAGTACCTACTTATGTAGCTATCATTACAATTACTCGCTGCTCTACAGGGCAGTACCTACTTATGTCGCTGTCATTACCATAACACGCTGCTCAACAGGGCAGTACCTACTTATGTCGCTATCATTACCATAACACGCTGCTCTACAGGACTGTACCTACTTATGTCGCTATCATTACCATAACACGCTGCCCTACAGGGCAGTACCTACTTATGTCGCTATCATTACCATAACACGCTGCCCTACAGGGCAGTACCTACTTATGTAGGTATCATTACCATAACACGCTGCTCTACAGGACAGTACCTACTTATGTCGCTATCATTACCATAACACGCTGCTCAACAGGGCAGTACCTACTTATGTCGCTATCATTACCATAACACGCTGCTCTACAGGGCAGTACCTACTTATGTCGCTGTCATTACCATAACACGCTGCTCAACAGGGCAGTACCTACTTATGTCGCTATCATTACCATAACACGCTGCTCTACAGGACAGTACCTACTTATGTCGCTATCATTACCATAACACGCTGCTCTACAGGGCAGTACCTACTTATGTCGCTGTCATTACCATAACACGCTGCTCAACAGGGCAGTACCTACTTATGTCGCTATCATTACCATAACACGCTGCTCTACAGGACAGTACCTAATTATGTCGCTATCATTACCATAACACGCTGCTCTACAGGACAGTACCTACTTATGTAGCTATCATTACCATAACACGCTGCTCTACAGGACAGTACCTACTTATGTCACTGTCATTACCATAACACGCTGCTCTACAGGGCAGTACCGTCTTATGTCGCTATCATTACCATAACACGCTGCTCTACAGGACAGTACCTACTTATGTCGCTATCATTACCATAACACGCTGCTCTACAGGACAGTACCTACTTATGTAGCTATCATTACCATAACACGCTGCTCTACAGGACAGTACCTACTTATGTCGCTGTCATTACCATAACACGCTGCTCAACAGGGCAGTACCTACTTATGTAGCTATCAATACCATACACACGCTGCTCTACAGGACAGTACCTACTTATGTAGCTATCAATACCATACACACGCTGCTCTAGAGGACAGTACCTACTTATGTCGCTATCATTACCATAACACGCTGCTCTACAGGGCAGTACCTACTTATGTCGCTGTCATTACCATAACACGCTGCTCTACAGGACAGTACCTACTTATGTAGCTATCATTTCCATAACACGCTGCTCTACAGGACAGTACCTACTTATGTCGCTATCATTACCATAACACGCTGCTCTACAGGACAGTACCTACTTATGTAGCTATCATTACAATTACTCGCTGCTCTACAGGGCAGTACCTACTTATGTCGCTGTCATTACCATAACACGCTGCTCAACAGGGCAGTACCTACTTATGTCGCTATCATTACCATAACACGCTGCTCTACAGGACTGTACCTACTTATGTCGCTATCATTACCATAACACGCTGCCCTACAGGGCAGTACCTACTTATGTCGCTATCATTACCATAACACGCTGCCCTACAGGGCAGTACCTACTTATGTAGGTATCATTACCATAACACGCTGCTCTACAGGACAGTACCTACTTATGTCGCTATCATTACCATAACACGCTGCTCAACAGGGCAGTACCTACTTATGTCGCTATCATTACCATAACACGCTGCTCTACAGGGCAGTACCTACTTATGTCGCTGTCATTACCATAACACGCTGCTCAACAGGGCAGTACCTACTTATGTCGCTGTCATTACCATAACACGCTGCTCAACAGGGCAGTACCTACTTATGTCGCTATCATTACCATAACACGCTGCTCTACAGGACAGTACCTACTTATGTCGCTATCATTACCATAACACGCTGCTCTACAGGACAGTACCTACTTATGTAGCTATCATTACCATAACACGCTGCTCTACAGGACAGTACCTACTTATGTCACTGTCATTACCATAACACGCTGCTCTACAGGGCAGTACCGTCTTATGTCGCTATCATTACCATAACACGCTGCTCTACAGGACAGTACCTACTTATGTCGCTATCATTACCATAACACGCTGCTCTACAGGACAGTACCTACTTATGTAGCTATCATTACCATAACACGCTGCTCTACAGGACAGTACCTACTTATGTCACTGTCATTACCATAACACGCTGCTCTACAGGGCAGTACCGTCTTATGTCGCTATCATTACCATAACACGCTGCTCTACAGGACAGTACCTACTTATGTCGCTATCATTACCATAACTCGCTGCTCTACAGGGCAGTACCTACTTATGTCGCTATCATTACCATAACACGCTGCTCTACAGGACAGTACCTACTTATGTCACTGTCATTACCATAACACGCTGCTCTACAGGGCAGTACCGTCTTATGTCGCTATCATTACCATAACACGCTGCTCTACAGGACAGTACCTACTTATGTCGCTATCATTACCATAACACGCTGCTCTACAGGACAGTACCTACTTATGTCGCTATCGTTACCATAACACGCTGCTCTGCAGGACAGTACCTACTTATGTCGCTATCATTACCATAACACGCTGCTCTACAGGACAATACCTTTTTATGTAGCTATCATTACCATAACACGCTGCTCTACAAGACAATACCTTTTTATGTAGCTATCATTACCATAACACGCTGCTCTACAGGACAGTACCTACTTATGTCGCTATCGTTACCATAACACGCTGCTCTGCAGGACAGTACCTACTTATGTCGCTATCATTACCATAACACGCTGCTCTACAGGACAATACCTTTTTATGTAGCTATCATTACCATAACACGCTGCTCTACAAGACAATACCTTTTTATGTAGCTATCATTACCATAACACGCTGCTCTACAGGACAGTACCTACTTATGTCGCTATCATTTCCTTAACACGCTGCTCTGCAGGACAGTACCTACTTATGTCGCTATCATTACCATAACACGCTGCTCTGCAGGACAGTACCTACTTATGTCGCTATCATTACCATAAAACGCTGCTCTACAGGACAATACCTTTTTATGTAGCTATCATTACCATAACACGCTGCTCTACAGGACAGTACCTACTTATGTCGCTATCGTTACCATAACACGCTGCTCTGCAGGACAGTACCTACTTATGTCGCTATCATTACCATAACACGCTGCTCTACAGGACAATACCTTTTTATGTAGCTATCATTACCATAACACGCTGCTCTACAAGACAATACCTTTTTATGTAGCTATCATTACCATAACACGCTGCTCTACAGGGCAGTACCTACTTATGTCGCTATCATTACCATAACACGCTGCTCTACAAGACAATACCTTTTTATGTAGCTATCATTACCATAACACGCTGCTCTACAGGACAGTACCTACTTATGTCGCTATCGTTACCATAACACGTTGCTCTGCAGGACAGTACCTACTTATGTCGCTATCATTACCATAACACGCTGCTCTACAGGACAATACCTTTTTATGTAGCTATCATTACCATAACACGCTGCTCTACAAGACAATACCTTTTTATGTAGCTATCATTACCATAACACGCTGCTCTACAGGACAGTACCTACTTATGTCGCTATCATTTCCTTAACACGCTGCTCTGCAGGACAGTACCTACTTATGTCGCTATCATTTCCTTAACACGCTGCTCTGCAGGACAGTACCTACTTATGTCGCTATCATTTCCTTAACACGCTGCTCTGCAGGACAGTACCTACTTATGTCGCTATCATTACCATAACACGCTGCTCTGCAGGACAGTACCTACTTATGTAGCTATCATTACCATAACACGCTGCTCTACAGGACAGTACCTACTTATGTCGCTATCATTTCCTTAACACGCTGCTCTGCAGGACAGTACCGTCTTATGTCGCTATCATTACCATAACACGCTGCTCTGCAGGACAGTACCTACTTATGTCGCTATCATTTCCTTAAAACGCTGCTCTGCAGGACAGTACCTACTTATGTCGCTATCATTACCATAACATGCTGCTCTACAAGACAATACCTTTTTATGTAGCTATCATTACCATAACACGCTGCTCTACAGGACAATACCTTTTTATGTAGCTATCATTACCATAACACGCTGCTCTACAGGACAGTACCTACTTATGTAGCTACCATGGCCATAACACGCTACTCTATAGGACCTACTTATGTAGCTACCATGGCCATAACACGCTACTCTATAGGACCTACTTATGTAGCTACCATGGCCATAACACACTACTCTATAGGACCTACTTATGTAGCTACCATGGCCATAACACACTACTCTATAGGACCTACTTATGGAGCTACCATGGCCATAACACACTACTCTATAGGACCTACTTATGTAGCTACCATGGCCATAACACACTACTCTATAGGACCTACTTATGTAGCTACCATGGCCATAACACACTACTCTATAGGACCTACTTATGGAGCTACCATGGTCATAACACACTACTCTATAGGACCTACTTATGTAGCTACCATGGTCATAACACACTACTCTATAGGACCTACTTATGTAGCTACCATGGCCATAACACACTACTCTATAGGACCTACTTATGGAGCTACCATGGTCATAACACACTACTCTATAGGACCTACTTATGTAGCTACCATGGCCATAACACACTACTCTATAGGACCTACTTATGGAGCTACCATGGCCATAACACACTACTCTATAGGACCTACTTATGGAGCTACCATGGTCATAACACACTACTCTATAGGACCTACTTATGGAGCTACCATGGCCATAACACACTACTCTATAGGACCTACTTATGTAGCTACCATGGCCATAACACACTACTCTATAGGACCTACTTATGTAGCTACCATGGTCATAACACACTACTCTATAGGACCTACTTATGGAGCTACCATGGTCATAACACACTACTCTATAGGACCTACTTATGGAGCTACCATGGCCATAACACACTACTCTATAGGACCTACTTATGTAGCTACCATGGCCATAACACACTACTCTATAGGACCTACTTATGGAGCTACCATGGTCATAACACACTACTCTATAGGACCTACTTATGTAGCTACCATGGCCATAACACACTACTCTATAGGACCTACTTATGGAGCTACCATGGTCATAACACACTACTCTATAGGACCTACTTATGTAGCTACCATGGCCATAACACACTACTCTATAGGACCTACTTATGGAGCTACCATGGTCATAACACACTACTCTATAGGACCTACTTATGGAGCTACCATGGTCATAACACACTACTCTATAGGACCTACTTATGGAGCTACCAGTACAACACAAACCACTACAGTGCTTACATAGGTAGCTATCACAAACATCAGACACTGTCCTACACGGCATACCTATGTAACAATCAACATGGGCCACTATATGACAAACAGTGACACAAAGGAATGTTACCTTCTTTATTTGTATCATCCATAACGTACAATTTAGGTAAGACTTTTTCCAATGTAGACAACTGCCAGACAAAAAATAAAAGAAAGCTTACATCTGAAAAACAGTCCATGGTTCCCATTCGTTGTTCATTGTGCATTGTTTCCACCCTAAAGTAGAAAATGTGGGGTCAATACCTGTTTTCAAATCTAGGTGAAAGTGACCCAACAAGATGACCGCCCAATCTCTGATGCTAACGCCACCATTCAAGTGTACACGTGCGTTGACTATAGGCGAACGGAGGCCAATCAGAATCGCTATGATTGCCACGCTTTCACCGGCAGCTACTCCCTGCCTATGCTTAACCTCCGTATTCCGGAAGACGGCGTTATCCCGCTGGACCTTGATATTCCGGACAATATAACAACTGTTAAGATTAGGGTAAGTAGGTAAAATACATGTTCGCATCAACCAAGTCAAAGAGCCTGACCACCCAATCCCGTTAGTCGCCTCTTACGACAAGCATAGTCGCCTTTTACGGTAAGCATGGTTGCTGAAGACATATTCTACCCTGAATCTTAGAATTAGTTAGTATCAGTGTTTGAAAGAACAGGAAAAATAGGTTTTTCGTGTGAACTTTCCCTTTAAAACCCTATCTGCTGGATGAGTGAGTGACTGAGTATGGTTTTACGCCCCTTTTAGCAATAGTCCAGCAATATCACGCGGGGGACACCAGAAATGGGCTTCACACATTGTACCCAGGTCGGGAATCGAACCCGGGTCTTCGGCGTGACGAGCAAGTGATGACCTCGTCTTACTTCATCACACCAACTTCTAAATGCCACTGAAAGAAGTTATACGTCGTCTACATTGAGACGTGACAATCTCAGCTATCAACAACATCACTTGCTTGATAAAGGTGTTAGGACCTACACCGAAACGTCGCACTAATTGTAATAAAGAAGTTGTTCATTCATAGAACTCGTCTTACTTCATCACATAAACTTCTAAATGCCACTGAAAGATGTTGATCTTTGAACTTGCGCAATGCGTCAAACACTAGGATCCCATTTTAACTCCAGTGGCGGACAACCTGTTTTAACTCTAATGTCGGATTTTTTTCGTTTGGGGGACGATTTCTCCTGTCAAAATATATCATCTGTTATTTATACTATTTCCATTTTTCAAATATAATCGTGCACCTGACCTCATGCCTCTGTCCGTCCATATTGAAAAGCTTTGAGTGGTATAAAAAAGATTGTTCTAACTGTGTGTCTCTGTTCCAGGCTTACTACAAGAACGTCCACGCCTCCAAGTATGTGTCAAAGAGTTTCTCACAGAGCGACACCTTTATGCAAGTCAGGCTTCGCACATTGAATCTCAAAGTACGATCTATTAGTATGAACTGTCATTTTGTTCAGGTTCACAATATTTACAAATAACTCGGACACGCAGTCTGCTCATAAGTCAAATGCGTCACAGTCCAATGTACCGAATTGTTTCCCTTTACCATCTGGGTTCGTGGGTTCAAATACCAGGTTTCCCCCGACTATGATCCTTGTCTGTTGGCATTATACTGTGTGTAGTCACGAAATGCGTTTTTTCAACATTAAAACAATGCATCTAAAGCAAACTCACGCATTTGTTCATAAATACCATAGCATGTTGGGATGCTATTCTGTCACATTACTAGGTATCACACAGTGCTATCGGATATTGCATTAGACCATTTTACTTTTGTCTTGCATATGAATGTTAGTATATTTTGCTGCAGGCGGGTGACAACGCCGTGTTTGAAATCAAGGTCACTGACCTGCCTGGAAAGGTAGCATACGAGGTAAATATGACCCTTCCCACCAGGTAAATGTAACCCGTCATAGGAGGTAAGTATGACCAATAATGCCAGGTAAATATGACCCTTCCCACCAGGTAAATGTAACCCGTCATAGGAGGTAAGTATGACCATTAATGCCAGGTAAATATGACCCTTCACAATAAGTAAATAGGACCATTCATACCTGGTAAATATGACCCATGACTACAGGAAAATATTACCTTTCATACCAGGTAAAATGACGCTTTATAATAGGTTGATATGAACCTTGAAAATAGGAAAATATGACTCTTCATAGGAAGTTTTTCAACTGCGCAAATGCGCCAAAGATGCTTATTAATATTAAGGATCCCCCCGGCTGCGTCATTCCAAAAGACGTTAATAGATAGTACTTGTTGTTACCCTGCCTAGCGCTTGGTATCAAGAGGTTAAAACAAGGACTAGTAGGCTCGGAATCAGTACACAGTGAGTGGGGTATCCTTGTTAAAGTGCGCCATGATGTCTCAGTGGGCTAGCATTATAAAGCCGACATACGTGCGGGCAAGCACAAGCTGACATACACACACGTGCATGCACCTCGCTATATAAGCGAAATAATCTTGCAAACAACTTTGTTGATAGTATTCAGGTCAACATTCACGAAAGTATTTTTTTATATAAAACAATTATGGCTTTTTAAAAATTCATTTTATACCAATTTTCCACTGTAGAGTACCCAATTCAAGGCTCCTGTGGGTGATGCAGTCCTAATCTGATGTCTGTTACAGATTATGTCACGTGGGGTTGTGGTGAAGGGTGGAATAATACGCCATAAACGCGGAGACAAATCCCTCATTCTCAACGTTCCCATCCTCGCCACGATGGCTCCCACGGCACAACTCCTCGTTAGTTTCGTCAAATACGACGGGGAAATCGTCGCTGACTCCATCAGATTCAACGTGGACGGAGTCTTCGCCAACAAAGTAAGACGATTGTATGATCATTAACACCAGGTGTTCTACACAAACAAGGGCCTGGTAAGACGATTGTATAATCATTAACACCAAGTGTTCTACACAGATCAGGTCCTGGTAAGACGCTTGTATATTCATTAACACCGAATGTTCAACACAGATCAGGTCCTGGTAAGACGATTGTATATTCATTAACACCGAATGTTCAACACAGATCAGGGCCTGGTGAGACGATAGTATAACCATTAACACCAGACGATTGTATAACCATTAACACCAGGTGTTCTACACAGATCAGGGCCTAGTAAGACGATTGTATGATCTTTAACACCAGGTGTTCTACACAGATCAGGTCCTGGTAAGACGATTATCAGGGCCTGGTAAGACGATTGTATAATCATTGACACTGGATGTTCTACACAGATCAGGGCCTGGTAAGATGATTGTATATACATTTACACCAGGTGTTCTACACAAATCAGGGCCTGGTAGGACGATTGTATAATCATTAACACCAGGTGTTCTACACACATCAGACCTCGGCTGTATGAGTATACTTTACATAGACTTACCATTGACGTAACGTAAAGATCGCTTTGTTGAAGGATGCCCTGGAGGATAATCTCAGGAGTCGTCCTCCGTAGGGACTCGGGTTTGCGTCCTCAGCACTCTGTAATCGATAGGATGCAGTTCAATAAACAGATCATGGTACTTCGACGAGCGTATGCCAATACTTAAGGAAGAGAATTTATGGATGTCAACTTCTTTATTATGAGTGATGTCAAAATAAATAGGTTTGGCATCTATAAATTCTCTTCCTTATGTGTATCACTTATAAATGCCTTAAAGTTTCAAAAACTATGTCGATACTGCTTCGTGGGGATCAACCAGAATGTTTAATCATAGTGCTACGACGAGCGTATGTCAATTCTGCTTCATGGGGTACGTTCAGATCACGACTGCGATATGTCAATACTGATTCTTGAGTACAGACGAAGTTCAATAAAGATATCATAGTGCCACGACTAGTTATGTTAATATAATTTTTTTAATTGAAGTTTACACGATATACGGCTTTTCCATTGGACGAGAGGTTGGTCACATGACCGTGAATTTGACGTTCATAAGTGTATGAACGACACAATTTGACGTTCATACGTTTTCCACGAGACCGTGTTCTTTAAATGACGTAAACACTGACGGACTACTTCCACATTCCTGGGGAAACCCCTGGGAATTCCCTAGCACGAAAACACACATAAGCGTTCTTTCTGATCATTTAGAACCTTTATTCTTGGTCTCAGCGTTTCAATATACATTGAGAAATGTCAGAGAGCGTGACTGCATGATTGTTCACGAATATCCTCGCTGCGGCCTATCCTAATGAACAAACGATGACATGCACATCTAAACTATCGTACTGTCGACTCGATCCGTGCCAAGGCTGACATTGACCGTCTCCAGCAATCTATGAATTTACCTTAGTGTCTGTTTGACGCATCTTTATTCACCTTTCAATGATCGGCCAGTTGATCAATGATGACGTACACATGTAACCGCCACACATTCATTAACAACTTCGGAAATCTCTCCCGTCACGTTTATCGTGTCGGCCATTTTGACGTCTGGTACTTGATGTAAATGTATTACGACGCGCTGTCATCGTGACTGACTTACTGAGGTAGTTCTTTACCGACCTTTCTCATCTAATGAGGATATGATTTGAACACATGTGCTGCTTAAGATGTTTCTGAAGAGCAAGTTGTGCATCCATACGCCCATGTCACCTCTCTTTTTGAGGAACTATTTTACTCCGCGACATAGCTGGTTGTTGTATGGCTGTCAGCGTAAACATGAAGTCACACGTATGTAAATGAAATTGTGTTTAGATCTTGGCCTACATCGTTTGAGGTAAGAAATTGTGATGAAAAAATCATAAGAATTGACTTTCACTTTGTGTGAGTTCATTGGAGTATAAACCTTCATAGAGTGAGGGCCAAGCTCCGACGTTCATACAGTTTGGCCCTCAGTCTATGAAGGTTCATACTTCAATGAACTCACACAAAGTGAAGGTCAATTCTTAAATAAACTGGTCATAGTGCAACGACGAACGTAGATCAATACTGCTTCGTGGGGGGTGGTCGGACGACGTTCAATAAAAGATCATAGGGCTACGACAAGGGGATGTCAAAACTGCTTCTCAGGGTCAGGGGAAGTTCAATAAAGAGCTCATTGGGCTAGGACAAGGGGATGTCAATACTGCTTCTTGGGGTCAGGGGAAGTTCAATAAAGAACTCATAGGGCTAGGACAAGGGCATGTCAATACTGCTTCTTCGGGTATCGCCAGACGAAGTTCAAGAAAGAGATTTTAGTGCGGCGACTTGCGTATGTCAATACTGCTTCGTGGGGATCGACAAAATGCAGTTCCATAAACAGATCATAGTGCTACGACTAGCATATGTCAATACTGCTTCCTACAGTATCACAGTGCTACGACCAGGGATGTAAATGCTGATTCTTGAGTACAGGCGAAGTTCAATAAAGAGATCTTAGTGCTACGACTAGCGTATGTCAGTACTGCTTCGTCGGGATAGATGCAGTTCAATCAACAATTCATTGCCATACGATTAGGGCATGTCAAGACTGCTTCCTGGGTCACGGTCAGATGCAGTTCAATATTATCGACAAGACAATGACACGGTACAAGAGTTAGGATATATTAGTCCTACAACAAGGTGCTTAAGGTGGTAGGATTATCATAAGAAAATGTTTACCACGTCAATGTTTGGTAGTGATAACTATGAATGATAATCAGTTATATATTTATTATTTTTTGAAGTAACGAAGTCATTGCGTAGGATAACGATCCTATGATAACGTCATGCGAACGCTTACGTTTTGGAGATTGACAAAAAGTTTGATGATGTCACGGGTGCCTCAAGCAATGGCTGTTACTACACTTCGGAATTACAGGTATTTATCTATTGATAGGTTGGTCTCGCCTACAGCGACGAGAGGGCGGAGCCCCACACGGATGTGACAGTCGACATCACGGCGGATCCCCAATCAACTGCCTTCCTTTTGGCCGTGGACCAAAGCGTGCAACTTCTCAAAACCGGAAATGACATTTCAACAGACCGGGTATCTTGTTACAGCCAATATATGTATTGAATACATTCGGTCTCTGTCGACTTGTTCCGTTAACTACATAATGAGTGGGGCAGCAATGGAGAAGTGATATTTCATGGATTCACCGTCAACCGTTGAATGGCAAATGTCGCCTCACGTAGCATAGCATACGTGTAGCATAACGGCCGTTTCGGAAGACAAATTATTCTTGATTTACAGAAATTAGGCCTGCACTTCGATTGGAAACAAAAGCAAACGGGAAAACAATTTGAGCTATATTTATAAAAGGTTGACGACAGCCGCCGTTTTGTATTGTATCATTTCATAGTCCATGAACAAAAGTAGTTCCTGTATGGGTTTGTGCAAGTGCTGGCCTTGATAATTTTGGGCGGAAATGAGCAGAGTGTAGTCATGCGGTGGATATTGTCTTAAACTTACACTTTTTGCCAACACCTTATGTCAACACGGATTTTTCAGTGATCCATTTATATCATTTTCACCGCTGCTTTTCCTTTTTGCCCAGCTGAATATGTTTCTTCAGATAATCAACACTGGTTATCTTCATTGATGAAACGTGTAAATAAGCCTTAACCATTACAATCTGTTTTATTTCTCTCTGGATGACCAGGTGATGAAGGAACTCAGAGGGTATGATTACAACTACCGAAACGTTAACTACTTAAGATGGGCTTTCCCGGTCCCATCATCGGGCAGGAATGCCAGAGAGATTTTCCAGGTGAGATCAAGGAGGTCCTCGATAGAATCATGTAAGCAGTGCCCAGGCTTTCTCAGTACTTCAGGACTGGGATTCATGAAAACGTGTTGGTTGCATCCGCCCCAAAATGCACATAATGGCTGCAAGGTTATGGAAGTTGTAAAAGCCTGTTTCTCATGATCGTGGGGAAATATAAACCAAGCACCGTGAACGATATTATTTACATCGTACATGAGTTCATTTTGTCCCATACAAGATCCGTTCTTAATATTAGGTCTGTCAAAGTCACGATTTGCCGGATTTTTAAAACTTAAGGAAGAATTGTCTTTCTTTACCGAAGGTATGACGTCATTATTGCTTCTGAGAAGAAAAGGGAGGGCCTGGTGATCTAGGCCCACTTGCACAAAACGATCTTAGCGCTAAGATGATCGTAACTCCCATACTTTAGCATAGTGATATAGATATAGATATCACGCTCTAGATATATGCTTCCCCTCCCTACTGCCATGTTCTAGATATATGCTTCCCCTCCCTACTGCCATGTTCTAGATATATGCTTCCCCTCCCTACTGCCATGTTCCAGATATATGCTTCACCTCCCTACTGCCATGTTCCAGATATATGCTTCACCTCCCTACTGCCATGTTCCAGATATATGCTTCACCTCCCTACTGCCATGTTCCAGATATATGCTTCACCTCCCTACTGCCATGTTCCAGATATATGCTTCCCCTCCCTACTGCCATGTTCCAGATATATGCTTCACCTCCCTACTGCCATGTTCCAGATATATGCTTCACCTCCCTACTGCCATGTTCTAGATATATGCTTCCCCTCCCTACTGCCATGTTCTAGATATATGCTTCCCCTCCCTACTGCCATGTTCCAGATATATGCTTCACCTCCCTACTGCCATGTTCCAGATATATGCTTCCCCTCCCTACTGCCATGTTCCAGATATATGCTTCACCTCCCTACTGCCATGTTCCAGATATATGCTTCCCCTCCCTACTGCCATGTTCTAGATATATGCTTCCCCTCCCTACTGCCATGTTCCAGATATATGCTTCCCCTCCCTACTGCCATGTTCCAGATATATGCTTCACCTCCCTACTGCCATGTTCCAGATATATGCTTCACCTCCCTACTGCCATGTTCCAGATATATGCTTCCCCTCCCTACTGCCATGTTCTAGATATATGCTTCCCCTCCCTACTGCCATATTCCAGATATATGCTTCACCTCCCTACTGCCATGTTCCAGATATATGCTTCCCCTCCCTACTGCCATGTTCCAGATATATGCTTCACCTCCCTACTGCAATGTTCCAGATATATGCTTCCCCTCCCTACTGCCATGTTCTAGATATATGCTTCCCCTCCCTACTGCCATGTTCTAGATATATGCTTCCCCTCCCCACTGCCATGTTCCAGATATATGCTTCCCCTCCCTACTGCCATGTTCCAGATATATGCTACCCCTCCCTACTGCCATGTTCCAGATATATGCTTCCCCTCCCTACTGCCATGTTCCAGACATATGCTTCACCTCCCTACTGCCATGTTCTAGATATATGCTTCCCCTCCCTACTGCCATGTTCTAGATATATGCTTCCCCTCCCTGCTGCCATGTTCTAGATATATGCTTCCCCTCCCTACTGCCATGTTCTAGATATATCCTTCCCCTCCCTACTGCCATGTTCTAGACATATGCTTCACCTCCCTACTGCCATGTTCCAGATATATGCTTCCCCTCCCTACTGCCATGTTCTAGAAATATGCTTCCCCTCCCTACTACCATGTTCCAGATATATGCTTCACCTCCCTACTGCCATGATCCAGATATATGCTTCCCCTCCCTACTGCCATGTTCCAGATATATGCTTCACCTCCCTACTGCCATGTTTCAGATATAGGCTTCACCTCCCTACTGCCATGTTTCAGATATATGCTTCCCCTCCCTACTGCCATGTTCTAGATATATGCTTGATATATGATGTTGTAGATATGCTCTACCCTCCATACTGTGATGTTGTAGATATGCTCTACCCTCTATACTGTGATGTTGTAGATATGCTCTACCCTACATACTGTGATGTTGTAGATATGCTCCACCCTCCATACTGTGATGTTGTAGATGCATCTGTCTCTCCATACTGTGATGTTGTAGATATGCTCTACCCTCCATACTGTGATGTTGTAGATATGCTCTACCCTCCATACTGTGATGTTGTAGATATGCTCTACCCTCCATACTGTGATGTTGTCTATATGCTCTACCCTCCATACTGTCATGTTGTAGATATGCTCTACCCTCCATACTGTGATGTTGTAGATATGCTCCACCCTCCATACTGTGATGTTGTAGATATGCTCTACCCTCCATACTGGGATGTTGTAGATATGCTCTACCCTCCATACTGGGATGTTGTAGATATGCTCTACCCTCCATACTGTGATGTTGTAGATATGCTCCACCCTCCATACTGTGATGTTGTAGATGCATCTGTCCCTCCATACTGTGATGTTGTAGATATAGTATGTCCCTCCATACTGTGATGTTGTAGATATGCTCTAACCTCCATTCTGTGATGTTGTAGATATAGTATGTCCCTCCATACTGTGATGTTGTAGATATGCTCCACCCTCCATACTGGGATGTTGTAGATGCATCTCTCCCTCCATACTGTGATGTTGTAGATATAGTATGTCACTCCATACTGTGATGTTGTAGATATGCTCTGACCTCCATACTGTGATGTTGTAGATATAGTATGTCCCTCCATACTGTCATGTTGTAGATATGTTCTACCCTCCATACAGTGATGTTGTAGATATGCTCTACCCTCCATACTGTGATGTTGTAGATATGCTCTACCCTCCATACTGTGATGTTGTAGATATGCTCCACCCTCCATACTGTGATGTTGTAGATATGCTCTACCCTCCATACTGTGATGTTGTAGATATGCTCTACCCTCCATACTGTCATGTTGTAGATATGCTCTACCCTCCATACTGTCATGTTGTAGATATGCTCTACCCTCCATACTGTGATGTTGTAGATATGCTCTACCCTCCATACTGTGATTTTGTAGATATGCTCTACCCTACATACTGTGATGTTGTAGATATGCTCTACCCTACATACTGTGATGTTGTAGATATGCTCTAACCTCCATACTGTGATGTTGTAGATGCATCTGTCTCTCCATACTGTGATGTTGTAGATATGCTCTACCCTCCATACTGTGATGTTGTAGATATGCTCTACCCTCCATACTGTGATGTTGTAGATATATTATGTCCCTCCATACTGTGATGTTGTACATGCATCTGTCCCTCCATACTGTGATGTTGTAGATGCATCTGTCCCTCCATACTGTAATGTTGTAGGTATGCTCTACCCTCCATACTGTGATGTTGTAGATGCATCTGTCTCTCCATACTGTGATGTTGTACATGCATCTGTCCCTCCAAACTGTGATGTTGTAGATATGCTCTACCCTCCATACTGTGATGTTGTAGATGCATCTGTCTCTCCATACTGTGATGTTGTAGATATGCTCTACCCTCCATACTGTGATGTTGTAGATATGCTCTACCCTCCATACTGGGATGTTGTAGATATATTATGTCCCTCCATACTGTGATGTTGTACATGCATCTGTCCCTCCATACTGTGATGTTGTAGATGCATCTGTCCCTCCATACTGTAATGTTGTAGATATGCTCTACCCTCCATACTGTGATGTTGTAGATATCTTCTCCCCTCCATACTGTGATGTTGTAGATATAGTATGTCCCTCCATACTGTGATGTTGTAGATATGCTCTACCCTCCATACTGTGATGTTGTAGATATGTTCTACCCTCCAAAATGTGATGTTGTAGATATGCTCTACCCTCCATACTGTGATGTTGTAGGCGAAACCGCATTATCACACTCTCCTACCCAGAGTTCCATGCGGCCGGCAGCCAGCTAGCATAGTACCTCTGCCACAGGCCAGCGCCATGTGACGATTCGTCACATCTTTCACAGTCCATTCAAGATATTGCATATGCTTTTCATCCGTTTCATGTTTGACAAGTCTACACATTTTCATAAACAAATGTCAAAGAATGGTTAACTTTCATTGAGAAAGTATGCAAATACGTAAAAATCTACTTGTTTTTGCGTAGTTATCCTATGTTTACATTGGTTGTACGGCTCCACGTGCTGTCATCGAAGCCCAACGGAGAGCTAGCGACACGGTCACTTTGATGCATAAATATATATTGTCATGCAACTCACTGTCGCAGTTGTAGTAGCATATCTATATAGTTATGCAAAACAATATGTGAAGCGCCCCCAAATACTTGCATTAGTCTGTTCTATACTGATTTCTGAAAAAGCGCGTTTGTTTACAAACAAGAGAAAAGTCCGGTCACGTGATATGCAAATTAGCCTGTGACAGTGGTGTTATGCTGAGTCACCACTGCGACGGAGTGTGCGCATTATCAGTGGTTCATATTGGGAAAGGGAGGTCACTCTAATTTCAAACGGGAGCTATCTCCGTTGTTTTCGTATTTGCGAGAAATGGCGTCACCCACGCTGCACGTTGTTGGTCCAGCTATTAAATGCCCAGCTTATCCCTTAGGTAAAACGTAAGGTAATTAAATGTTTGAATGCATTATATATTTATGTTTCCATCAGTACATCTTCTAAGATTGGTTTAGTGGTGATAACCATTTTCTAAAATGTGGGCCCACATTTTTCCCGTCATCTATGGTGATCGAAACAAGTGGGCCCACATTTGTATTTCGCCTAGCTTCGTTAGGTTGTTTCGTTAGTTCTGATAATCAATCCCTAAATGTGGGCAGACGTTCTTCCGTCATATTGATTGCAACAGGAGGGACCACATTTATTAATCGCGAAATTCTACTTAAATATTGATAATCATTTTCTCAAATGTGGGCCCACATTGTTCCCGTCATATATGGTGATCGAAACAAGTGGGCCCACATTTGTATATCGCCTAGTGGGTAGACGTTCTTCCGTCATAGTGATTGCAAAAGGAGGGACCGCATTAAAAAATCGCTAGCTTCATTAGCTTTGCTTACTTATAACCATTTTCTAAAATGTGGGCCCACATTGTTCCCGTCTTATAGTGATCGAAACAGGTGGGCCCACATTTTTAAATCGCTGGGTTTCATGAGGTTGACGAAGTCATTTAGGCTATTGGGCTCACGTTTGTCATTATGTGACATTTTATATTATTCATATTTTGTAAAATTGATGGGAAATATCTTTATAAATCATTTCGTGTGACATTAATTCCATAAAAGGCACAAAAGTCTTAGAAGTTTGAATAACTGCGTCATAGCTGACCACACTAGTTTAACAAAAATAGCTACCAAGCAAGAAACTTAAATCTACTTCAAATTAAAATTACAGAGGCAATACCACTCATTCTACCTTTTCCAGTATAACACACCAATCTAATCATAAGTGTTGGTGGCGATATAAGCCTGAACATATGTCTACACTTGAATTGATCTCGGACATGATACAAGCCTCAGACGTTTCCGAGAACTTGTTCCATAAAAGGAATAACTCATGAATATTAATAACCCCACGACCTAGTTTGGCGATGTTCGTAGAAGTGAGTTCTGCTGTATTGCCATCTTATTTGTACATTTTAATCCAATTATAAGTCATAATACTTATTTTAAATAGACAAATTATGAGTTCGTTATGCGGGTTTGTTTACGTAGTATATATTCTCAACAACAAGTGCGTTTAGTTTCGAATGTGGGCCCACCTCGAATTTCGATTAGGCAAACGGAGTTAGCTTCCTTGTAGATATGCTCTACCCTCCATACTGTGATGTTGTAGATATTCTTTACCCTCCATACTGTGATGTTGTAGATATGCTCTACCCTCCATACTGTGATGTTGTAGATATGCTCAACCCTCCATACTGTGATGTTGTAGATATGCTCTACCCTCCATACTGTGATGTTGTAGATATCTTCTTCCCTCCATACTGTTATGTTGTAGGTATGCTCTACCCTCCATACTGTGATGTTGTAGATATGCTCTACCCTCCATACTGTGATGTTGTAGATGTATTACGTCCCTCCATACTGTGATGTTGTAGATATGCTCTACCCTCCATACTGTGATGTTGTAGATATCTTCTTCCCTCCATACTGTTATGTTGTAGGTATGCTCTACCCTCCATACTGTGATGTTGTAGATATGCTCTACCCTCCATACTGTGATGTTGTAGATGTATTACGTCCCTCCATACTGTGATGTTGTAGATATGCTCTACCTCCATACTGTGATGTTGTAGATGTATTATGTCCCTCCATACTGTGATGTTGTAGATATGCTCTACCCTCCATACTGTGATGTTGTAGATATATTATGTCCCTTGATACTGTGATGTTGTAGATGCATCTGTCCCTCCATACTGTGACGTTGTAGATGTATTATGTCCCTCCATACTGTGATGTTGTAGATATGCTCTACCTCCATACTGTGATGTTGTAGATGTATTATGTCCCTCCATACTGTGATGTTGTAGATATGCTCTACCCTCCATACTGGGATGTTGTAGATGTATTATGTCCCTCCATACTGTGATGTTGTAGATGCATCTGTCCCTCCATACTGTGATGTTGTAGATATATTATGTCCCTCCATACTGTGATGTTGTAGATGTATTATGTCCCTCGATACTGTGATGTTGTAGATGTATTATGTCCTCCATACTGTGATGTTGTAGATGTATTATGTCCCTCCATACTGTGATGTTGTAGATGTATTATGTCCCTCCATACTGTGATGTTGTAGATGTATTATGTCCCTCCATACAGTGATGTCGTAGATATAGTATGTCCCTCCATACTGTGATTTTGTAGATGCATCTGTCCCTCCATACTGTGATGTTGTAGATGCATCTGTCCCTCCATACTGTGATGTTGTAGATGTATTATGTCCCTCCATACTGTGATGTTGTAGATATAGTATGTCCCTCCATACTGTGATGTTGTAGATATGTTCTACCCTCCATACTGTGATGTTTTAGATGCATCTGCCCCTCAATACTGTGATGTTGTAGATAAAGTATGTCCCTCCATACTGTGATGTTGTAGACATGTTCTACCCTCCATACTGTGATGTTGTAGATGCATCTGTCCCTCAATACTGTGATGTTGTAGATGTATTATGTCCCTCCATACTGTGATGTTGTAGATATGCTCTACCCTCCATACTGTGATGTTGTAGATGCATCTGTCCATCCATACTGTGATGTTGTAGATATATAATGTCCCTCCATACTGTGATGTTGTAGATATGTTCTATCCTCCATACTGTGATGTTGTAGATATGCTCTACCCTCTATACTGTGATGCTGTAGATATGCTCTACCCTCCATACTGTGATGTTGTAGATATGCTCTACCCTCTATACTGTGATGTTGTAGATGTATGATGTCCCTCCATACTGTGATGCTCTAGATATGCTCTACCCTCCATACTGTGATGTTGTAGATATCTTCTTCCCTCCATACTGTGATGTTGTAGATATGCTCTACCCTCCATACTGTGATGTTGTAGATGTATTATGTCCCTCCATACTGTGATGTGTTAGATGCATCTGTCCCTCCATACTGTGATGTTGTAGATATGCTCTACCCTCCATACTGTGATGTTGTAGATGTATGATGTCCCTCCATACTGTGATGTTGTGGATATGCTCTACCCTCCATACTGGGATGTTGTAGATATATTATGTCCCTCCATACTGTGATGTTGTAGATATGCTCTACCCTCCATACTGTGATGTTGTAGATGTATTATGTCCCTCCATACTGTGATGTGTTAGATGCATCTGTCCCTCCATACTGTGATGTTGTAGATATGCTCTACCCTCCATACTGTGATGTTATAGATGTATGATGTCCCTCCATACTGTGATGTTGTGGATATGCTCTACCCTCCATACTGTGATGTTGTAGATATGCTCTACCCTCCATACTGTGATGTTGTAGATATGCTCTACCCTCCATACTGTGATGTTGTAGATATGCTCTACCCTCCATACCGTGATGCTCTAGATATGCTCTACCCTCCATACTGTCATGTTGTAGATATAGTATATCCCTCCATACTGTGATGTGTTAGATGCATCTGTCCCTCCATACAGTGATGTTGTACATGTATTATGTCCCTCCATACTGTGATGTTGTAGATATGTTCTACCCTCCATACTGTGATGTTGTAGATGCATCTGTCCCTCCATACTGTGATGTTGTAGATATAGTATGTCCCTCCATACTGTGATGTTGTAGATATATTATGTCCCTCCATACTGTGATGTTGTAGATATGTTCTACCCTCCATACTGTGATGTTGTAGATATGTTCTACCCTCCATACCGTGATGTTGTAGATGTATTATGTCCCTCCATACTGTGATGTTGTAGATATAGTATGTCCCTCCATACTGTGATGTTGTAGATATATTATGTCCCTCCATACTGTGATGTTGTAGATATGTTCTACCCTCCATAATGTGATGTTGTAGATATGCTCTACCCTCCATACTGTGATGTTGTAGATATGTTCTACCCTCCATACTGCGATGTTGTAGATATGCTCTACCCTCTATACTGTGATGCTGTAGATATGCTCTACCCTCCATACGGTGATGTTGTATACATATTTTGTCCCCACATGCCTGTTGTTGTAGATACTGTGATTTTGTAGATATGCTCTTCCCTCCATACTGTGAAGTTGTAGATGTATTATGTCCCTCCATACTGTGATGTTGTAGATGTTTTATGTCCTTCCATACTTTGATGTTGTAGATGTATTATGTCCCTCCATACTGTGATGTTGTAGATATGCTCTACCCTCCAAACTGTGATGTTGTAGATATGCTCCACCCTCCATACTGTGATGTTGTAGATACATTATGTCTCTCCATACTGTCATGTTCCAGATATATCATGTCCCTCCATACCGTGACGTTGTAGATATATTATGTCCCTCCATACTGTGATGTTGTTGATGTATTAAGCCTCTCCATACTGCCATGTTGTAGATATGCTCTACCCTCCACAATGTGATGTTGTAGATATGCTCTACCCTCTATACTGTGATGTTGTAGATATGCTCTACCCTCTATACTGTGATGTTGTAGATATGCTCTATCCTCCATACTGTGATGCTGTAGATATGCTCTACCCTCCATACTGTCATGTTGTATACATATTTTGTCCCTACATATTTGTTGTTGTAGATACGTTTGATCACTGTATAATGTGATGTTACAGAATGCTGGAGTCATTGTCATAACTGATGCACAACTGTACTACCCAGAACCCACACGCTCTTATCGTAGCAATTATGCATATGGTGCTGAATTTATGCGTAAGTTTTTTGTCAAGTCATTATTATCAATGTAGTTTCTACTTGAACTGGTGTTAAGTGCAGATTCCTTAATTGAAACGTGGAGATTAACCTCGAAATTGATATGTGCAGAACTACATTGCGAAATCACTAAATAACCACACAAGGTTTATGAACAATTAACAAATTGTTTGAAATACGTAGGATTAGTATTACAGTCATAAAATGGCAACACAGCTTTGGCTCAACTTTGTGACAGCACCATTAAATAATAATCCCATTATAAAGGTCAATGCGCTCACGAATTTCATAACCCAATGTATAAGGGTCTCACTAAAATTCTGCCAGTTACAATCATTACTTTTGACTATAAAAAACACTGCCACATTACACCAGGGCTTGTAGTTGGTAATCAAATGTGTGTGTCTGCGAATATGGTATTGATTAAGTAGCTAGAGACCAATGAAAGATGCAAGGAATATATAAAATATTTTAATCGATCAGAAAGACATGTTGATGAATAGTAACATTATTTGAAAGTAGAATGGGATGAATACACCAAGTGGATGATAGTAAGTTTGGACGAGAATGAAAGAGGATGAAAAGTTATTTATGATGTTAATGAGTGAATGAGTTCGAATTTCACGTTGTATCGGTAAACGTTAAGCCATATAGCCAAGTAACATTAAATCGGGAAAGGTAAGCCATATAGCAAAGTAAAATTAAAAGAAGAATATATAAATGGATGTATAGTTACACTGGATGCCTGCTAACAAACGAAATAAATGCATTATATTTATATGAATAATGCAATTGTTTGAAAAGTATATGTATTTAATGAATACTAACAGTGGGTGACTACTAATATTTCATGAAAGATAATTACATATTGATGAATACTAACTTGTTGTTTGATCAGTGTTACAACATTCAAGGTCTCAGCAAAGCTTCCGAAAGGTTTTATGGAAGATATCTTGTCATCACTTTTTGATAGTGGTTCATAAACACATGCCCATGTTATAGTCGGAACAGTAAAAAAAAAATTCTTTATGGTTATTATTATGATTTCTGTCGCGTTAATTGGACGTTAATATGGGCGATTGATATCGTTTCATAAAAAGTCACTTATGATGAATAGTAAGATGGGAAGAAATGTTGAATGGGATGAACAGTAATAATGGATAAAAGGTTGCATGGGATGAACAGTTGAGGAAATGTTGCATGGGATGAACAGTAACAGTGGATAAAAGGATGCATGAGATGAACAGTAACAATGGATAAAAAGGTTTCATGAGTGACTTGTAACAATATAGGAAGGATGCATGCGATGAATAGTAACAATGGAGGAAAGGTTTCATGGGATGAATATGAAAAATGGATAAAAGGTTAAAAAAGATGACTAGTAACAATGGATATAAGGTTGCAGGGGATGAATATTAACAATGGAAGTAAGGTCGGATGGGATAAATAGTAACAATGGATAAAATGTCGCATGGGATGAATAGAAACTACTACGGGACCAAGACGTTATGCGCGCCGAGCATCCTATTCCAGTAGAGGACAGAGTTCGAGACCGAGTCCGCCCCCTCCCATCTCTCTGAAGAAAGTAGACAGGGTAAGAGAGATCTTCCCGGAGACGTGGCTCTGGCTGGATACCACAGTCGGGTAAGTCTACTTTTTACTGTTAGAACATGATCACATCGAGACAGCATCTGAGATAAACGAGACGCCATAATGGGATGTTATGGAGTGGAGGTCTTCATCTGGAACAGAGGTAGTTGTGTTTGAATTCAAGGAACCATAAGACACTGGCAGGAATGTTACAGACCGACATGCCAATACAGGGACACAGTACGCGTTAGACGTCTTGGACCCGTCTCAGCTCTCAAAATCAAAATCAACACCCCCCTCCCCAGCCCCCAGCTCCGTCACATGTCCAAGCCTCTAATACAATACACCACATATTACTTACAGGGTTCCATAAGCTGCTCAATGTAGCGCGCATATCACAGAGGCAAAGCTAATCAATCTCAGGTCAACGTTTGGTCCACCTTTACTATAAACTCAATAACCTCTTTGGTTACAATATATGGTTACTCTTTGGTGAATATAAATAATGCTCACATATACCATCTGGAACAGAGTTGGAATTCAAGGAAATGAGAATATAATGATTGTAGCATAGTTTGCCGGTTCTTGTTTCATTGTGATGCAGGAAGGACGGCCGGGCATCGATCCAGTCAACCGTTCCTGACACTATTACATCCTGGGTGGCCACTGCCTTCGCCATCAGCCGCCGCTCCGGACTCGGAGTGGCTCCAACCTCTGCAAAGGTAAACCTCTGGTGAACACAATCTCGGATATTTATGTATGATACCTGTTAGAATCCATGGCACTTTCTCCGGATATGAGTTTATGCTTTTGGAGAACGTCCGTCTTCCGCAAACTCTTTGGCTCAAGTTTTCCATCGCATTTAATGGAGGTTCAATATGCTGTTGGATTTATGAGACTTTTGTACAACTGTTATGACAGCTATGGCCTTTAAAAAACATGGATCCATTTCCAACGCGTATACACGTCACCCATCTTCCTATAATGTTTTGAAGAGGCCCTATGGTTAGACTAGAAGTTACAGTGTTGACACGGGCGCGATACCCGACATTGGTCAACTTTGAAAAAACGCATTCTTGACGTTCCCCGTCACTTTCGTATTCCTATATTGCACAGCTTCAAGTGTTCCGGCCCTTCTTCGTCAGTCTGAACCTGCCGCTGTCCGTGGTGCGCGGGGAGCAGGTGGTCCTCCAGGCCAACGTCTTCAACTACCTGCCCTCAGAGCAAAAGGCAGGTCACGGTCTACATTGACATCAGAGAATTATGAAATTAGGCATCGTACACATTGCTGTCGGGTGATGAGGTAGCCCAGTGGTGAAATGTCCCCCACATGGGTGCAATGTGTGTAGCATATTTCTTGGTTAAAATGCTTAACATTATATTTGTGGTTCGATTGTCATCGAAAGAATATCAAATTTTAACCAGTCAAAAATTAACACCAGATGCATATTTATTTTTAGAATTCAAAATTTAAATCTCTAAGGCAACTCTTATTTATGATTCAAAGTGGAACCTTAGGTCTTACGTGAAGGAAATGAAACCCCAAAGCAGGATATACTAGGTAAAACCTCCCTTTGTTTATTCAAAGGCGCTCCCGACTATCAAAACAATAGTTGCATGTGACAAATCCCCGATCACATTACTTGGTTAGTAATCTGAATAATATATACCTTAAATAAGAGAGAATGAAAGTATCTAATTATGATATCTATTTTTATAGCTAAAATTGATAGAATTATCATTAAACCGCCTGCATGTTATCAGAAATGAGCGGGCCACTGTAACTTGATAATGCCATCATATTGTTCGACGACGAGCCGTTATCACGCCCGTTGTTAGGTGACGTCATAGGAAGTCACCTTTTGACGTCATCTGGTTAGTTCTATGACGTTTCGATATTTGTAAAAGTGGGTCAGTGACGTTCGTTTGCAGTAAATGTTTCAAAACCGATATTGTTGTATATTTATATTTGATTATAAATTCTTTCCATTTTAGCTTTAATAACGGTAGCGCCATTTTTCAGGGCATGATCATTTAAAGAATCCCTCGGTCTTTTCAACTGCCCTCCTTTATCGAGCAATGAATGGAAGACATCGGACTTCTGCAAATGATAATGCCGTGAACAATACCGTTACCCTTATAATATAACCATTTCATAGGTAACCATTGAGCTAAAGAACAACAGACATTTCAAGAGCGTCGTTATTTGTTCTGGAGAAGAAAACAAGCTGACCTCTGACCCCCAACGTCAGAGTTATCTAGTCCGTCCAGGTGAAGCCAAAGCTGTGTACTTTCCAATAGTTCCCTCAATCATTGGCGATGTCGACATCGAGGTCTCCGCCAGAACCCCAGCAGCAGCTGACGCCGTCAAGAGGCAACTGAGAGTGAAGGTTAGTCCATTAAGGACATAGAACGACAACGTTACAACGTGTAACGAACTCTGAATATTAACTATCTAAGCAAAATGTCATGGTTAATTGAACCATTAATACATTGTGTTTTGCAATGTGGCGCAGCATTGCAAAAAGGAATGAAAAGACCAATGTTTCGAACTTTAAGAAAACATTTTGTTATGAGCAGGATGGCCAAAGATAAACTTTCACAACATTGCATAAATGTATTTACCTCCATGTCGTTCCGAAATCAACTTGTCTCATAAAACAAAAACGTTTTTGGAAAATCTATGCTTTGGTTGTGTCTTGACATACGTCGGATTGTAAATAATCCTGCCTGGACAAGACAAACCGGTGAGTGACATTATGGGCAACGTTCCACGCCGTCATGGCACAACACGCAGGTCGGCTCTAACGATAAGAACAGGCTGCTGGAGTCCAGTTCTATCCAGCAATACCCACGGCTGTTCAATATATGTAGCTCTAGCCTAAAAGAGGGTATCGACCTCTTCACAAGAACCTATGTCATAATAACCCTGAACAAATTAAAAAAGCCACCTGATCGGGTTATCACTTCATGAAATACCGATACTTCCTGTAAGATTACTTTCACAATATTAACCTCATATGATATAGATTTTGAGTGTTTACATTTCTTTCATAAAGGCAGAAGGTGTCCGCAGAGAACGGAACATCCCTGTTCTCGTTGACCTGACATCAGAAAATGAGTTCTCCGAGACGATTAAGGTTTCCTCTCCGCCTGGACTTGTTGAGGGGTCTGAAAGAGTTCGGCTCACAGTGACCGGTAAGTTAAAACTGAGCATATCAGTAACAGTGACTCTGGACTCTGATTACTGCTTTGTGCGAGTGAATTGGTAGTACTTGGTTGTCACAGTTACCGGTAAGTTGATGCTGAGAACAGGTTTATTTCTGCTTTGTGACGGAAGTATTTCTTAACAGTGATTTAAAAGTAGTTGGTTGATTATTGCCGTGCCACAGGGCTATAAGGTGAGGTGAAATGGGATTTAACGTCGCGTCCAAGATTATTGCACTTATATAGCGACTGCATGTACGGTTGTCTGTTTGTGTGGCTGCTTGTATTAGTCCGGACTGATGCCGATTTATAGTGCTAGCTCACTGAGATACCATGCCGCAGTTTAACATGAATACCCCACTCAGACACAGTATACTGACTCCGAGCCGACCAGTCCTTGTTTTAGCCCCTTAATGCCGAGCGCCAGACAGGGTAACAACAAGTACCATCTTTTAACGTCTTTTGGTATGACACGGTCGGGGATCGAACCCCCGACCTTCCGCTCTCCGGACGGACGCTCTACCACTAGACCACGGAGGCAGTCCATGGAGCTATGAAGACTATTGATATAGACTTGGTGGTAGTTGGTTGTCGAGAAGCATGTCTCAAAAGGTAATTTATGACAGTTTATAGGTTGATAATAACTATGTCACAGATGCACAGATTTGTCACAATGACTTGGACTTGGTTACTCAAGTAACAGTGGTTCAGTTAAAAAATATAAGATGGTCTTGTTGATAGATTGAGACTTAGCTTTATAATAACTATGCGTAAAAAGGTAACATTACACTGGACATTCGTGTTGGTGTATTAACAGGTATGTGTTGTACAAAGAGTATGTTAATCAAATATGCCATGCGTCAACTATTGTCCATTACAGGTGACCTGCTTGGCCCAAGCCTTGATGGGATGGAAAACCTCCTGTCCCTGCCAACTGGATGTGGGGAACAGAACATGCTGAAGTTTGCTCCCAATATCTACATCGCCAACTACCTTGAAGCGACCGACCAAATGACAAAGGCGTTGGAGGAGAGGATCAAGTCCTATCTGGAAGTCGGTGAGTTGTATGAAGCTTGATTGGGGTAACACGTTGGTGAGTGGCATGTTGGCTGCCTAGAGTCAGAAGATCGTGAATGGCATAATGGTGAACTAGTGTCAGAATTTTGGTGATTGACAGAAATGGTGGAGTCAGAAGTTGTTGTGTTACATGATGATGGACTCGAGTCAGAATGTTGGTGAGTGGCATGATGGTGGACTTGAGTAAGATTGATGAGTTGCATCATGGTGGACTGGAGTAGGAATGTTGGTGAATGACATCTTGGTTTACTTGAAACAGAATGTTGGTGAGTGGCATGATGGTGGGCTGGAGTGAGGTTGTTGGTGAATGGCATCTTGGTGTACTTGAAACAGAATGTTGGTGAGTGGCATGATGGTGGACTGGAATAAGAATGTTGGTGAATGGCATCTTGATGTACTTGAAACAGAACGTTGGTGAGTGGCATGATGGTGGACTGGAGTCAGAATGTTGGTGAATGGCATCTTGGTGTACTTGAAACAGAATGTTGGTGAGTGGCATGATGAGGATGAGAAAGTGTTGCACGATGAAGGACGTATTCCAGGAAATAGTCCCCATTCGCATGAAACCTATCCAGATTGTCTTGGGACACACACCTTAAACAATTAGATTATGTGTGATCTCACTGTTGATCAAAAGAAGTCCTATTTCTTCTACCACGCACATTAACACACTCTAAATGCAGTAACCTGCCCACTACTGTTATTAGGTAAAAGTGCATCCAAAAATACATAAGAAAATTTGTAACAAGATAAACCTTTGAAATAATGATTACCGTCATGATACTTAGTGTGGCTGATGTTAAATTTAAAGCAAGGCGACCGGACGGCTCGATAGATAAATGGCATGCTGTCGTTGTCATGCAATTAATCAGCAGAGAAAAGGAGAACACTTTCATCATGAAAAACCAAACAGAGTGATTCAGGAAATCAATATATAGATGCTTAAACGGTTATGTAGGCTCCAGTATTTTTATGATTACGACAAACCTGAGTTCATGGTCGGATTTAGTTGTTAACGTATTAATTTTATGTATTATCAAATGTGACAAAGAAAGGCAAGACTCGATCACTTTAAAAAGATACTTTTAACACTAGCAGAGTAGTGCAGGCGTTGACTGGGGCAAATCACCACTATTTGTATTTAGAGCAATGGACTGAAGCTTAGTAAAAGTTATGTGAGTGTGAACCTGGTGTCGTGTTAATTCTTGTATGTGTGGACCAGTACATGAATCCCTATGTTAACAGTTCAGAGTAAGTGCTGTAAAAATTACCGCTTGACTTTACCCCCTCCTAACCAGGCGAGTTGTAGAGGCACAGCTTACATAGACCACGACGGCGCGGAACGGCAATACGGTAAGGTAACTGTAGTAGGGTCCCATTATACCCCAAACACAGTTACGACAATACACACACAAACATGTGTCCTTTAGTCATACCAAATCAGATAACATTATGAATTGCCTTTTCTCTCCTCAGGATATCAACGTCAACTGTCCTACCAGAGATATGACGGGTCATTCAGTACTTTCGGTGAGCGAGACGAGGCAGGAAGTGTGTGGTAAGTGTGTGACGTAAGGTACACGTGAATAAATGAGGGCATACCTGAGTGAGTGATGGTGTTATGGTAAGTGATGGTAAGGTACACGTGAGTAAATGAGGGCATACCTGAGTGAGTGATGGTGTTATGGTAAGTGATGGTAAGGTATACGTGAATAAATGAGGGCATACCTGAGTGAGTGATGGTGTTATGGTAAGTGATGGTAAGGTACACGTGAGTAAATGAGGGCATACCTGAGTGAGTGATGGTGTTATGGTAAGTGATGGTAAGGTACACGTGAATAAATGAGGGCATACCTGAGTGAGTGATGGTGTTATGGTAAGTGATGGTAAGGTACACGTGAATAAATGAGGGCATACCTGAGTGAGTGATGGTGTTATGGTAGGTGATGGTAAGGGACAAGTTAATAAATGAGGGCATACCTGAGTGAGTGATGGTGTTATGGTAAATGATGGTAAGGTATTCGTGAATAAATGACGGCATACCTGAGTGAGTGATGGTGTTATGGTAAGTGATGGTAAGGTACACTTGAATAAATGAGGGCATACCTGAGTAAGTGATGGTGTGTGGTAAGTGTGTGACGTAAGATACAAGTGAATAAATGAGGGCATACCTGAGTGAGTGATGGTGTTATGGTAAGTGATCGTAAGGTACACGTGAATAAATTAGGGCATACCTGAGTGACTGATGGTGTTTCAGCATACATGGATGGACCAAATTCCAAGCCAAACCCTCTGCGACAAATTCTTCTAAACCTATCGCTATCAGTCTGTTTTGTAACATTGTGTGATCATTGAGTTAGTGCGTGAGTTAGCGTTGTGTAGTTTGAACAGTATTTCATTCATTTCAGTGATAAGGAAAAATGGTTTGCCGGGTTTACAGTGCTAACCCACTGAGATGCCATGCTGCAATTTAACTTGATATCCACTCAAGCACATTAAACTGACTCCCCTTTAAGCCCATTGCCATGCAAAGTAACAACGGTTGAACCCGGTCAAATGAACATGTCTTGCTAATTGTATAATGATAATGCCTCGCCGAGCGATCAAGCGCCATACCGTTACCGTCACATGATTTCAAGCCCATTCATCACATTCGTGTTAAAAATAGATGCACATCATGATCAGTCACATGACATTACAGACAGGAAGTTTACAAACAGCAACCGATACATCATCGGTGCATACGATTGTTCTAATGCAAATTATCATCCAATCAAGGTTTTGGCTCGAAGACATGTGGCCTATAACCCTAAAATGCCTTTCTAAGTCCTGTTGTACACTCTCATATTCCAATACTAGAGCAAAGTAAAAAGATGAAAGGTTGTTTTAAAGTGTAAATGTATTCACAGCACAAGACAGACTAAGAATCTTGAAAGATTGTTGTGTCCTTCGAATTATAACTAGGTTCAATTTGAAAAGAGTGTCAGCAAGTGTGGTTTACTGCGGAATATATCCATTAATCATTGAAGACTGTAAGTTTTCATTCCAAAATTGTAAAATATTTATGGTTAAAAGTAACACAACATGCCGCAGAGAAAGTGTGATTTCCGTAATAGAATGTGCCGGTGGAGGTGCCAAATCGGTGTGGAAATTCAAAGTTAAATATTTTTCCATTTCACAAACAATTTACAGATGACAAATCAGTTCATTATAATATTAATATATCATAAAGATATTTCAACCAGTATTAAACTAAAATAATGAATATATAAAAATTTTTGGTCCACGTACATAGCGTAATTTGCCATCCGCTTCATTCCTGGTCACAATTCTTTACATGCGTAGTGCTTTCTCTCCTTTCCGGAAGCGTGTGTGTGTGTGTGTGTGTGTGTTGGGGGTGGGGGGTGGGTGGGATTATAGATAAATAAATTATAACACACACACACACACACACACACACACACACACACACACACACACACACACACACACACACACACACACACACACACACACACACACACACACACACACACACACACAGAGGCGCGCACGCTTCCGGAAAGGAGAGAAAGCACTACGCATGTAAAGAATTGTATATATGTACATATGTATCAAAGATGCGGGTCTTGGACGTGAACGTCCACCACCAATGTATACGATACGAGTGATGACAAAAGTAAACAAACATACTCAGGGCAAATCTGGAAGATCCTAGGAATCTGGAACGAGACAAACCTCTGCTCAGCAACTTGCGGCGTCTAAAACTCTGATATAAACTACTTGGCAATTAGCATAAGGTGTTCCTGCCTTGGTTGCAATATACAATAAATGGTTAAAATGCCGATTTGCAGGCAAGGGTTTTAACCTTAATGCTTAACGGCCAGTCATGAACATTATTTAAAATTGTTTAAAATTATTTAAAATAAACAAAAACGACACTGGAACATTTCTAACAAAAACCTCGCATTAGTCATGTCACACAATTTCTACACTACAACATATGTTTGGGGCATCATTTCTTAACATGTAAGTGACCCATGCCATTAGATCACCTTTTGACTTAAGACACTTTTTTCATGGCCTGTGTTTGATACCACTGTTTTTAAACAGGCTAACTTCTTTCGTGGTGAAGTCGCTTTTCCAGGCTCGCCAATACATCTACATCGACAACTCAACCATTGACAAAGCCCTCAGCTTTCTCGGAAATATGCAGATGAGTGATGGCGCTTTCGTGGAACCGGGCAGAGTTATTGACAGACAGCTACAGGTTAGAAAATCACATGTCACAGAGGCAGATTAACGATTCTGAAAGAGAGGCGAGAGTGCTGCACCTAATAAATAATACTTTGCAATTAACATAAGGTGTTCGAAAAGGGGAGTGTGCATTCACGGCATTGGAGGAGAGCGGAGAGCGGCGAATGTCACAGACATGCGTCGCACAGGTCATTTTAGTGAGACACCAACAAGGGTATCGTACTGAACTAACAATTCCATGGTGCTTGCACACCTAAAGGACGCAAATCTGCACATCAAATTGCAGCATCTCATACACCTTTGCAATAACCGTCATGAATCACGAAGCTATGAAAATGTGAACTGGCAGATATGGATAGCGTGGCTTTGTAGGTATTGTAGCATACCAACATTAGTTTCCTGAACTCGTTTGCAGGGGATCGAGGGCTCCGGACCAGGCCTCACGGCCTACGTGTTGCTGGCTCTTGTTGAGACTTCAGGACACAATGGGCCAAGGGTGAGATACTTTTCTTCAAGAATGAATAGAATTAACCTGTATTAACATAATATGTACAGGTAGAATAGGTCTTCAGCAACCCATGTTTGCCGTAAAAGGTGACTATGCTTGTCGTAAAAGGCGAGTAACGGGATCGGGTGGTCAGGCTCGCTGACTTGGTTGATACATGTCATTGATCCCAATTGCGTGGATGGATGCTCATGATATTAATCACTGGATTGTCTGGTCCAGACTCGATTATTAACAGACCGCCGTCATATAGCTGGAATATTGCTCAGTGCGGCGTTAAACAACCAACCAACCAGAAGTGAATGTGTCTGTTAAATTGCCATTTCGATCAGAACAATGAAGTTGCAAGCTCAGTGGTCATTTCGATGGTTTTCCTCTTCCTAAATGAATTACAGTTAAATGAGCCAAAGACTCGCTGGTGTAGCATCCTGTCTCCATCCTGGAACCTAGTATGCGGATCGTATCAGCTTGGTTGATGGCGAAGAACATTGCTCATTAAAGCAGTCACTGGTTTGTCTGGTCAAGACTTGATTGTTTTCAGGCTGACATCATATAGCTGGAACATTGTTGATTGCGTTTAACACCAAATTAAACAAGCTAATTAAAAAAACAGGAAACAGCTGAACCCCATCGACTGGTGACAACTTTACAACTAACCATTTAAAAACATATAACAGTATGTATGATTATTCTGGTGTTACAGGTCAACCACTTACGCCTCAATAAGATACAGCAGAAAGCTATGGCGTACCTTGAGAGGCAGAACTTCCAGCATTTGGCCCAGTACCCCCTGGCTGTCACCACATATGCCTTAACCAAAGCCGGGAGCAATCACTCTGGAACAGCCTTCGACCACCTCAAGAAAGTGGCTAAAAACAAGAGTGAGCATTCATTCCCACTGGGCTCTTAAGGATGTCTTTCATAGTTCTTCAGCTATTTCTCTCTACCTTTTCAATAGATCGTACAGTCTACCATTTTTTACATAGGTACATATTACGTTTACATAACATTATTCGTCACTTCAAAGTCGAACCATCTGGCACCGTATGTATGGCGGCTGATTATACATACAGACATGGCATGTTTGTTTTTTCAAATAATGTATAGCTAAAGCGTGCATGGCCGATGGGGGTCAGGTTGAATGAGAATAAAAACGGAATACTGATTTTCTCATTAGTCTGACTGATTAAAAACTAAAGTGACAAACTCAGACAAATGGCCGACGTTGACAGGTCATATATATACCATCGGTGCTCAAAAGTTGTATTTTTGTATTGTGCAGGGGGTATGATGTATTGGGATGTGAATACCGTTTCCAATAAGAGAACTGCCAGAGAGAGAGCTGAACCAATAGACATATTGACGACGGCCTATGGCCTAATGACCTTCATCTCCATCAAGAAATTCAGCGCTGGAATGGGCATAATGCACTGGCTGGCTGCACAGAGGAACCCAAGGGGTGGATTCATATCCTCTCAGGTGACTTTAAAACTCAGAAATGCCAAGTTTATTATAATACTTCTAGGTAAGGTACTCAAGAGTGGAATGCAAAATTCATTACTCGTCACCACTGATCACGCTCCTTCATATTTCCCTCTGGAACTTCCTGGGCAGTCTTGTTCCCCATTTTTCAATCTATGTACATCATACGAATCGATGTAGTTCTCAATCCGATAGTATCCGATAGTATCCTATATAATCCGATCAGTATCCGGTTTACTTGTCTAGCGTTTGTTTAGCTCAGTTTGGTAATGCTTGTCACGGTGTGATCCCATATTTTGGAAACGCTCTGTTTATTTGCCTTTTAGGGATTGTTTTTAACGCCACAGTCAGCATTATTCTAGCTATACCACGGTAAGTAATCTAGTCGGGACCAGGCAGGCCAGTTACTGTCAGCTCATGCAACAAAACACGCCATGGGGGCATAGTGATATGCAGCCTGCCAAGTCTGACCACCCGATCCATTTTAGTGGAATTTGAGACTGGGGAAGAACTCTACCCGGGATGTCTTGATAGTACATATATATTGTAACTCACCATTGTATATTGGTATGGATCTCAGAATTTCATGTCTAAAATGTTTAAGGATACGACTGTGGCCCTCGAGGCTCTGACCCTGTTCATGGTTGAAGCGCAGCCTGACAACTACAACATCAAACTCCGACTAACAGCCGGGGATGAAGACAGGACCATCACCGTCAACAACGACAACGCCCTTGTCCTACAGAGCGTCGACGTTAGTTACTCGTACACAATTTTACTGATACCGATAACATAACGTTGTAGAACAATATGGAAGTTTATATGTGGGTGGTTAAGTTGAGGCTAACGCTGCTTTCAACAGTATTCCAGTTGTATCACGGCGTTTACATGTAGTCAATGCATGCTGTCCTTGCAGAAGAAAAATTATCATTGGCGAAAACATGTTACCAAATCAGTATCACGGTCGCACAATTATAGCTTTGTTGCTGTTTGACAGTATTTCAATCTTATCTGTTTGTAATTTTAATGACATTCACTTAATCTGAATTTCAGCTGACGTCCATTCCATCAAATTTCAAAGTTTCTGCAGAAGGCACTGGCTTTGCCGTTGTTGAGGTACAATATCTTTGTGTGGACATGTCTGTCAAATGATATGTATAATGTATATATGTGTCATATAATTATATGGAATGCTGACATACAGATAAAGAAGTAATTTATAAAGTTAGAATTGAAGTTCATTTGTCTTCTTCGTATGTTCACATGATACTGTATTTTGTTCCTAGCTGGGCCTATTTTACAACATAGTGTCTGTGGCTGACGACAGTGAGGTTTTCGACGTCAGCACGGTGCTCCTCGACGACACCATCAACGGCTTTACTCTTATGACATGTGCCAGGTATGTGTTTCTATCAGGTTCACCAGTCGTCTAAGGCGCCGCGATTCGCTGTGCAGAGTTGCGTTCCTTGGGCAAACCTATTATTGTGGGTTCCAATCCCGGTTCGCCCCGATTATGTGTCTAGGTTTGTCAGCACCATACCCGTGCTCGTGGGTTTCACCGAAGTGGTAAACGTCTGACGCCTGCATCACTTCGGGCTTTCCTTCTACATTAAGCTGACACGCCGTGATATAACTGGAATACTGTTAAAAGCGGCGTTAAACCCACTCACTCACTCATCTCAATGTGCTGCGCAAAGGTGTGTCCCTGTTCCATGTCAGATACCAATGATCGCTTTCAAATCTTACACGCGCCCTATAATGGTTCTTGGTTTGTCAGCACTATTCCACGCTCATGGGTTTCAACAAAGCGGTAGAAACATCCATGACCTGCATCACTGTGAGTTTTCCTACCACGTACGCTGACACGCTGGAATACCTTTCCATCACTGAAGACTAAGTGCACTTAATCAATTTGAGGACACCCTATTAATTGCAATCTGTCACTGGATTAATTAAGCAATATATTTTCTTTCAAAGACATCTCCAGAACGGGTCGAGTGGGATGTGTGTTGAGACCATCCAGGTCCCATCCGGGTTTACAGCTGATCTCTCCAGTGCAGGCAACATAGCGGGACTTAAACGCCTAGAACAGACAGACGGTCAAGTCGTCGCCTACTTTGATTCGGTGAGATTCATAGAGAACCTTAACCTTTTTAACCTTAACTGTTGTAGGTCAAGGTTTCTGCTACAGGATTGTGGACAATTTGTATCAATTACTGACAGAAAAATGTCAACATCGGTGAATAGTTTTACAAGTACAATTGTATTTGTGAAAAAGTCGGAAGTTAATATAGTTGTTTTCTGCAACATAAATTCTTGGCCTGTGAGATTCAGAGGATTTCGATGCTGGGCTGACAATGCCGCATGATCTCCTGTTGAGGGCGAGTTAAATAGTCTCATGGTGCCACTGAGTTATGGACCTTCGCCAAACATACTTAAGTTTGTATTGTGTGTAGGTTGGGAAGACCTCAACATGCATGAAGCTGTCTTGCTCCAGGGTGAACATGGTGGCCAAGACCAAACCTGTGTACATTTCCATGGTGGACTATTACAAGCCGGGTAAGTTCCGTGATAACATTACTGACCCCATTTGAACTCTTACAAGCTAAGTAGCATGATAACAACATGATATACATATAACTGTTTTGTTCTACAGATGACAACGCTGTGGTCTCCTACCATCCACGAAGACTACGGAAGTCAGATGTCTGCGAAATATGTCCCAAGTGTTCTGGCTGTGATGAAGATGTAAGTTACCGTCGAATCCAAGTTAGTACACCGGTATTTCTAACGTAATACCCAGGAGACTCGGGGACAGAATGGAATCAGATCATGAAATGCCTTCCGCGAGAGTGACGTTAGGACAAATTGTCAAAATGCGGGTTCTGTTTGGGTCTCCATGTGTAAGAATATCTCAAGGTACCGATGCAAACAGTTATGACGAATTGTTTGACCACCCGAGATCAAACTTAGTACACTTTCACTCAAAGGAATTGATGCACCTTTGGGATCCTGAGACAAAATGGTGCATAAACACACCATGTCTGTAATACGGTCGCTATTTCTTCATTGTACATGGACAGACCACCACAGTTTGACCGGCTAGGTACGTCCGTAATACGATTCCAATCACCAGGGTTGATGTTCACACTGTCGATTGATAGTTTCTAATATCTTTAACATATCCGAGACACTGCTAAAACTTCATTCTGAGCAAACAATGTGTAGGTCCCTTCTATTCTTTAATATATGGTTCTTGACAATAATTGCATTCTACCATACGAATGCCACTTTGGACAAGTTTCAAAGACTTCTAGATTCTAGATTCGATTGTGACTAGCCATCTAGTATCCTTTTGAAGCGAATGTTTCGTATTGTGCAAACAGGCTTTTTTAGGTAACTATTACAAGACAACTATTTTATGGTTCATTTTTCAGGACTTCCAACCTGTTCAGCGAAAGAATATTTTGATACGACGTTTAATGAATATACATAAATGACAAACATTTGTCAACACAGTGTCATCACCATATAAATATTTTGTTTAAAATCTTCTTTCAAAAGATGATATACACATTATGCCAGGCATTGTTTTTATTCGTACTTTTTGGCATTAACGGGAAAATTTCATAGTTTTAGGTTATAGACAATGGTAATATGGTAAATATCTTCTGTGGAATTGAGAGTATAATGAGAAGGCAAAGACATACTAGGAATTCATCATTTCGTCTTTGCTTAACATAGGGCACTTTCATCTGACTGTTTCTATTCCAAGGCAATGAGAGAATAATCTGAATGTATATCGACGACTTCTGTTGCAGGAATAGACTGTGGTGTTGACAGATCAGCCCCAGCCTCTTCATTCTTCCATCTCGACACATGGCTTGGACATTGAATAAAGGCTCAGTAGTGCTGTATTTCCTGGGAGAAACATGATGCTGTTGTGTGTTGTTTTTCTTGATTATAACGTTAAGTGAGCATAGTATGAAATGAGAAAAGTTATTGAGTTGCCCGACTTCATAGACCTAAGCTCCCACTGCATCGTATAGGAAATGAAGCATTGCCTGATAACGCGGATACTATTCCCATACACTGCATCTATAAACATACAGACTGAACCATTCAGTCAGTTGACTGCACCTTGCACATTACGGCAAACTTGTTGATCCTTCTTATTCGTACATATATTCTATATAATAATTTGCAACATACAACTGTCACATCTGTCTTCCCATCAGAAAATATGTATCAAGCTACTCAAATGCCTTTAACAAGATCAACTAAGTACATGAATATACGAGGGTCATTTCAGTTTGAAAACTGAAATCCTACACAAAAACGACGTTGATTCTTGGAAAGTTTGTTGTTCTTTGAATTTATAGACATTCTTAATGTGTACCACGCTAAATTGAAATAACCTGTCCAGGGGGCATCACTTGTCACACACATTACATATGGTGGCCTTCTTAAGCTTTCATAAGTGTGACACCTGACCTTGCATTTGGTTACATGACAAAGATTCCAATCTTTTAGTACCTTTTATTTGGATACCAATACAAGCATTTATACTTCTTTAAGACAAGGAACCTAACATACACATACACGTTATTTATTTGTGTGTCATTGTTCCCAAAATTTGTTAATCTTTGGAAAGTCTAAAAAAAACAGTAATTGTATATAAAGCTTACTTCCATGAAAGGGAACACATGAAACTGATAAATATACATTCCTGTCATCTTCAGTTGTGCCACAGTTCTTACTCACTGACTCGTGATAGTAGTCATAGTCCGTGACGTAGCCGGGCTGGTTGTTCGCCACCATGCCGATTCTGGTGGACAGGAGGTCGAAACAGATGGAAGGTGTGCCGAACTTCGATAACGACAGATAGAGAATCTCACCCCCGAGTGTCTTTTAATATCAAATATATCAACACGAGTTGATAAAAGTGGAAAAATTCCGAGGCTTGCCGAGGATATTTGTCACTTTTATTAACGATTGTTGATATATTTGATATCAAAAGACACGAGGGTGAGATTATATTTATCATCCAACATCATTCTTCCAACTTTTTCAATTTGTAGACAGTAATTAGCAGTGTCTTCAATGTAAAAAGTACTGCTAACAACTTCAGTAGCAGCGCCATTAGTGATGTCGTTTGATTGTGACGTCATGGTAACCAGTGATGTCACAATGGTCTGCAAAACATTGTGATGTAATTCCATTGCAGCGATATCTACAGTGTAGATATCGCTTGATCTCATCAAAGCGATATCTCTTGTGGGAGCCAGTTTTGAATGATAAAAACATTTGTCATATGTTATGATCAGGTTAATTGTCATGAAGGACCTTAGTTATACGACCCCAGGATGAGATACACGTATTAAGTTCAACTCATTTCATAGTTCCTGCCTCGGCTTTCAACTCTTTTTGGGCCAGCAACCTTCCTAATTGACGTCATATCCGGATCAAAGCCTGATGGGATCGATATTTCCGTAACCGCCATGCCACTTGATCCTATCTTCAGCCACCTAATCGAGAAAAGATTTAAAACACGTATTTTTTGAAAGCTTTAGTCAAAAAACAAGTTCCATACACAATGTGTTCTTTTGATCATGGGCATGGTTTTGTTACTGTCAAAATATACAACGACACCGACATTAACGAACTTATTTCTAAGGAAACGATGAAATATTTCATTTTGAGAAAGTCAACCTTTATTTCCGTTGGTACTTTGGTTTTACTTTTGGTTAAAAAAACCAATGGAGTTTGAAATGGAGTTTATTCATTTCCGTGCATGCGTAGATTGATTCTCTTACTACACATTCGCCATTTAACACCTTTTTACACATTGTAGATGGTAGACATATTATGATCATGAAACAATGTCGCGCTATCGCCATTTCGGGTAAAAAATATTTTTCAAACAGCGACATTGGGACAATAGGTCGAAATGTGCATTGTCGTGTTGTGGTTTGGTTAATTTAGATACTGTTTGTACTGTGTGTATGATATTTCGGTTTAAGACAGAATGTTTATCAGCCACGGCTTTGTCTCTGATGGACTGAGTGTGTGAGTTGGGTTTTAATCCGCTTTTGCAATATTCCAGCATTATCACGGAGGGAGACAACAGAAATGGGCTTCACACATTGTATCAATGTGGGTAATCGAACCTTAGGCATCAGCGTGGCGAACGCTTTAACCAAAATTTCACCACCCCACTGCCAATAAAAGGTTGAGCCAATTGAATCTTCATTTCGTTTCCAGCATCCAAATTCCCAGAATAGCAAAATATCAGCCTGTCCCATAGTTTCCTGTGAGATACATAGGTGTCAAGATACGGGGGCGGGGACCGCGCTCAATAGTTGTCGCGTAAGCATTTCATGTCTTCCTCTCCAGCGCTGTCAATGTCACCCTTCACTGATTGTAGCACTTGTATTAAGCGTTGTCGGAAACAATAACACATGCAGACGGATGTGCAATGGCTGCTATATCCGATGTTCATATCGATTTATATACAACCTACTTGTCTGGGGCACAGATGTTGACATTGGCATTCCAGAAATTCACTGTTTGAATTGATACGGGTCGATTTCCAAATTGAAACAATATGTTAACCCAGCAATCTGTACGTAAAAGAACCCATTGTGAAACCAACAAATGACATACGATCGACAATGGTATTACAAAATTCACTAAGTTCACACATCAATACAAATTACTGCACGGCAATTAAAATGCCAGTACACATTGGTAGTACAATACTCAATGGCAACATATAATATGATGGCAGTGATCAGTATAAAATACACAAATACAGAGGAGATAGCAAAAGTCAGTGATAATAATATATATTCACCAATCGGCGACAGTGGTCAAGCTTCCGAGATGGGCTTGGCGGGGACTCAGGAATGATAAGCGATCATCACATGAAAGCAACACGTTCTTGTCCCACTAAATATATACAGCTTAACAAGCTAATGGAAATTTCTATATCGTGCCCTCCCCACATAGGACATTACAGAAATTTCGGTAACATACTATCACCTTCTGCGGAATACTTGACCGGAAGTTTACACAAAACACTAGCATCTAAATATAGTAACTTCCTGACGACTGATCATTGCCGAAACAAAAGGCAATGAGCGTCTGCCGCAGAAACAATGCAACACAGCTACAATCGCTGTGAAACAATCAAATACAATGCCATAGAACAGAATACGTGATCCAATTATGATGACAAACACGTTTTTACTATCCGCATGATCTAAATATTGAAATTGGTCGAATAATGGGTTCTTATTGCAATCTACTTTTACAGGGATGTTAGATGAATGTGTGAAAAAAAGGTACAAGATATATCTGGTAGAAGTGTTCGCTCATTTGCGATTCTAAAATCTGTTAGTGTGGTAAATGCCAACTTCGAGATAATAGGGGACCGAGTCCAAGGTTCAAAATAGGGATGTGTATTTTTATCTCGAATTCGAGTAAACTGCCAAATTTATATGCATTTATAAAGAGAGGCGGTCCGGACCAGAGAATAGGTTCGAGATATCCGTTCCTTCAAGATAACGGATCTCGAGATAACGGGGTCTAACTGTAGTTGAAAGTGTTGAAGATATATTGCACAAGAAAATACTGTAACAAAATATGTTCATTGATCTTTCACATTGCACAAAAAACAAATGTATGAATTTTTAAAATATACAAAGTGACATATTCGTGTATATAATTACACCAGTACTAATACTGTTTTAAGCATAAACTAGAGAAAATCTTAATATGATATGATAATGTTACAGATATTAAGCAAAATTGTCGCCTTACAAATAAGATGAAAGAAAAGCCTTGTTCATTATCAGTTTTCGAATTGTATTTGGGAGCAGGTTAACCAAACCCCTGAGGTACACCCCTTTGCTTGAAGGATCCGCTAGACTAAGGTTTGAATCCCATATTCGCCTTCATAATATTCATGGGTATAGGTCGGCACCAATCTCTGTTTCATGGGTTTCAGTAAATAGTTGAAGTGCAGTTATGTATCATTTTTGGCTTTCTACACACTCGCCTCTATATAGCAGAAGTGCTGTTCAATGCGTTAAACTCCTGTAACTCGATTATACATGCCATGTGGTTAAATGGCTCTTCTCTGTACTATACTCCACTGCGGACGTCGTTTAAGTAGGCTATTCAGTCACGTGAACTTCCTCCCGCTGGCGGTCACTCTCCATCCGGCGGTTCAAGCAGGGAAGGTAGGTGCCCTTCAGTGTCCTCTCCGATTATTTGAAGATATAATCATCTAAATATTTCATTTATAAAATATCCCATATTTAGCTTGATTTTGCACGACTTAACTTGTGTATGCAATAATGCTCTGCATAGGAGTAGTCACCTGTTTCCCCTATTTTAATAGTTCAGTAGTTACAGATAACATGCGTGCTACTGAAGCGTTTCGGTAATACTACAACATGCTATTACATAGTACATTGTGAACCAGCAATCCACAAATATAGGATGCCTTAACTCAGAGATATTTGTAAAATGTGTGAGCCATAAATTGAAAACAAAATGTCTCATTTTTCATAAAATATCTCTAACATAATATCCAAAACTATTTTTTGAAAGCCATGTAGTTATTTAAATGTATGAAACACCATGAATGCATGCCAAATACCAGAACGATAATATGCGCATGAAACAGGTATCTTTCACATATTTTTGAGACATTATAGTCCGATCGTGATGTGTCTGTTAATACAATTACCGGTGATAAATTATAGCATAAACTATTTACGATTCTTGGTGTAAAACTGTGAACAAAAGATTTTATTCCATCATGCTCGGGAACAGTATATTTTTTAACATAGTTCTTTCAGATATCAGGGCCTCAAACAAATTTGTGTTGTTAAAACAGGTGACATAATGCAACGTCCCATTATCATTATGACATTAAGAAAAGAACTGACATTATCAAACAACGGCAATTTGGTTAATAAATCTCCAATTTTCGATAAGCTAACAGCTTCAATGCAACGTCAATAACATGTTCAACATAAGCACAAACATGCAACACACACAAACAAACACACACACACAAACAAACACACTCACACTCACAACAACCCCTCTCTCACTATCGCGCTCACATTTCGCTTCCAAGGTCACTTCTGTTTGTCACTAACCTTCACCTCTCGACACGACTTCCGGCACGTCAGTGTGGCCATTTCCACATCTGGTAGTTACTCTATGCTGGGCCCCGCGTAACATGGGCCCGTACCGCGCAGCTCGTATCGCGGTATCAGTGCTAACATCAGTTATAGGAACTATATATCCGATGATCTGCTTCGACAAAAGTGCGGCCAGAAGAGGTCAAGGACAAGAACAATGGCTTGAGCTACTGAGCATGCCTGTGCGCAAGTCATTGCTCCAATACCCCGTAGTAAGAATATTTCAAACCAGAACATGTTAAACCAAGTGACATCTCCACTTGAAACTGAACTTGCAGAGTGCCCTTTCCCTAGAAAAAGTTAAATGAAAAGAATTTTAAATAAAAGCGACAAAATCCTTTCCATATCCATGAGGATACACACACATTATTGACACTAATTCCACACTTCATATACTAGTACCTAGACAAGTAAGACACATTATCGACACTTAATACACACATTACATACCAAGAAAAGAAACACACATTATCGACACTAATTACACACATTATGTACCTAGACAAGCAAACCACGGAATCTACACTAATTACACACAGTAAATACTCAGACAGGTAACACAAATCAACAACAAAAATTATACACATGCTATAACCAGACAACACTCATTATCAACACTAATTACACACATTATATATTTTTGTATCTATATTGGTAACACACACATTATCGACAATTATTACACATTATTAGACAAGAAAAAGCACCTCATCGACAGTAATTACACACATAACATAGAAAGACAAGTAACGCGCATTATCGGCACTATTTATACACAATATATACCTAGATAAGTAACACACGTTATCAACACTAATTACACACATTACACACCTGGACAAGCAACACACATGTTCGACACTTATTACACACGTACAATACCAAGAAAGTAACACATTATCGAAACTAATTTCACACATAATATACCAAGAAAAGTAACACACATATTCGACACTTATTACACACATTATATACCTAGACAAGTAACACACTTTAACGACACAAATTATACGTTAGACACATTGTCTACACTAACACACACGCGCAGTAACACACACACACACACACACACACACACACACACACACACACACACACACACACACACACACACACACACACACACACACACACACACACACACACACACACACAACACATACACAAACACACACACAAACAGACAAACACTGTTATAGACATATCCATTATTTATATACATATCCATGCACGTTCATCGATATGTGACTTTATCTGGGCATAATAAGTGTTACTGTGTAATTAGTGTCTATAAACTCACCAGGCCATTTTAAGTGTGACCTGCCCCATACACACTCTGTGGTGAGTCTGTTTAAGTAACGTATGTGACTAACCTGAACGGGTTCTAGAATAGTGTATGTGCATAGGACGATCGATGTGCGTGTATATTATCACTTTAACTAGATCGGCACATACATTACGTGCGAATATAACATGGGTGAATTAACTGCACACGTTTAGGGACCCACCATTTAGTATTTGGGGGGATGTATGATATTTCGGTCAAAGGCAGAATGTTTATCAGCCACAGCTTTGTCTCCGATTCACTGAGTGGGTGAGCCGGGCATCCACGTGGCTATATAACTGCTATAATCCTGATGGCGACGTTAAACCCAATTTCACCTCACCTCGCCAAAGTATACCTAGCCAAGTTAGACACATTGTCGACACACTTACACGCATGACATAGGTTGACATGTGAGACACATTATCAACACTAATTATACACATTATATACATTGACATGTGAGACACATTATCAACACTAATTATACACATTATATACCTTGACATGTGAGACACATAATCAACACTTGTTATACACATTATATACCTTGACATGTGAGACACATTATCAACACTAATTATACACATTATATACATTGACATGTGAGACACATTATTAACACTTATTATACACATTATATACCTTGACATGTGAGACACATTATTAACACTAATTATACACATTATATACCCTGACATGTGAGACACATTATCAACACTTATTATACACATTATATACCTTGACATGTGAGACACATTATCAACACTAATTATACACATTATATACATTGACATGTGAGACACATTATTAACACTAATTATACACATTTTATACCTTGACATGTGAGACACATAATCAACACTTGTTATACACATTATATACCTTGACATGTGAGACACATTATCAACACTAATTATACACATTATATACATTGACATGTGAGACACATTATTAACACTTATTATACACATTATATACCCTGACATGTGAGACACATTATCAACACTAATTATACACATTATATACCTTGACATATAAGACACATTATCAACACTTATTATACACATTATATACCTTGACATGTGAGACACATTGTCAACACTAATTATACACATTATATACCTTGACATGTGAGACACATTATCAACACTAATTATACACATTATATACCTTGACATATAAGACACATTATCAACACTTATTATACACATTATATACCTTGACATGTGAGACACATTATCAACACTAATTATACACATTATATACCTTGACATATAAGACACATTATCAACACTAATTATACACATTATATACCTTGACATGTAAGAAACATTATCAACACTAATTATACACATTATATACCTTGACATGTGAGACACATTGTCAACACTTATTATACACATTAAATACTTTGACATGTGGGACACATTATCAACACTCATTATACACATTAAATACCAAGACAAGTCACAATGATTATATACTTCCACTACTATATTATATACGGCCTTTTTATATTAATTCACTAATCATTAATATAACTTTATGAAAGCTGTAGTCGAAATCATCAGGTAACTGACGCATCACCAATATGGCCTGAGCTTATCAAGCTTGTTCACAAAGGCACCTGATAGTGAATAATCGTTGGCAGACTAATCGCGAATTATCGATAGTGGTAATTGCTTTTTAAGCCGCTTATCGCAAGTTCTACGAAAACTCCCCACTGACAGAACGAACATCTAAAAGTTACGACACAATATTTGACTTGTTGATAGTTTGCATGTATTTATAATCTAAGATTATCGGGCGAAATGTGGGACTGAACATCCTGAGCAGTATAAAACAGGGGACAGGTAATGATTGCTTCACTGTTCCCTGTACTGCTCATCAAACGCAGGACATGAACTCGCTCTACAGTCGAGACGAGTAATAGTACTAAAAGTGGGTTTCCAGACCAACCAGCTTCTCATTTTGACGATTGCTTGACAAGTGTCCACTGTTTCAGCTCCAGCTCCACCGACACGATGTTGGTCACGGCGGCAGTTGCCCTACTCCTCGTTGTCACAGTCCACGCAAAGAAGTAAGTAGAAACCAACTGAATGGTCCACTGTTTAATTTTAACAAAATAAACAACAATAACGTATTTTTAAGACGCTGTCAGTTTTTTCATTGATCATTGATCACCATAAAGTATGTTGCCTTTTTTGTCAATAATTTCGACTTTTGTATAATATTTAACTCTATTTGTGTTTGGGATAAGGCAAGGTGTCTTATTAAAATCCTAACTTAATAGTCTCATGATTGTGGTGTTGCTGTGTATAGTTTTGTTGTATCCATACCAGCTTGGTGTAACGCATATAGCTTCATGTGTATCGAATTATACATCTCTCACCAGAGCCATATATGTTTTCCGTCATTGGGCAAAATATGTTTTTGAAGTTAACACAAAGACAAACAGGGCCTCGTTTCACTTGGCGATCTAGATCTTTACGTTGTGTATGCATATCTACGGTTGCAGCATTGTGACAGTTTTGAGGATGGGTCCCACAGTCTTTCCCTGACATGTCGTTATCTTGTAGGCCACACAGAGCGTAACAATACTAAAGATAATCCCATATGACAAGTATGCTTCACGGTGTGTCAGTTTGATATGGTACAAGTAGGTGATACAGATCTTAGTCGTCTACGGCTTTGGTGAAACCCATGAACACGGATATGCCGCTGACAAACCAAGAAACATTATCAGAACGAATCTTGGAATGGAACCCACGACCGTAGGTTTCTGGTATGCCCAAGGGATGCAAGTCTGCACAGAGGACTGGGCTACCCGTGTCTCTAATCATGTCAGAACTTCACTGATGAGTTGCCTTAAGCTTCCTCCAAGGCAACACACAAAGGGTTTCATATACACTGAAACCCTAACGTCCGTCAGCATGTTTTTTCACGCATGAGTTAGAATATTATTGTATTAATCTTCAGCAACCAATGCTTGTCGTAAGAGGCGACTATTGGGATCTAGAGAACAAACTCGCTGACTTGACTGATGCATGTCACCGTATCCCAATTGCGTTGACCGATACTCATGATGTCAATCACTGGACTGTCTTGTCTAAATTCTGTTATTTCCAGACCGCCGTCACGTAGTTGGAATATGTCCGGCGTTAAACAACAAACAAACAAATCTTCAGGACTTGAGTGTCTGTCATTTCTCATTTTACCAGCTCGTACCTGATCACAGCATCGCAGCGGATTACGCTGGGACGGCCGTTCGTCGTCAACGTCAACATCCTAAACGCCAGTTCTCTCGTAGACGTTGATATCAGCATCGTCCATGCCTGGTACAACAAGACCGACTACGTGAAGACACCTATCACCACCGTCACACGACGTTTCAGGCAGGGTAAGTATGTTTTAACATTACAAGCGAAAAGAACATGTGCATCGGCCCAAGCAGTTACCAATACCAAAATATCCTGTCTTCAGGAGTTTGTAGGGGAATTGTCCCCTTCTATTTGAATATTGAGAATCCGTTAAAATTAAAGGCATGACGATGACCGTTGAGGAGTGATTTGGTGATAATGTTTGTTTATTATTGAAAGTGAATATAAATGTGTGATATATTGGTGTTCGCCCATGACTAAGTCACACATGCACTTGCTGTTACAGATGCGCCAGACACTGTTACACTGGTCGTAAGTATGCTACTGTGGTGAAGGTACTTATGACATTTGCCAACACAGCGCATGATTTTCGGGTGCGAGGAGTGATTTACACGTTGTGTTAATCGTATGCTAACGTTACAAACTTTAGGAACGTTTAAAATATCAATCGATATATAAATTCAATCGTTGCCTGTATAAATTCGTTTTGAAAAACCTATTTTATTCCACAATGTGACACAGTGAAATACAGAATCCAATACCGTATTTTGTAACTGTTCCATAGCAAACAATATATGAGTACCCTATCAATTGCGTCCTCATTTTCTGTACTTAATGTGCTGTGAACCAGTACTTGTATTCATCTAGTAAAGTATAAAGGGTTTAACTGCCGGGCAAAAGGAAGTATTCGCTTGGAAATTGGACTTCACCAAAAATTAGTTTTAAACGTTTAATGCTTTGGCCAAATCCAGTTTTCAAGTGTAAACTTTCTTTTGCCCGGCAGTGTAATCAACACCAACAGAACCCGTAGTAGGAACATGATGCAGTATAGGATCCCATATGATGTGCAGTTATTCGAAAACAGAATAAACAACGGACTGCAAATGGTACTGATGACAACAAACTTATTTCAAAACTCATTTTAGCCATGTTTTACTCTATCTGAACTTCCTAGAATTAGCAATGTATCCAATGTCAATCTGTTTGAATAGGTCACAGCCATCACGTTGACATGTCATGCAGCTCCTGGTAGTTAATCTTTGTTGTAGAAATATCAAATACTCCAGCAAGATAACGCTGTCATTCAAGGCTCCCGTTCCACTGAGCGATTTTAACTTTTCAACTCTATACGTAAAAGAAGGGGAATTACGACTGTAGCTCTGAGATCGTTTTGTCGAACGGACCGATCTTTAAGTTGACCTCACTGAGATTGCAATGATGGTGTTCCAGGCGCCACAAGCAACTGTCATTGGAAGTTACCTGCTGAAGGTGAAGGGGTCAGGGGGACTCATCTTTGAGAGAGAGGAACGCCTCACTATAGCCAGGAAGACCATATCAGTGTTCATTCAAACCGACAAGGCCATGTACAAGCCAGGACAGCGAGGTAGGGACCTCGTCCCAAAAGGAACAGCAAGTCAATGGAACAATTATGATAGACTGGTCATGTAGCTTGAATGTTAACCTTCCATATTTTGTGATGCAGAACGCTCAGTCGTACCTTCAGCAGTGGGACATTCAGGGACATACCATTTACTATTCTGGTGTGGAGTGTGGGGGGTGTGGGGGTGGAGGGGTGGGGTGGGGTTTGGGTATATGTTACCGACAGGATATTTTTCTCCGTCACTGCTTTTCTGTGATAGAAGGAGCCGGACAGTGTATTTCTCAATCATAACCATTTCTAGGACATCCCGCATGTCCACATAGCTTCTTCTCGTAAACCTGAGGACATCTTTTTATGTAATAGACCTACCACACCGAATATCCTTGTCACCGCCTCATGAATCACTATTTTATGTAATTCATATTCAAGGATGTATTTATGAGTATCTGTTCTTCTTCAAGTTCATTTCAGAGCCTTTGCCGTATACCCAGATATGAAGGTGTACAAGGGCAAAATAGATGTCGACATATATGTGAGTGAACCCAAATATTTATATAGAAAATGATGTAAACTATGTAACTACTGACATGTTCTACATTTTGTCACACACTGCACCGTCTAATCCCGACATGCAGTGTGCTGTTCAAAAATGATGTTGTGTACGAACTATGTGTCTTTAATCTGTAAGGGATGGCAGGTTTGACGGTTACCCTGTAAAGCTACGTTGTATAAACGTGGCTTTAGTGCTTTCTTTTGGTAATCCAAATTGACCCCCTACAGTCATTGTGAATTTCAATGTGCATGTGTGATCGTTACAACATGTACCCATGATTCTGTATTGAATTTATTTTTGATTCCTCTAAAGGATCCACGAAACAACAGAATTCGCCGCTGGGTGTCGCTGCAGGATGGGTCGGGTGTCAACCACAGAGACATATTGCTCAGCGACCAGCCGGTTCTAGGGGACTGGAAGATAGAAGTCACCGTTCCTGAGTTTGTGAGAACAATTCTCGCATTTTAAAGAATTTGCTGTTTTCTGCATCACTAAGTTTGAAATAACTTTTTCTAAAGTTCATGAAGACTCTTCCTGAGTGTGAAACAATTAGCTCCTAAGCTAGTGTTGAAATTGTTTAACAGAGCGTTGAGATTGGTGAGGTGGGTCATTTCTCTGATAATGCTTTAGTTCATATCCTCTGTTTACCACTGTTTTGTGGCTTCTGTGTGTTGAAAAAAAACACTAAACTCGTTTTATTTCATTTTGCCGTAATCAGTATATTCAATCAACAAACATAAATTAGAACTGTATATGGAATAATGCTTTCTTGTCTATGAACCATACGTTAATATGCACATAAAATAGTACGATTAACTTATTTCGTAACAGGTGGGATTAAACGAAAAGAAAACATTCACAGTTCAACAATATGGTGAGTACATCATACAGAGAAGGGCACACAATGTCATTCTCATGTATAAAAATAACTGATCCAGTTATTCACGTACGATCGATGTAATAGTTTGAAGTGATATGTTAACACAATCATAGATAGCACTTCCAGATCCTTTTGTGCACCTAACATCGAAGTCCATGTTTGTATTGATATCGAAAGTAGAATTGTATACAAACCATACCATAGTTAACAAACTATTGTCTTGTACGTAGAGTTGCCAAAGTTTGAGGTGAAGGTGGAGTTGCCTCCCTTTGCTCTCACGACTAACACCGACCTTTCCGGAACCGTCAAAGCCAAGTACGTATGCAAACAGAGCAACTAGTGTGATACGATTATTGCTGTACTTGGAAAGATAGAACATCCGTTGGTAAAAGTAAATTCTGAGAACAGTAATAAGTGTGATACGTATTAACTATTATTATTCATAATCGGTACGAACTACCAAACGTCACACCATTTGCTTTCAAAACTTCTGCACTGATGACCTTGCACCACTGTCTCCAGTAGACAATTAATAAGCAAGTCTAAAGATGAGATAAGAAATGAAGGTTGTTGCAAATAAAGCTTGATTGGTGCACACGCCATACACATGTGTAAACTTGTCATCCAGCTACACGTATGGAAAAGGAGTCAAGGGCATGGTGGAACTGAGGGTGTTTGTCGGCGCCATCAGGAACTACTGCGGGAACTTCGCAAAATCAGTTCTGAAGACGTTTCCAGTAAGTCATCACATAAGCAATGACCTTCGTACGCTGGTAAAAGTGTGTCAAGTATAGCTGTGTTGGTCAAGTAAATTGTGTTATGTTGGATGTTGCATCAGACTGACCCTCGTATGTGAAAATACATCATCATCGCCAGAGAATAGTCAGTCTCGATTATCTGCAGAAACACATTCCATTGGCCGCAAAAGGTATAAAAGTGGTGAAAATTATATTAATGGATCACCGAAAGTCAATGATGATACCATGTGTTCGCGAACAGAATAAGCATGTCCTGCTTTACCGGTAGCACCCGCCACTCACACAATTGTCATAAAAATTAGTTTGTGTTGGTTGCTTTACGCAACACAGCGGCACTCCTGCGAAAAGTGATGTTCCCAGACTTTACCCTTTCTGTGCAGATTGACGGCAGTGCCCGGTTCTCGGTGTCCATGGGAGAGATCAAGAAGCTGCAGTCGTACCTTAACCAGCAAACGGTGACTGTACTGGCAGAGGTCAAGGAGGACCTAACTGGGAAGACACTCAACGGCTCCTCAAACGTTGTCTACTACACCGACCCCTACAAGATCATCTTTCTGGATTCCAGCCCCAGTAACTTCAAGCCGGGTCTACCTTATAGGGCCTACGTACGTAACTGTTAACACAACTGTGGAACACAAACCGCTTCATTGCCTACATATGCAGCCATCATTAACACAATACACTACTTTACATGGCTTACATATGTAACTATCAACATAGCACACTTACCTACAGGGCTTACATACGTAACTATCAACATAAAAGACTACCCTACAAGGCTTATATGTGTAACTATAAACATAACACACTACTCTGTAGGGCTTACATGTGTAACTATCAACAAAAAGACTACCCTACAACGCTGACATATCCAACCATCAACATTACACACTATCCTACAGGGCTTACATATGTAACTATCAACATAACAAAATACCCTACAGGGCTTACATATGTAACTATCAACATAACACACTAACCTACAGGGCTTACATATGTAACTATCAACATAACACATTGTCGTACAGGGGTTACATATGCTTCTATCAACATTATACGCTATTTTACATACGAGTTTATGCAGTATGGACAAACGCCATAGCAAAATGTACAGAAAGTTTACATCGGGAAATCAATCCATGTTTCGGATCCCGATCATTGTCCGTTGTGCATGGGTTCCATTCTAAAGTAGCAGATGCGTAGTTAATATCCTCTTTTTTTCAAATCTAGGTGAAAGTGACCCAACAAGATGACCGCCCCATCTCTGATACTGACACCTCGATCCAGCTGTACACGTGCGTCAACTATAGGCGAACGGAGGCCTATCAGGATCGCTATGAGTGCAACGCTTTCACCGGCAGCTACTCCCTGCCAATACTTAACCTCCTGATACCTGAGAATGGCATTATCCCTCTGGACCTTGATATACCGGACAATACAACAGACGTTAAGATGAGGGTGCGTAGGTCAAAACATATGGACGCTACAGATGCAAATATACAAGCAACTGACAAACGCCGTTTTCAGTTTCAGCAACATCTTTCTAGAAAATCAGCTCTGCTGTGAATAGAAATAAGCCATTTAATGACATACAAAAACAACGGTAGCATAATAAATTGACGACATGACAATGAAGCGATAAAGTGGCATAATGGATTGACGACATGACAATTAAGCAACAAAGTGGCACAATGAATTCACGACATAACATAATGGATTGACGATATGACAATGAAGCAATGAAGTGGCATAATGGATTGACGACATGACAATTATGCAACGAGGTGGCACAGTGAATTCACGACATGACAAAATAAATGGACGACATGGCAATGAAGCGATGAGATTGCATAATGTATTGACAAAGTGAATTGACAATATGACATTAGGAAGAAATTTTATAACTTAAAAAATCATTCTCTTGACAAAATAGAACGACGAGGTGGCGTAATGATTTGATGACATGGCCATAATGAATCGACTTCATGACTTAAAGAAGCAATGTCATGACTTTATTAAGCAACGAGGTGGAATAATGAACTGTTAATATTGAAGCAACATCGGAGCCTAATGATTTGACGTTGTGACATAATGAATCGAAGAGGTGAAATAATGAATTGACGACATGACATAATGAAGCAAAGAGGTCATACAATGAATCGACGATGTAACATAATGAATCAACTTCGTGACCTAAAGTAGCATGATCATGAAATAATAAAGCAACGAGGTGGCATAATGAAGCGATGCCATGACATTAAGCAACGTCGTGACATATAACATCATGAAACTCTCATGTGACAGAGGGCGGTCGGGTAGCCTCGTGGTTAAAGCGTTCGCTCGTCACGCCGAGGACCCGGGTTCGAGTCCCAACATGTGTACAATGTGTGAAGCCGAGTTCTGGTGTCCCCCGCCGTGATATCGCTGGAATATTGCTAAAAGCGTCGTAAAAAAACATACTCACTCACTCATGTGACAGAATGAAGCCACCACATTACATTATTAAGCGACAAGCAGACAGTTGATAAGTAAAACAACGAGGCGACATTATGAAGCAAAATATGATATTTTGAAGCCATGTAATCATATAATGAATGATCACGTCTGTTTGTTTCAAATACATCTAGATTGTCCAAGAAGTAAAAGTAAGAGATAAAATAGCTAAAGGGTAGGCATCATGTTTCATTATTATTACATGGGTTACCATTGTGCACGATACACATTTCGTCTCGGATAAAAGCAATCAGACATAGTGTAAGCGTTAGGAACATTGTAGTGATAGTGATTCCAGCATGGGATTGTTCTACATGTGTGTCTCTGTTCCAGGCTTACTACAAGAACATCCACGCTTCCAAGTATGTGTCCAAGAGTCATTCAAGGAGCGAAACCTATGTTCAAGTCAGGCTCCGCACAATGAATCTGAAAGTACGATTTATTAGTGTGAACTTTCATTTCGAAACATGTTAATTTACAAGTAACTCAGAAATCTAATGCGCCAAGGTCCTATATACATAGTTGTTTCCCTTGGCCATGCGAGGATATAATTTCGTGTGTTCAAATACCAGGTTTCCCCCTACTATGAACCTTGTATGTCGGCATTATACTGTATATAAGATTTATCACACGTTGCTTTTTCCCCCACATCAAAACAATGTTAAACCTAACTCACTCGTCCATACATTTCATTGCATATAGTTATGCAAATTTATCACATTATTAAGTATCACACAGTGCTCTCGGATGTTGCATTAGGACATTTTACTTACTTTTTGCATGATATATACGTCTTTTATGCTGCAGGCTGGTGACAACGCCGAGTTTGAAATCCAGGCGACATCTCCCCCTGGAAAGGTAGCATACCAGGTAAATATGACCCTTCATACCAGGTATATATGTACCTTCATACTAGGTAAATATGACCCTTCATACCAGGTTAATATGACCCTTCATGCCAGGTAAATATAACCCTTCTTACCAGGTAAATATGACCCTTCATACAAGTAAATATGACCCTTCATACCAGATAAATATGACCCTTCATACCAGGTAAATATGACCGTTCATAACAGGTAAATATGACCCTTCATACCAGATAAATATGACCCTTCATACCAGGTAAATATGACCCTTCATACCAGGTAAATATGACCCTTCATAAAAAGATAAACATGACCCTTCATACCAGATAAACATGACCCTTCATACCAGATAAATATGACCCTTCATACAAGGTAAATATGACCCTTCATACCAGGAAAATGTGACACTTCATACCAGGTAAATATGACCCTTCATACCAGGTACATATGACCCTTCATACCAGATACATATGACCCTTCATACCGGGAAAATATGACCCTTCATACCAGTAAAATATGACCCTTCATAAAAGGTAAATATTACCCCTTATAACAGGTAATCATATTAGTCAATCAGCTGTGCAAAGCCACCAAAGATGCCTTTCATATGGATGATCCATGCGGCCGCGTCATACGAAATACGTTGAAAGATGGTCTTTGTAGTTACCCTGCCTGGCGCACGGCATTAAAGTATACTCTGTTTGAGATAGCCCACAAACGTCCGGACAAACAAAAGTAGCCACACATGCATCTGCATGCACGTCACTATGTAAATGAAATAATCTTGAACGCAACGTTAAACCCATTTCACCTCACCGCAATTTCAGAATTTTAACAAATTGATAGATTTTATATACAGGACAACTTTCAGGAAATTATTTTTTATCTTAATATATCTTCTTTTTGTAAATGTTCATCCCAATTTCACATCACCTCATCTAGACATATCACTAATCCATTGTAAAATGTAAAATTCAAGGCTCCTTATGCTTTGGTCCGTTACAGATTATGTCTCGTGGGATTGTGGTGAAGGGTGGAATAGTACGCCCCATCTCCACAGAAGACAAATCTCTCATTCTCAACGTTCCCGTCCTCGCCACGATGTCTCCCACGGCACACATCCTCGTTAATTTCGTCACACCCGACGGGGAAATCGTTGCTGACTCTATCAGCTTCAACGTGGACGGAGTCTTCGCCAACAAAGTGAGACGATTAAAAAAATAATTAACACCAGGTGTTCAACGCATATCAGGGCCTGGTAATACAGTTGTATAATCATTAACACAAGGTGTTCTACACAGATCAGGGCATGGTGAGACGCTTGTATAATCATTAACACCAGGTGTTCTACACAGATCAGGGCCTGGATTCACAAAGCCATATCTGCACTAAGACTTTCGTGAACACAATATCGTACTTTAACACAGACTTTCCACTGCCGTAACGTAAAGATCGCTTTGTTGAATGAGACCCGGTGTTATAATAGCAAGAATCTTCCTCCATGGGAACTCAGGTTAGAACAGGTCTTAAGCATTTGGTAAGAGTCGACTAAATTGGGGAATGTTCAATAAATAGATCATAGTGGTACGACTTGTGTATCGGAATGCTGCTTTGCGCTGTGCCGTCTGACGAAGTGCAATAAAGAGGGCTTAGTGATGTGACGAGCATTTGTCAAGGCTGCATCGCGGGGTACAGTCAGAGGAAGTTTAATAAAGAGATATTGGTGCTACAACTGGCGTATGTCAAAACTGCTTTGCGGGGATTGATAAGTACAGATCATGAAACAAATCAAAGTGCTGCGATTAGGGTTGTTGATGCTGCTTTGTGGGTCACGGTCAGTTGCGGTTCAATAGCAGTGTCAAAGCACAAGAGTCAAGTTACAGTAGTCACACAAGGTTGTAAGATTACCATAAGTAAACGTCTTCCAGGACAGTGCTTTGTAGTGATGCCCACGAATGGTGATCAGCCATTCATTCAGGATTAAATATTGAAGTAAATAAGTCATTGCGTAGTACTACCATAACGATCCTACGATAACGCCATGCGAACGCTACTTTTTGAAGTTTGGAATGTCACGAGTGCTTCAGGTATTTTCTGATACAACATTCGGGACTGTTTTTGAATTATAGGTATTTATCTATTGATAGGTTGGTATCGCCTACAGCACCAAGAAGGCGGAGCCCCACACGGATGTGACAGTCGACATCACGGCGGATCCCCAATCATCTGCCTTCCTTTTGGCCGTGGACCAAAGCGTGCAGCTTCTCAAAACCGGAAATGACATCTCAACAGACCAGGTATCTTGTTACAGCTTACATGTGTATTGACTACATTCGGGTCCACTCGGCTTGTTCCGTTAACTGCATAATACCTTGGTCAGCAATGGAGTAGTGGTAGTGCATGAATTGACCATAAACTGTGTAACGCTAAATCCTGTCTCATCTAGAACGTATGACGTGACGGCCGTTTTTGAAGACAGATCATTCTGTGCTTAACATAAATTAGGTCTTAACTTTGATTGCAAGACAAAAGCAAAGGGAAAACAATTTGATCAATAATGAAAGGTTGACGACTACCCCTATGTCATTTGATTGTCACATGCACGAAACTAATTTCAATATGGGTTCTTGTAAGTTCTGACATATTGGACGGAGATTAGCAAAGGGTGTATTGTGGTAGATATTGTCTTATGCTTGCACATTTTGTGAACACCATGTCATCACTGATTTTTAGTGATCCATTCATAATATTTTCACCGCGGACAACAAAGACTGATTATTCTCCGGAGTTTTTATACATTATGTTTTACCATAACGCGGAAAGTGTAGTTACAAACCCCAACTGTCACACGTATAATCATTTCAAAAATGAAGCGATGCCCTGACAGTAAGCAACATCGTGACATATAACATCATGAAACTCTCATGTGACAGAGGGCGGTCGGGTAGCCTCGTGGTTAAAGCGTTCGCACCTCAGTATGCATTGATTAAATGTGTAACCAAGCCTTAGCCATTTGAATCAGTTTTATTTCTCTCTGTGGATGCCCAGGTGATGAAGGAACTCAGAGAGTATGATTACACCGCCCCAAGCGTTGACTTCTTAAGATGGAGTTTCCCGGTTCCAACATCCGGCACGAGTGCAACAGAAATTTTCCAGGTGAGATCAAGGAGGTCATAGACAGAACTTGTAAGTAGCACATAGGTTATCTCAGTTCTTCAGTACTAGTATGCACGTGGGCGCGTTTATAGCATCGGCTCCAAATGCCACAAAAAGGCAATTAGTCCATAAAAGTTGCTTCTCGGGATATGTAAAACATGCACCGTAAATTATGGAAATAATTTCCAGGACTTCCCATATGGGTTAGTTTGTACCAGATCCTTTATACATATTAGGTCTGTTAAAGGCCAGATTTGCCCGATTATAAAGTTATGTGTTGTCTTTCCTAACTGCTCGGATTGGCAAAGTCAAAACAAGGGAATTTGGAACGCGTTTTGCAGTTTTTATTTATTATTAAACTTTGTCGCTTTTACTGCTTCAGAGAAAAAGCCTTGATGTAACTTTGAGGAACATGTCTGCTATGCTGTGATGTTGTAGACATGTAATTTCCCTCCAAACTGTGATGTTTCAGATATATTATGTCCCTCCATACCGTGATGTTGTAGACATAATATGTCCCTCCATACTGTGATGTTGTAGACATAATGTGTCCCTCCATACTGTGATGTTGAAGATATATTCTGTCCCTCCTTATTGTGATGGTGAAGATATGTTATTTCCCTCCATACTGTGATGTTGTAGATATATTCTGTCCCTCCATACTGGGATGTTGTAGGTTTATTCTGTCCCTCCATAGTGTGATGTTGTAGATATGTAATTTCCCTCCATAGTGTGATGTTGTAGATATGTAATTTCCCTCCATACTGTGATGTTGTAGATATATAGAATACTAAACGAGCTCCCGTGTAATACCAATTTTATGAAACTCGTGAATAGTTCTGGTATCTGACTCGCTTTCGCTCGTCAGATACCACAACTATTCCATAAAATTGGTTTTACACGAGAGCGAGTTTAGTATTTTATTTATTACTTGTCATTTATAATGTTTTAGAATTATACTGTTGAGCGTAAATAGGCTGACACCTACACGATCCATGGCATAATCCAATTGAGTTTAACAGAATAATACTTCAAACACGTCAAAAGTTGAAACGTATGAATTTAATATCATACAATGGTCCACCTTTAGAATTCAGGCGTTCGTCCCACAAAATTATCGTAGTGCTAAGGCTATCACAACTCACATAATTTAACTTAGACTAAAGACTCTCGTTGCGCTAGAGTGCGATCGCCTTGTGGAACGGGGCCTTGCAGCTCAAAGTTTACAATGACGTCACAATACCCGATGACGTAATTTGTTGAATTTTGTTGCAAGATCCATTGGCGAAACAATGTCAAGTGACGTCAGCCTAGCAACAAGGTTGCTGGGGTCATCGAGTGTGCATAAGCTCCTCCCAGTGATCTATCATCTCCACACACAATGTCGTTGAATACGCCAAGGGATGTTGAGAGCTTTTCATATTTGTTCGTGAAACGTGTTCCGAGAGTACATAAGCACGCGTTTTGGTATTACACAATGTGTAATAAAGCTGTATGTTTATTAAACGGGTGATCTCTTCACGGGCAAGTAATAAATGTAATTTCCCTCCATACTGTCATGTTGTAGATGTATTATGTCCCTCCATACTGTGATGTTGTAGATATATTCTGTCCCTTTATACTGTGATGATTTTTATATGATCAACTCCTCCATAATGTGATGTTGTTGGTATGTTTTATCAACGTATATTGATTTTGTAGATATGATCTTTTCCCTGTATAAATGTGATGTTGCAGAAAGCTGGAGTCGTTGTAATCACTGATGCAAAACTGCCCCGCGCAGAACGCGCACGCTCTTATGGTGGAGGTTATGATGCTCACCCAATTTCATTTTCATCTGGACCTATGGGTGAGGTTTTTGTCGAGTCCTTATTATCCATGTAGAATCTACTTGAACTATTGAACAACACACTTGCCACTTGCAATCAACCCTTCTGCCAATGAAAAAACACTGCCACATAACACCAGGCATTGTAGTTGATAGATGCACGTGTCTGCAAATATGCTTTTGAATAAGTTGCGAGAGACGATTGGTAGCATTGGATGAACGATTGCCTTGGAGTGGTAGTAATATTGGACGAAAGGTTGCCTGGGATGAATAGTAACAATTGATGAAAGGTTGCATGAAATGAATAGTAAGAATGGATGAAAGGCAGCATGGGATGGATAGTATGAACGGATGAAAGGCCGCATGGGATGGATAGTAAGAACGGATGAAAGGCCGCATGGTATGGATAGTAAGAACAGATGAAAGGCAGCATGGGATGGATAGTAAGAACGGACGAAAGGCCTCATGGGATGGATAGTAAGAACAGATGAAAGGCAGCATGGGATGGATAGTAAGAATGAATGAAAGGTCGCATGGAATGGATAGTAAGAACGGATGAAAGGCAGCATGGGATGGATAGTTTGAACGGATGAAAGGCCGCATGGGATGGATAGTAAGAACGGATGAAAGGCAGCATGGGATGGATAGTTAAAATGAATGAAAGTTCGCATGGGATGGATAGTAAGAATGGATGAAAGGCAGCATGGGATGGATAGTAAGAACGGATGAAAGGCAGCATGGGATGGATAGTAAGAACGGATGAAAGGCCGCATGGGATGGATAGTAAGAACAGATGAAAGGCAGCATGGGATGGATAGTAAGAATGAATGAAAGGTCGCATGGAATGGATAGTAAGAACGGATGAAAGGTCGCATGGGATGGATAGTTTGAACGGATGAAAGGCCGCATGGGATGGATAGTAAGAACGGATGAAAGGCAGCATGGGATGGATAGTTAAAATGAATGAAAGTTCGCATGGGATGGATAGTAAGAATGGATGAAAGGCAGCATGGGATGGATAGTAAGAACGGATGAAAGGCAGCATGGGGTGGTTAGTAAGAATGATGAAAGGTCGCATGGTATGGATAGTAAGAATGGATGAAAGGTCGCATGGGATGGATAGTAAGAATGGATGAAAGGTCGCATGGGATGGATAGTAAGAATGGATGAAAGGTCGCATGGGATGGATAGTAAGAACGGATGAAAGGCCGCATGGGATGGATAGTAAGAACGGATGAAAGGCAGCATGGGATGGATAGTTGAAATGAATGAAAGGTCGCATGGGATGGATAGTAAGAATGGATGAAAGGCAGCATGGTATGGATAGTAAGAACGGATGAAAGGCAGCATGGGATGGTTAGTAAGAATGAATGAAAGGTCGCACGGTATGGATAGTAAGAATGGATGAAAGGTCGCATGGGATGGATAGTAAGAATGGATGAAAGGTCGCATGGGATGGATAGTATGAACGGATGAAAGGTCGCATGGGATGGATAGTATGAACGGATGAAAGGCCGCATGGGATGGATAGTAAGAACGGATGAAAGGCAGCATGGGATGGATAGTTGAAATGAATGAAAGGTCGCATGGGATGGATAGTAAGAATGGATGAAAGGCAGCATGGGATGGTTAGTAAGAATGAATGAAAGGTCGCACGGTATGGATAGTAAGAATGGATGAAAGGTCGCATGGGATGGATAGTAAGAATGGATGAAAGGTCGCATGGGATGGATAGTATGAACGGATGAAAGGTCGCATGGGATGGATAGTATGAACGGATGAAAGGCCGCATGGGATGGATAGTAAGAACGGATGAAAGGCAGCATGGGATGGATAGTTGAAATGAATGAAAGGTCGCATGGGATGGATAGTAAGAATGGATGAAAGGCAGCATGGGATGGTTAGTAAGAATGAATGAAAGGTCGCACGGTATGGATAGTAAGAATGGATGAAAGGTCGCATGGTATGGATAGTAAGAATGGATGAAAGGTCGCATGGGATGGATAGTATGAACGGATGAAAGGCCGCATGGGATGGATAGTAAGAACGGATGAAAGGCAGCATGGGATGGATAGTTCAAATGAATGAAAGGTCGCATGGGATGGATAGTAAGAATGGATGAAAGGCAGCATGGTATGGATAGTAAGAACGGATGAAAGGCAGCATTGGATGGATAGTAAGAATGAATGAAAGGTCGCATGGGATGGATAGTAAGAATGGATGAAAGGTCGCATGGGATGGATAGTAAGAATGGCTGAAAGGTTGCACAGGACCAATAGTAATAATGGATAAAATGTTAGATGGGAGGAATAGCAAAATTGGGAGAATAGTAACATTGCATGAAATATAACATTCGATGACAGGAAACATATTGAAGAAAAGTTACAAAAGATGAAATTGGACGATGAGCGGCAGTTATATTAATGTGATCATTTCATTAACGGTTACATTCGAGGGATAGTAACCTTGAAAAACAGTAACAACAAACCAAGATTAACACAGAAATGAATGTTTTAACAGGGTCACCACAACTTTTTGACAGTCCCCCTGCTGCCCCAATGTCTAGAAATATGGTTGTACCCACTTCCCCTGTTCTGAAGAAGGTGGAGAGAGTAAGAGAGATCTTCCCGGAGACGTGGTTGTGGCTGAATACCACAGTCGGGTGAGTCTACTTTCACCGCGAGAACATGACCAGCTGAATTGTGCAGATCTTATCAAGACAGCATGGGGTATAATATACAGAGGATATCTCACGTGTCGTATCATGTTTCTCTCATCCCGTGACGAGTGAAAGGAGATAGTTTCACACATGGAATATCCAATTAAGTATATACTTTTTGTGTAGTTGTCTTCCGGAAAGTGATTTTTTTTTTCATTACAAATTTTAAATGTTGAAAAGTAACCTAACTCAGAGGGACGTTTCACAACCCTTGTTATTGTAGTTCCGAGTTTGCAAAATCTTAAAAAATATAAACAAAAGGGATAAGAATTATTTGAAGTCACTAAAATTCTTTATCATACATTTGGATATGATTGTATACAATATCAACTTTAAAAGAATATTCTTGAAAGCTATGAGACCGATGTTGGAAGCGGCGGGATACACGCTGGTCAAGAAACAAAAATGGTGCTTTGCGAAACGAACAGTCTCGACTGACGAGTTACATGATAAATTTACAGTTTCTAACGGAACATTTTAAAGAGTGTAACCAAAGGCAAAAAGCTATATTAATTCCATAAATGACCATCTGTCATTATTTTGCCTTGTCAATGGGGAACTAGTGTAAAAAGGAAGTCAACAGTTTGTGTACGGGCCAGATAAAGGGGGACAATTGAAGGGGAAGTAGCTCTTGTATGGCAATAGTTCCGACAAAGTGTTATGTTCACTGCAGTGAAACATCAAGTGTTATGTTCACTTCAATGAAAACATCACTTTTCCAAACTTCAGAAAAACTAATAAACAGGTGTAATGGTGGTGAGGTCTTCATCAGAAACAGAGATAACTGGGCTAAAATGCAAGGAAACATAGGAAGGACAAAGATTGGTGTCGTTATGATAATATAATGATTGTCGCAAAGATAGCCTGTTTTTGTTTCATTGTGATGCAGACCGGACGGGCGGGCATCGATCCAGACAACTGTCCCTGACACTATTACATCCTGGGTGGCCAGTGCCTTCGCCATCAGCCCACGCTCCGGACTCGGAGTAACACCTACCTCGGCGAAGGTGAACATAAAGCCACAATCTCGTATATTTATTAACATATGATAATTGTAAGAATCCGCGTCACTTTCTGCGTATTGCCCTATATGCGGTTATGCTTTGGGTGACCGTCCGTCTTCCATCTTCCTCTCCCGCTAATTCTTTTACTCTAGTTTTGCGTCACATTTAATTTAGGTTCCTCAGATATTATATTTATCGATTCAATATGCCGATGAATTTATGAGACTTGCATCAATTTCCAACCCGTATACACCACACTCATATACCCCAATTTTTTTAAGAGGCCATATGGGTAGACTAGAAGTTACAGTGTTGACGCGGGCTCGATACCCCACGTTGGTAAACTATGAGAAACCCGTCCTTGACGTCCCCCGTCGTGATATGCCAAATGGCGTAAAATCAGTCACATTCGCCCACGTTTGTATTCCTATGTTGCACAGCTTCAAGTGTTCCGGTCCTTCTTCGTCAGTCTGAACCTGCCGCTGTCCGTGGTGCGCGGGGAGCAGGTGGTCCTCCAGGCCAACGTCTTCAACTACCTGCCCTCAGTGCAAGAGGTAGGTCACGGTCGACATTGATATCAGAAGTGTGGCATGATGCTTCGTAAACATTGCTGTCGGGGTGTGAGGTAGCCCAGTGGTTAAAGCGTTCTTGGTAACACTACTGAACGTGATATTTGGGGTTCGGTTCACATAATCGAATTTCCATGTGAAATAATCTTGACTTTTAACCAGTCAGAAATCAACATCAGATGCGACTTTATTGAAACCATTTATAAGTAAAACCTCAAAGCAGGTGTTATTGAATCAAAGTAACACCTTTCGTCTTAAAAAAATTAGAACCTCAGAGCAGGTCTTACTAGGAATGTAAGACCTCCCTGTGTATATTCAAAGTCCCCGGGCTTTCAATTTGATTGAAAGGAGAAAACCCCGCGTTAATCAAAGATGCGACGTCACCGGAGGTTTTTAGTGGTGATTGTATCACATCTTACACATGTTTGAGGGCCCACGGACAGGGCAGGATATGCTTATCCGTTTTGCAAACTCCTTATTTACAAATGCTGCATGTATTTCGCTTATCTAAAAATGTTTGTGGTAAATTTTGGTTGGACAAAATAGTTTCACATGTCAAATCCCCGATAGGTAATTTGAATAACATATACCTAAAATGGGAGAGAATGGACATATGTATTATATACTTCAGACTGAGTTTTCTGAAGTTGAGAATGGTGATATTTTTATTGCAGTGAACATAACACTTGATTTTTCCCTGCAATGAACATAACACTTTGCCGGAACTATTATCATACAAGAGCTACCTCCCCTTAAATTGTCTTCCTTTATCATAAGTATCCAGCCCGTACACAAACTGTTGACGTTCTTTTCACGTTAGATCCCCATTGACAAGGCAAAATAATGACAGATGGTCATTTATGGAGTTAATATCACTTCTTCTTGTTTGTTATTCCCTCGTAAATGTTTCGCTATGAACTGTAAATTTTCTCATTTAATTCGTCAGTCGAGACTGTTCGTTTGGCAAAGCGACACTTTTGTTACAGCGGTCTCCTAGTTTTCAAGAATATTTTTTTGTTAAAGTTCATTTTGTATAACATCATATCTAAATGTATGATAAAGAGGGTTCGTCACCCTAAATAATTTGTTTATACTTTTCTTGTTTTGTTATATATTTGAACCATCCCTGTGTGCTAGGTGGGGAGAATTTACGTTTCAAAATTTTACATTTGTAATGAAATGATTTATTTATCCAATAGACACTTACACTAAAACTATATAATAAATAGGACATTCCATATATCTCGTGAAATATCATGTATCTCTCATCCCATTACGTCACTCGTGAAAATATCTCCTTTCCCCCGTCACTCGATGAGAGAAACATAATATTTCCCTCAACACATGAAATATCCTCTATTTATTACGATATCTTATCATATTACATGTTCATAGGTTACCGTTGAGCTGAAGAAAAACAGCGGTTTCCAGAGTATCGTTATTGGTTCTGATGGTGAAGAAAACCTGACCTCTGAACCGCAGCTTCAGAGGTATCTAGTCGGCCCTGGTGAAGCCAAAGCTGTGTACTTTCCAATAATTCCCTCAATCATTGGCGATGTCGACATCGAGGTCTCTGCCAGAACCCCAGCAGCAGCTGACGCCGTCAAGAGGCAACTGAGAGTAAAGGTTAGTCCATTAAGGACGTAGAACGACTGAAAGGACTAACAAGACGTCGACATCAGCCAATTTAAAAGCAGCTTTCTCGAGCTTCACGGCACTCGTTTCAACCTGGCAACTATCATTTCAGACTACGCTTGAAAAAAATGCTGACACCGTTCTCGATTAAGATTTTGAAACCTGAACAAACGAACATTCCAGAATTTCTAATATATGGTTGAGATTGTATTGCAGTGCTTCCCACATACTGTGCAACGCCTCCTCCGTTCAAATGTTTAGCCCAGCGTAAGCGAGAGATAGACGATAATTTTGACGGAATCAGTCGGGCCGTTAAACTGTCGTTCGGAATACCCCGTGTTAACGTTTTCGAGGTTGCATGACTGGAAAACACATTCCGATTGTCACTTTCACGATCTGGTTAGCGACGCTTTGATTAGTCGGAAGAAAGGCCGTTCTGATGTGACCCGTAATGGGATGTCCTCAGATCTTCGGTTGGCGATAGCGAGAACTAATGTCTGATTTTAATGAGATTGATGACATGATCAAATACAGCAGCTGGCTAAAAGAAATAAAAATAAAAAATGTTTTGAACTGAAAGAGAAAATCAACTCTGAGCAAAGATACACTTATACCATGTAGTTTTGATGTATTTACCTACATGCCGTTATGAAATCATTTAGTCATAAAAAAATCATCAAGAAGCCTTGGGGGCACATTTTAAACTTAGTCTTTTAACCAAAAGATGGAATATTTATTTCTTAATCCAAAAAATCAAATATGACAATTGTCTTAATGATATATTTTTTAATCTTTAATTAATTATGCTGTTGATTGTTTCTTGTCATACGTTGGATTGTAAATAATCCAGTCTGGACAAGACAAGCTACATTTGGTTGTCAATTCTGTCGATACTTACGATACGCTTAGTGGACCAATTATACCTAAAATCCCGTTTTAAAGTATTCATTCAGCTCTAGCAGGCCAAAAAGTGTCATCAACATTTCCCAAAGAAAATGCCATAGCGACACAGAACGAAGAACAAAGCCATTTAATCGCTTTATTGCTTCATTAAATATCAATGCTGCATTTCTCAGAAGTTGACGGATGACAAAGTAGACACAAGTAATGGATAACATTTTTTTTATTTTACTGTAATGGCGACGTTTCGGTATAGATCCTCCGACCGTTGTCAAGCAACGTTGTGTCTACTTTGTACTTTCGCAATATCAATCTCAGATGATATAGACATTGATTGTTTACATAGGCAGAAGGTATCCGCAAAGAACAGAACATCCCTGTTCTCGTTGACCTGACATCAGACAAAACGTTCTCCAAGACGATTAAGGTTTCCTCTCCACCTGGACTTGTTGAGGGGTCTGAAAGAGTTCGGCTCACAGTGACCGGTAAGTTGACACTGAGCATATCAGTGACAGTGACTCAGTAGAGAGTAAATTGGTAGTATATATGTCTGATAGCTGTTATGAGGTATTTCTCGACAATGTGTTGGAAGAACTTGGTTGATAATTTCTGTGTGACAGAGGCATTTCGTGACAGAGTATTGGTAGTACTTGCCTCCAAATTGCTGTGTGACAGAGGTATTTCTTGACAGTGCTTTTGGAGTTCTTCGTTGACAATTGCTATTTCCTGGCATATTATTTACATAAACCTGGTGGTTGTTGGTTGATGAAAAGGATGTCTCAATAGGTAATTAATGCCATTGAGTTGAATGATTACAGCTTTGTCACAATGACTTGGACTTGGGTAGTAAAGTAACACTGACTTAGTTTAAAAGTAAAAATATCCTGTGGATACATTGAGAGTTTTACAGGCATGTACAGGCATCCACAGGATGTGTTAATCAAATGAGCATTGGTTGGTTACACCATGAATCAGTTATTGTCTTTAAAAGGTGACCTGCTTGGCCCAAGCCTTGATGGGATGGAAAACCTCCTGTCCTTGCCAACTGGATGTGGGGAACAGAACATGCTGAAGTTTGCTCCCAATATCTACATCGCCAACTACCTGATGGCTACTAAACAGATGACAAGGGAACTGGAGGAGAGGATCAAGTCTTATCTGGAAGTTGGTGCGTTGCATGATGATTGACTAGAATCAGAAGTTGGTGAGTGTCGTGATGATAGACTAGACTCAGAAGTCGGTGAGTTGCATGATGATTGACAAGAGTCAGACGTTGGTGAGTGTCATGATGATTGACTAGACTCAGAAGAAGGTGTGTTGCATGATGATTGACTAGAGTCTAAAGTTGGTGAGTGTCATGATGATTGACTAGAATCAGAAGTTGGTGAGCGTCGTGATGATTGACTAGACTCAGAAGTCGGTGATTTGTACGACTCAGAAGTAGGTGAGTTGCATGATGATTGACTAGAGTCTGAAGTTAACGAGTGTCATGATGATTGACTAGAATCAGAAGTTGGTGAGTGTCGTGATGATTGACTAGACTAAGAAGTCGGTGAGTTGTATGATGGTTGACTAGAGTCAGAAGTTAGTGAGTGTCATGATGATTGACTAGACTCAGAAGTCGGTGATTTGTATGATGATTGACCAGATTCAGAAGTTGGCGAGTTGCATGATGATTGACTAGATTCAGGTCTTGGTGAGTGGCATGATGATTATCGAGAGTCCGAAGCTGGCGAATGGCATGATGATTGACTAGACTCAGAAGTTGGTGAGTTGCATGAAGATTGACAAGAGTCGAAAGTTGGTGAGTGTCATGATGATTGACTAGAGTCAGAAATTAGTGAGTGTCATGATGATTGACTGGAGTCAGAAGTTGGTTAGTGTCATGATGATTGACTAGACTCAGAAGTTGGTTAGTGTCATGATGAATGACTAGACTCAGAAGTCGGTGATTGGTACGATGATTGACGAGACTTAGAAGTTGGCGAGTTGCATGATGATTGACTAGATTCAGGTCTTGGTGAGTGGCATGATGATTATCGAGAGTCCGAAGCTGGCGAATGGCATGATGATTGACTAGACTCAGAAGTCGGTAAGTTGCATGAAGATTGACAAGAGTCGGAAGTTGGTGAGTGTAATGATGATTGACAAGAGTCAGAAGTTGGTAAGTGTCGTGGGTGATTGACTAGAGTCAGAAGTTGGTGAGTGTCATGATGATTGACTAGACTCAGAAGTTGGAGAGTAGCATGATGATTGACTAGAATCAGAAGTTAGAGAGTGTCATGCTGATTGTGTGTAATCCAGGAAATGTTCCCCATACACCATTGTACATGACAAACCCTATTCTTTATGATCTCACTGTCGTTCAAGGGAAGTCCTACATCATGTACATTAACATACACTAAAGGCACTAAACTGCGCAATACACCTGCCCTTCAGTCATGTCACAGCAGAAAACTTTAAGAACTGGCCTTTTCTCTCCTCAGGATACCAACGTCAACTGTCCTACCAGAGAAGTGACGGGTCATTCAGTACTTTCGGAGAGCGAGACGAGGCCGGAAGTGTGTGGTAAGTGAGAGAGATATGGTGAATCAGTAAGGCTTGCGTGAGTAAGTGATGGTGTTTCAGAACACATGGAAGGGAACTCGTTTCAAGCCAATCCTTCTGCGATATAATCCTCTAAACCTGTCGCCATGTGCCTTCTATGTTACACTCTGTGATCAGTAGGTGAGTGAGTTGGCGTTAGCGTCGTTTTGAACGGTATTTCATGAATATCGATGATAAGGTGATGTGATGTGAAATGGCACTTAACGTCGCGTTCATGATGATTGCACTATTATCCACGTGGACGTCTGTCTGTTTGTACAAGTCCGAACGACTTTTGCCCCAAAAATGTGCATTTAACATGGTTATCCCACTTAGGCACATTATACTGCGAGATAGCCAGTCCTTGTATACACATGCACAAAATTTAAGCGCCACCATATTCATAGTCTCTTGATATCACGTGTGGGAATCAGAAATACGAAATGTGATGATATATGACTGAATTAGGCTTCCATAGTTTCATGAACCCAAATTTGTCCAGATACCACAAGGAAAGCGTGCTTTACGTGTTGCTGCAGTTCCCCTACCCTATAAATAGTGAATTTTAAGTTTCAGACACGTGGTTGCATTTTGCTCCTGTGTGAGATTCCCCTTCCAATAGAGGTTGAAAATCAGCCATGGTGAGGAGAAAGTTAACGAACGCTGAAAGATGGCAAGTGATAGGCACGAAAAATGCTGGCATGTCATGCAGGGCCATTGCAAGACAAATGGGTCGTCATCACAGTGTTATCACTCGTTTGATTGTCAAACATGGTCAAACCAATAATGTCAATGACAGACAAAGGTCTGGTAGGCCAAGAAAGACCTCTTACAGAGAGGATAGACGTCTTTTCAGGATAGTCAGACGAAATCCATTTGCCACTTCAACAGATTTAAGACTGCAGTGGATTACCAATCAGAGACTCTCGACGATGACCGTAATGCGTCGCCTCAGAGCGGCTGGTTATAACGCCAGAAGACCGGTAAAACGTCCTCAACTGACTGAGAGGCACATGCGAAATCGTCTGATATGGTGTCGTGCCCGTAGTCGATGGAACTTGGCCAACTGGAGAAGGATCCATTGGTCTGACGAGTTTCGGATGCTGCTACGAACTGTTGATGGTCGAATACGTGTTTGGAGGCAACTTAACACTCGTTTTGCACCAAGGAACATCCAGAAGACCTTAGCATGTGGCGGGGGGTCTGTCATGATATGGGGTTGTGTTTCCTTCGGCTGCAAACTTCCGCTGGTGACAATTCGTGGAATCCTGAATGGCCAACAATACCAAGATGCCGTTCTTCGTCCAGTGGTAGTCCCTCATGTTGACAACCATCCTCTTCAGACAAGACCTGTTTACATGGACGACAATGCTAGACCACACAGTCGGGCAGTTTGGGCTTATTTGCGTCAAGAAGCTATTGCCACTCTTCCTTGGCCGGCCTGTAGTCCGGATTTTAATCCGATTGAGCATCTCTGGGACATTCTTGGCCGGAGAATCAGACATCTTGATCCCCAGTTCAAAATCTCGCTGGACTTGAAGCCGCACTTCATGAAGAATGGAACCGTTTTCCTCAGAGAAGCATTCAACGACTTGTAATGAGTATGAGGCGTAGGGTTGAAGCTGTGGTCAATGTCCGTGGATCCGTTACTGACGTTTCTGTCTTGCAATAGACTCTGCACTCCCTAGGGTGTCTATGTGACACATGATATGGTCTGCTGATATGATGACAGTTACATGACAAAAAAAGTTTCTCAATGTTTTCTAATCCTTCAATTTCTGGTCTTCGGTAAAATTCCTTTCTGCTCATATTCTTTTGGAACACAAGATAAACTTGCTTTGGGACAACTTTTGCATCACATGAGGTTTACATATACGGCTTATAACAATCGTGCATCTCGTTATAATAGTCATCATTAAGTGCCAAAAGTAACAGCTCACAAATATGGTGGGTGGCGCTTAACTTTTGTGCATGTGTATATTATCCCTTGAATGTCCAGCGCCATCGGGATCGGTGGCCCAGTCGTCCAAGTTGCTGCAATTCACTATTAAGAGTTGGGCATGTGAAACATGTGATCGAATCCTGGTTCGATTTGATTATGTTTCTAGGTCTGTAAGCACCAAACCCGTGATCGTCGGTTTCACCAAAGTGGTAAACGTCTGAGACCTGCATCACGTCGATCTTTCCCCCCACATTAAGATGACACGCCGCGACATAACTGGTGGTACAACTGGAATATGTTCAACGCGGAGTTAGACTTATCTCACTCACTCTCTTTTGGTATAACGCGGCTAGTGGGTAGAATCATCGACATTCCACTCTCATCAACTTCACGACGGAGGCGATATATATCAATGGTGCGGGTCTTAGAAGTTTGACAAAGTGAGAAACATACTGGACAATCTGAGGAAAATATATATAACCGGTGTTCCGAGTTTGACCAGTGCTTTAACACACACTGCTAATCCCAAATGCTGGGAATCCTTATGCTGGTTATTTGTCTCGATTTGGATGTAATATACAATGCAGGAGTTAAAAGGTCCATTGGCAGGGAAGTGATTAAACCTTTAGGCTGTTATTAAACGGTCAGTAATGTACATATTTTATACAGAAAACACGACACAGGATCATTTCTAAAAAACAAATCGCTATATCCGTTTAACACAATTTCTACACTACAACAACCGTTTAAGCCTTCATATCCTCACATACAAGTGACCCATGTCATTAGATCACCCATTTATTTAAGACAATAATTTCAAGACGTGTATTTGATACCACTGTTTTTCAACAGGCTAACCTCTTTCGTGGTGAAGTCGCTTTTCCAGGCTCGCCAATACATCTACGTCGACAACTCCACCATTGACAAAGCTCTCAGCTTTCTCGCAGACATGCAGACGAGTGATGGCGCTTTCGTAGAACCGGGCAGAGTTATTGACAAACAGCTACAGGTTAGATAATCTCATGTTACAAAGGCAGATCCAGGATTTTGAAAAAGGGGAGGGATGCACATAATAACTAATAGTTGGCCGAGGGCGCAATTAACGTAAGGTGTCTGAATGAGGGAGCCAGGGTGCTATATCGTCATTGATATTACAGGATGGAGGCAAATATCTCTAAGGTCATTTTAATGAGCAGCTAACTCACAATTCCATGATGACAGCATGCCTATGGGATGCAAGAGGCTCATCCAAATGCAGCCCCCACCGTACTCCTCAAGCGACAATTTAGCAGACAATGGTCATTCATGTCTTGTTTACAAATTTCGTCTTAATAAGGACCGTTTACGACTCACGTAGCTTTAAAAAAAACTGACAGATACAGATTTCGTAGTGTACAAACATTAGCTTCCTAAACTCGGTTACAGGGTACCAAGGGCTCCGGACCAAGTCTCACTGCCTACGTGCTGATTGCCCTTGTTGAGACTGCAGGACACAATGGTTCACGGGTAAGGTACATTTCTTTGAAAGGTGCATGTACAATATATATGAAATGGAACTCTTTTTAACGAACAGATCCATTGAATAAAACTAGCATGCATTAACATAATATACACAGAAGTGAATGTGTGTCTGTTAAATTGCCATTTGGATCAGAGCCAAGAGGTTGCAAGCTCAGTGGCCATTCTGATGGTTTTCCTCTTCTCGAAATAAAATACAATTAAATGATAGCCAACGCTTTGCTGATGTAGCATCCCATCTCCAGGACCAAATATATTGATGACATTGCTCATAAAACCAATCACTGGTTAGTCTGGTTCAGGTTTGACTGTTTTCGGGCTGCCATATTGTAGCTGGAATATTGCTGAACGGGACGTTCATTACAAAACAAGAAATAGCTAAACCCCATCGACTGATCAATAAGTAACCATCTGACAATATATTACAGAAGATATGATTATTTGGTTTTTACAGGTCAACAGCTCACGTCTCCAGGACATACAGCAGAAAGCTATGACGTACCTTGAGAGGCAGGACTTTCAGCATTTGGCCCAATACCCCCTGGCTATCACCACATATGCCTTGTCTAAAGCCGGGAGCAGATACTCTGGGAGAGCCTTCTACCAGCTCAAGAAAGTGGCTAAGAACAAGAGTGAGCTTTCGCTACTACTGGTCTCTTAGAAGTCTTTACGGCTTCATGTTTAACTGTTCATTTGATGTGTTTTTTCAGCAATAGTACAATCTACTTATTAGAAGGATATATATTATTTTTGCATGACAATAATTGGTATGTTCATGATCGATACATTTATCACCGTTTATCAAGTATTGGTTATGACCTTACTTAACCGATATTTCTTGTCTGCCTTTTCAATTCAAGTATAGCTTGTCGTGGTGCATGGACGTTGAAAATTAAAATGGAAAACCGTTGTTCTCGTTGGGCTTGAAGCCTTTGCACCTCATATTGTGTTTAATGACAATGATAAATTTATGTACTCACGAAACACTCATCACGTCTTGCACTACATCGAACTACGTAATACTATATCAGATCCTTGTCCAGACATCGAAGTCCTAAAGTTAACAGGTCATAAATAAACCATGGGTGATCCAAAGTACTTCCCAAACTCCTACCAAGCAATGTTTGTATTGTGCAGATGGTAAGAAGCATTGGGATGTGAATACTGATGCCAACGAGAAAAAGACCGAAGTGAAATCTGAACCAATCGACATACTGACGACGGCCTACGGCCTAATGACCTTCGTCTCCCGCAATAAGTTCGGCCCTGGAATGGGCATTATGCGCTGGCTGTCGGCACAGAGGAACCCAAGGGGTGGATTTATATCCTCTCAGGTGACTTTAAAACTTTTGAACTCTATAACTCAGATATTTAGTTCAGGTCAACACTGCTTACACTCTCTTTCATATTGCCCCCTAGAATTGCCTGGCCAGTAGTGTTTGCCATTTTCAATCTCCATTGTAACATTTAACAAAATGGCCACAAAGATCAATTTAAGTTGTTCTGTGTATTTGGGCTTGAGATAAGCAGACACAATGCGATCTTTTCACACAATCATCATTCTTTGTCATGCGAGCAAATGTGTACTGATAAAATTGTGTTTGTCTTTACAGGGATTGCCACAGTCATTGTTTTAATTGTATCATGGTGACCTGTAAATAATCTAGCCCGAAACCGCCAAATCAGTGACTGACAGCTCAAGCAGATATACACGCACTCGGGGCTTGATGACATTCAATCAGCCAAGTCTGACCATCCAATCCAGTTCAGACGACTCTGGGCACATGTTACTGGGGACTAATTTTACCTGGAATCCCCACAGAGGAGTCTTCATAGTACATTGTGAATAGTAATGCACAATTGTATATTGGTATGGATCTGAGACTGCATCATTGAAATGCTTCAGGATACGACTGTGGCCCTCGAGGCTCTGACCCTGTTCATGGTTGGCGCGCAACCTGACAACTACAACGTCAGACTCCAACTCACAGCCGGGGATGAAGTCAGGACCATCACCGTAAACAACAACAACGCCCTCGTCCTACAGAGCATCGACGTTAGTAACCCCTACACAGTTTCATCGATACCGATAACATAACGTTGAAGAAACATGTCGAAATTTATATGTGTGTGTGAGTTGGGTTTAACGCCGCTTTTAACAGTATTCCAGTTGTATCACGGCGTTTACATGAAGCCCTACCATGTGATGCATGCCGAAGACTTATTCTGTCATTAGCCTAACTACTTTATTATTTCAGACTCGCGGTCGGATACTGTAAATCATGAAACTAATACGTCACCAAATATATGCGAGTGTCGACCACTAGCCGAGAATGTGTCATGAATGAATGCGAGTAGCCCTGAATATAAAACTATAAAAACAACTAATCGGCATATTTCATGATTTACAATATATACAGCCTTGTTGCTGTTAAACAGCATGTCATGTTTTGTAATGTTTATGAGGCATTCAATTTCTGAATTTCAGCTTATGTCCATTCCTCCCGAGTTGAAGGTTTCCGCAGAAGGCACTGGGTTTGCTGTTGTTGAGGTACAATATCCTTGTACGGGCATGTCTATTAAATTATATACATAAGGTCATCGCTAAATGGCTGAAATAATGCCGATGCGACGTTACATCTTAACTCACTCACATAAGGACATGATATAAATATACAGAATGCTAACATATAGCTTAATCAAGTTACAGTTGACGTTGATTTGTCGTCACATTTTCACATGCTATTGTCTTTCGTTCCTAGCTGGGCCTGTTTTACAACATAGAGTCTGTGGGTGACGCCAGCGACGTATTTGATGTCAGCACGGTGCTTCTCGACGACACCACCAACGGCTTTACTCTAATGACATGTGCTAAGTATGTGTTTCTATCATGTCTTTATAATATGGGGTGCACAGGTGGCCCAGTCGTGTAAAGTGTCACTCGTCACTGTGCAGATATGCATCCCTGTTCCGTGTCAAAAACCTTTGATCGTGGGTTTGAAACTCATGTACGCCCTCAAATATTTCTGGGTTTATCAGCGGTATACCGAGTTGGTGGGTTTCATCCAAAGTGGTAAACGTCTAAGACCTGCATCACTGTAAACTTTCCTCCCACATTACGCTGACACGACGTGATATACCTGGAATGCTTTTCCCTCACTGAAGAGCAAGATTACTTTTAAACGGCACCTCTTCTTATTCAACATGTGGACACCACAATCTGCCAGTTGATTAATCAGGATTAAGGTTACTGTGACATATTTACTTTCAAAGACATCTCCAGGACGGTTCGAGTGGGATGTGTGTTGAGACCATCCATATTCCATCCGGGTTTACAGCTGATCTCTCCAGTGCAGGCAACATAGCGGGACTTAAACGCCTAGAACAGACAGACGGTCAAGTCGTCGCCTACTTTGATTCGGTAAGTTTTTACTGTGCTACAGGCTGATGGTAATGTGTGTGTAAAGTTCAATGAATATTCGCAAATATTTGTGAAAAAGCCGGGAGTTGAAAAGTTGACCTCTGCAACAAAAAATCTTGGCCAATGATATTCAGAGAATGTCTATGCTGGGTTGACAATGCCGCAAGATCTCCTGTTGTGGGTGAGTTTAACATCCCCATAGCATCATTGAGTCATGGACCTTCGCCAAACATACTTTGTATTCTGTGTAGGTTGGGAAGACCTCTACATGCCTGAAGCTGTCTTGCTCCAGGACGAACTTGGTGGCCAAGAACAAACCTGCCTACATTTCCATGGTGGACTATTACAAGCCGGGTACGTTCCGTGATATTATTACTGACCCCATGTGGACTCTTTCAAGATAACAGGCATGATAACAACATTAACTGACCATGTTTGATAAAGACTCAGGATTTAAGCCGGCTCTGGGTTTGAGTTGCATAAGATGATATATCCATGTTGTTATGACAACATACAAGTATTGGATGTTAGATGACATACTAAATAAACCACTAAAACACAATTGATGGTTTATTTCACATCAAATTTAAGTTATACCAATCCAATGTGACACTGATAACAACTCACTTCCCTCGCCCTTCCTTTCCTCATCCTTAATCTATACTTGATCAATACCTACCTTATGTTTTAGGCTACGATTGTAGACATGAGGCAGCCCTGATATTTAGTCTGCCTAGGCATGTTCCTCTCGTGGATTCGAATTTGCTTTTGTACTGTGTCTGGTCTATCTGATCCCCATCTGGGTTTCAGTCTGCCCTTGTCCCATGTCTCGCCTGTATCTGACCCTTACCTCGGTTTGAGTCCTTCCCTTGAAAGTGTCACAGATTTGTTTGTATTCTGTCCTTGTGGTCCATTGTCGTGTATTGTTTTGCGAATGACAACACCGTGGTCCCAAATCATGTGTTACGGGTAACTAATAATTTGGACGTTAAGTATGTATGCGATTTTACAGATGATAACAATGTGATTTCTTATAATGTCCTATGGCTTACAGATGATACCACTGTGGTCTCCTACCATCCTCGTAGACTTCAGAAGTCAAGTGTCTGCGAGATATGTCCCCAGTGTTCCGGCTGTAGTCAACGGGTAAGTCACGTTGAATCGCACCTAGGACAATGGTACTTCACTCTTCTAACTTCACCCACTAGAGATTAGGGGACCCAATGGAATCAGATCAGGTCATGCCTTCCGTGAGTCTCAGTTGCCGTTAAGAAAAAGTGTCAAAATGGATGCCATCTGCGGGTTCTGGTTGGGCCTCAACGTGTAAGACAATATCCGGGGAACTGATCCCATTAGACTTTTCAACTGAAGGACATGATTCACATGGAATGTACACTCCTCCATGAGGAACCTGGGAGGAAATGGTGCCTAAACAATCCATGCCTTCTGTAAAAGATAGATGTGTTACCAACGATCGTTGTGCATTACCTTTGGTCCATGTTTGCGCCAACTTACTACAGACCGCCACGGCTGCATATCGTACGTCATACTATCCTAATCACCAGGGCTGATGTCCACACTGTGGATCGACGGTTTCCAATTTCATCTCAAATACCCGAGACACGGTTTAAACTCCCTTCACTCACAGTTCAATGTTAAGGCCCCGTCTATTCTTTGTTAATGGGTTATAACAATAGTTCCACTAAACCATATTATTGATGCTTTGGACAAGTCTCAAAGATACTCTATTCCGGTTTCTAGATTCAGTTGGGACTACTAGTCATTAAATATTCTGGGAGGGTGTTTCTCGAGTGAAACAGGTTACTTTCAGGCAACTTTTCCAATACAAATTGTTTACTGACAGTGGAAGCCGAACATTGTTTTGTTGATAAAACATCTCTTTTCAGGACTGTCAACATATCCAAATATTACAAACATTTGTGAATACTGTGTCATAATCATATAAATCATTTGTTTTCATTATTCTTTCAATAGATGTTGTACGCAATATGCCACGAATTGTTTTCATTCGAACATTTTACATGAACAGGGTAACTTTCATTATTCTAGGTTTTAATCAACGATAATATGGTAGATAATACCAGATATCTCCTGTGTTGTTAAGAGTATAGTACAAGACATACAAGGAATCATTAATATCGCCAGAATAAGCAACTCATTGCATAACATTGGGCGCCTTCATCTACACTTTTCTGTAAGGCAAAGAGAGACTAATCTGAATGTATGTATTCTGTTTGCAGTCCTAGACAACGTGGACAAATGGAGTCAACAGATCAGCCTGACGTTTCAACAATACACACAGCTTATAACTGCTCTAGTGTCGAAAGTTGAAATATTACAGTGACAATGTATGATGACATTCCTGTGTATTTTTATATCGGAATATACCTCCCAATAACTGTATCCCAACCTGCCTGAAGTTGACGCAGAGATCCAGCAGAGCCCGTGCAAGGTTCTATCTGGGAGATGATCGCAATGACACTCTGGTGCGGGTTAACTATGAAACAAATATGCCTGACGCTCATACAATATTACATCGGCCAAATATTTTATATTGAAATATATTTTATAGCTTAATTGCATAATGCCCGTACACAATTACGTATGCCGATTGCTTGCTCTAGATTCAGTTCCATATACCATTTCAAAATCACTTGGTGTCTCTCACTATGTTCACACGTCAGGGCAAATAACCTGCCCATTAATGGAAAGCTGGATACATGGCTTGGACCGTGAATAAAGTCTCAGCAGTGCTGTATTTCTTTGGAGAATCATGTTTGTTGTTCTTCGTCCTTATAACGTTAAGTAGGCATAGTATGTCCAATACGAAATTAGAAAAGCTACTAAGATTTACTCAACGTTGACGTCACATGGTTAAGTTCCCACTGCATCGCATATGAAACAATACAGGTATACCATCTACAAAAAGCATTGTCTGATATCAAGGATACTATTGCCATCCACTGGATCTCTACATAAGTGACCCATTTAGTCAGTTGACTGCACTTTGCAAAATACGACAAACTCGTTAACCTTTCTTATTCATGCATTTATTTTATATTAAACTGTCACATCGGTCTTCTCCATCCTTACGCCTGAAAATATATATCAAGCCATTTTAAGTGAGTCAAACAATAATCATCATTTAGCATTCACTTTATAAAGTAGATACGAAGGTCATTTCAGTTTAAGCAGTTCGTAGTTGAAAAAATATAATTTCTGAAACAATAAAGATGTCGATTGTTGGAAATTGTGTAAATGGTCATTGAATCTATAGATATAGTATGTTTGTATTTTTTTATAATTATATATAATGTCTACCTATGACCTCACCTGGGGACAGCACTTGTCACACACATTACATATGGTTGCCTTCTTGAGACTTCGGGTTTGGTAGAATGTGGCACCTTGGCTACCTGAGAGAGACATACCAATCACTCATCAACTTTCATTTGGATATCAATAAAATATAAACAGTTATATTCCAATTAGACAGCAGACCTAACATACCCAAACATGTTATATACCCATGTATAGTTGTACCCACCCACTAAATGTTTTCTTGAGTTTCCGAAAGTACCTTTGTCAATTACAATTTCATGTGAATACTGCAACAGGGGTCAACATTTCTAATTCAATATTGGCTAGTCTCCTAAAAATGCAGTAATTGTACAAACAGTTTACTTCCATGAAATGATCACATTATATCTCGTAAACATAAATTATGATCCTCTTCAAAAGTACCAACAGTTAATCAAGTGCTTGATCTCCGTACTTACTTGGCTGGTAGTAGTCATAGACCGTGACGTAGCTGGGCTGGTTGTTCGTCACCATGCCGGTTCTGGTGGACAGGACGTCGAAACAGATAGAAGTTGTGCCGATCTGAAATATGTTATATGTGATGATCAGATTGATTCTCATGAATGACTTTAGTCTCTCAATACTGGGATAAGATACACATATCAAGTTGAACTCACTTCATCAAAGTAAACAACGACGTTCCTGCCTCGTCTTTCAACTCTTTTTAGGCCAGCGACGTTCCCAATTGACGTCATATCCGGATCAAAGCCTGATGGGATCGATATTTCCATAACCGCCATGCCACTTGATCCTTTCTTCAACCACCTAATCGAGAAAAGATTTAAAACACTTTTTTAAAAGCGTTGATCATACTACAAAGGGTTTTGTAGCTTCTATTAACGTATAATGATTTTTTAGATCAACCAACCATGTGTGGATTCTGGGTTCCCCATAACCTCTGCTGGTCTGAGTGGCGACTAAATGGCTTGATGACTTGGGTGAGAACGTGTCACGTATGCGACAGCTTAGATCTTTGCTCATATTACCAACAGCTGGTTAGTCTGATACTGACCATATATTTACAGAAATGTTTTACAAACCGCCATCATTTAGTTGGAATATTTCTATGTGTAGTGTAACAAGCAACAAACAAGCAACTGCGAGATGTGCAATGTTGGTATGTCCTTACTTGGTGCAGGTCATGAGTCTGAAGTTGTTGATGGTGTCATCAAGCAGCACGGTGTTGACGTCAAAGGATGGGTTTCCGATCTCAGCCTCCACGTTGAAGAACACATCAACCTTGACACGGAGGGATTTCATCCTTTATCATTTAGTATTCGGAGAAGGGTGGGGATAGGTGGGGGTGGGGGTAGGTGGGGATAAAGCATGATGTTTACGAGCACATTGTTTCAAACACGCATTCGTTCACGTAAAATCATAAAATCATGTATAAATAAATAATTTAATTTAGTAAATTTGTAGCACAATTTTGACATGCAAATGAAGCGAAGAATTCCCTTAGGAGGATAAAACCTGAGGACAAGTTTCTCTCTTCTGGAACATTTTTTGTCAAAGACATCACTAAATTTTAATTTATTCAACTTAAAATGTTTATTGTATGTGAGCTCATTGACCCAAATACATGAAGTGCAAACAGTACAATGCAGGATTATTTTACAAAAACATTGAAATATTTTGTACATTTCTGCTCTTTAAGGCATATTCAAAATATAATATAACGTATGTTTTATCTTTGTAATTGGGAGGGCACGGGTGGCCCAGTCGTCTAAGGCGCCGTGATAGGCTATGCAGAGTTGCGTCCCTTTAGCACGCCAGAAACCTATGATTGTGGGTTCGAATCCCGGTTCGCCCCGATTATATTTCTTGATTTGTCAGCACCATACCCGTGCTCGTGGGTTTTACCGAAGTGGTAAACGTCTGGGTCCTGCATCACTTGGGCTTTCCTCCCACTTTACGACGCCTTGATATACCTGGAATACTGTTAAAAGCGGCGTTAAACCAAACTCACTCACTCACTGATAATTGGTGGTTGCCATAAGGAGAATAAATTGATATCTCACCTCTGCATAAGCAACGCCTTTACCAGTGGCGGCGAGAGATACTTCCTTCGGGAATGTCGTCAGCTGCGGAAAAACACGAGATATACTGAGATTTACATTTGTTACATACGTGTCAATATTAATATAATCCCAGCCTTCTAATCAGCAGCTTAAATGCAGTGGTTACTATAAGTATCATACATACAGTGCGTTGCTGTCAGTCACAGACACGTGTTGGTTGTATTCCCTCAACAGAAAAGATGATGATGGAGTTTTTTGTAGATGTGGGGCGTCACATCCTGAACTTGTACCTTTAGAGGGGGGGGGGGGGGGGGGGGGGGGGGGTGGATGTGCACACGAGATTTCCAATACAAATGTTATTCGTCATTGCCCTAGTTTGTGCAACCACTGCTTTTAAGAAGTTCATTTCAGTTGCGATTAAAATCTTGATACATGAAGGTATTTGTTTGACTTCGATATGAGCTATTTCAAAGCCTACCTCTCTCGTCTGCAGAACCAGTGCGTTGCTGTCAGTCACAGACACGTGTTGGTTGTTACTTCCGCTCTTGATGTCAACCTCTACGTGGAAACCGGAAGTATGCGCACGGCGTGCGTAGTCAGTGAGAGCGTGCAATGCCACCATGGTGTCCTGTGAATCCATATGATTTCAGATTCAATAAGTTGACATTAAAGTATAGATAATTAAACATAGATGTGAGGAGAGTCATACAGTGTCCGATTGCTACCTAGCAAAAATTATACATGAACCTTCCTTTCCTCTTTATACTGATCGACGTGGTGCGAATCCCTGCTTCGCCTGTATTATGATCTGCGGTATGTCGTCGCTATGTCTGTTCTATTTGGTTTTGTTAGTGAACCAAACGTCTGGGACCTGTGTCACTTTAGAATGTCTTTCCAACACTAAGCTTAAACACAATGTTCTAACTGAATTACTTTTCAGCCAACATATGATAAACCGAAGTCATTCATTCCTACCAGCTCAAAGTATATCTATACATCATGTTGCATACAGAATTGTTAGCTTATTTTGACCTCTCAACATTTGACTTTGCACATTAGACCACTGACCTGCGTTGAGGAGAAGCCACCATACGGGTTTCTCTGTGAAGTCAGCCAGTTCGTGATTGGAAGACCTCCCTTCAGATCACCGCGTGCAGAGGACGCCAGGAGGGCATAAGCCGTAGTCTGGATGTCGATTGGCTGGGCACGTGTGTGTGGAGGAGACCATTTTGTGTAGTAGCTAGAGGAGGCGGTAGTGGGTTCGATCCAATGTTTCAGTGTACCTGGTAGGGAGCACAAACAATATCATGATCACTCCTCTTCAGCAAAGGTTACCATGTTTTGTCGCTGTGCATCAAAGACATTCAAACAATATACAGACAACATAGAGATTATGTACCTGAGGAGTACATTTGATCTTGCTTTTCAATCGGGCTGATAAATCTACAAATAAGGATGTGCAATAGTGAATTTGTGTGATCAATTTGTAAAAAAATTACCGTGAACCTCAGCTGCAGCATTGAGTTTGTTGAATGTGACATCCGCCAGTGAACTCCCAACCTCAGACAATGCGTAGCTAACAATCGCGAGAGTGAATGGGTCCGTGATAGAGGGAGCCACTGACTCCAGGTAATTCGTGGCATTCACGGTGGCGTTTCCCAGCGTGTACTGATTAATCTATTCAAAGAGAAAATACAAGTGTTTATTTTCAAGCTTCATTTAAAGCTTGTTGTGCTTATGTTGTTGATGTGTGAAGCCCATTTCTGGTGTCCACGCCGTGATATTGCTGGAATATTGCTAAAAGCGGCGTAAAACCATACTCACTCACTCACTCACTTATGTAGTTGATTGCTGATGCTTTATTGTTTTATTTGTTTGGGACAGCCATGACTACATTAAGTTATCGCATTACAAAGCCATGCTTGTCGTAAAAGGCGACTAACGGGATCGGGTGGGCAGGCTCGCTGGCTCGGTTAATGCATGTCATCGATCCCATTTGCGTGGATCGATGATCATGATATTAATCACTGGATTGTCTGGTCCAGACTCGATTATTTACAGACCGCCGTCATATAGCTGGAATATTGATGAATACAAAGCCTCAGAGAACAGTTACTTGTACTTACTCCATAACCACTAATGTCTTGGTTCTCAATGAAGGCGAGCAGCACTATGGCAGTCAGGGAAGCTTTGGAGCTCTAAAATTAAACAAAGAAACACAATCCAATATGACATACATCAGACACGTGCAGCCCTAACTAATTGTATGGCATGTCAGTGTGAAAGCAGTAGTTCATTTGTGGTCAGTGTCTCTTGACTGTACAATCTGCATGGAAGCTTATTGAGTGAATGGTGACCACAGCAAGTACCTTCATCTGTCTGTCAAACACAAGGCCAGGCTCATTGAAGGACCCATCCAGATTCTGCCTATTCGCCATCCAGCTGAGAGCCCGTCCTAGAGTCTGGTTGCCCACAAAGATGTAGGGTCTGGCCTGATGGAAAGTTCGAGCTACAAATGCAGTCAGCCTGAGGATCATGAACCAAGTTGGAATATTAAAATCAAGTCAGCATGAAATATAAAAGAAAACTGTATGAAATTAATTACACAAAGCAATTTCAAAATTGCTCTTTCTCGTTTTCGTTTACAATGTCATGATCTGGAAATTGAGCATGGACGTCACTTCAATATACCTAGAAATCTGAGAAAAGCAAACTTTGTAACTAAAACAGCATTGAAAATGAATTCCACTTTCTTTTAGTGTGTCCAGCATATGCACATTTATGACAACTATACATCAACATTAAGTCTTATCTTCATCCTAATATCCATACATTTAACAGTTTGATGTCATTTGCAAACATCAGCAAAATATTTGTACTATGGACAAATGGAAAGAAAGGTACTGTTAACTGTAATTTCGCCTGTACCATAACGTTTGTGCAAAAAGGCCTGAGACCTTAAATTACTTAAATAAACTGATTGATTGATATATAAAAGAGGACTATGAGTGAATGAAATCTGCAGAACGTGCGACTTGCGTTTGGAGACGAGGTAACTTCTGTTGGAAGGGTCTCTTATAACTCACCACATGTGTCCAGCCTCATCTCTGTTACCGAAAGGACTGAAGGACCCATCATTTCTCTGATAGGCCAGTTCCCTCTGGTATCCTGATGTAAGACAAAGGAAAATATGAAAGAGTCAACCAGCTTTGGAATATATGAAAGCTCAAGGCATGATAGAAACCTTATTTATCCTTAGGGTATGCATGATCTTATCAATTACACATTAATAACAAAATAAATATAAATTATAAATAAAAATTAGACGTGTTGATTCCAACAATTTCATGTTCAAAAGTTATACATCATTGGTAAATAAAAGCGACAAATCCATCATAAGAAATTCGACTAGATCAAAGCATCTATTTAAGAATCACTATCAAATGGTGATGATACAAAGTGTTCGCGATTTTAAGGTTTATATTCTTACATACAGAAATACATGATAAAAATCTCTTTGTGATATAATGTCTTTTTTTAATAATTCGAAAATCAAGACATATTTTTACTCAATGACGCTATTTCAGAAAGTACAAATGTTATGCTTAAGTGAGTAAAGGTCAAGTTCACATTCATTTCCCATTATTCATCTCAGTGAACCACCCCAATTAATACATCAAATAAAGATTTTGCAGCAATATTTTTTTGTTTACAGAAACTTCCATTCGTCATGAACCATCCACAAAAGCTATTGGGAATATTTGGAAAAAGTTTATTGTACAATATGGCATAGTTATTCAAAGGTGACCTCATGTATCAGATCACATCGATAGCATTATCAATTACATACAGTATGAAGGATAGTCTTACCCAGCTCGAGATAGTTCATGATCCTCGATTCCAAGGCAGGTGTGATTTGTTTGGTTGTGTACAGGTAATCGGCAACATATACATCTGGTGCAAAGTTCATCATATTTTGTTCACCACATCCAGTCGGTAGAGCCAGAAGGCTTTCCAAATTGTCAAGGCTTGCGCCGATCAAGTCACCTGGATTATATAAGTCAATGCCATAATGTCATATCACTATTGTAGAAAACACTGTGACACAGTAAATGAGGTATAATAAAAGTTAACTAAATTTGTTTTATCGCCATTATGTTAATAATATATCCTACGTGCAACGTCACTATAAATATTGTGCACTGATCTTTTGCTGAAATATCAACTTTAGTTCTTATCATCGCTCATACATTAAATCACATAACATTGCTGCCTGTGGTGGAGCAAGTATGTGACGGACATGTTTAATTCATGGCGTTTCGTGGCCAAATACTAAATTTAATTATTAATTAAATCTAGAAAATCCATCCAAAAAATGACCTTATAGATGACCTATGGGAATAATTGGATCTTGTACTTGATCATTTTTATCCTCTAAGTATTTTGTTCATACATCTGTTGATAAACACATCTGGACTAAAAGTGAAACTGTGCATGGACAAGGTCAATCTGAAGATAAGTTTATTCCCTGAAGGCTTCATTCAAAATAAGAATAAACAACATACATAAGGGAAAATGTAGCTGCTTTCAGTGTTGCAATCAAGGAAAGGGAAATAAATAACTACAAACACCTTCAATTATATCTATTTTAATATCAATTAAACTCTTTTCAATTATATTTTTTTATTAGTTGAGAATAATCTTACTTCTGGATAAATGGCAATATATTGAATGTGACATTCGTTTGTGTATACCAGATTTTAATCAAATCAACAGAATATGACCATAATCAAAAGAAATATTCATTGTGAGAGTCCATTGTACGTTTCCGAATATGTCATAGTTTTATGAAACACTATTAAATAGTGATAAAACCAGGTGATCGCGAAAAGGTGAGCGTCCGATTCATATACACAAAGAAACAGGACAGCAAAAAGGGGGTAAAATAGGTGCCCATGGTTATGTCATCTTCTATTGGTTGCGCCCCTTCTGACACTGACTGAGATAAGTAAAAGCGTTGCTATTGTAGCCTACCTGTTACTTTGACCCTAACTTTCTCTGATCCAGTTACGGCCTCTGGAGGAAGTGAAAGCGCCACCTGTTGGTTGAAGTCAGCACCGCCTGGTGTCAATTCAATGAAGACAGGTGTGTTATATTCCTTGGGGATGCCTTCGACCTGGAAGGATACAAAATATAGACGTTTTAAATACAAATACGTATTCTTGTTATGGTAACTCTATCACTGCAAGTACATTATTTAATCTTACATTTTATTTTGTTTCTGGCCCCAAGTATGTACTTTTGAGAAAACAACTTGCCTCACATATGTATATTACGTGTATTATTCATTTTGTTACTAAAAGGTTACCTGGACATTGAGTTGTCTCCTGACAGCATCAGCAGCTAGTGTTGTTCGTGCTGACACCTCGATGTCGATAGCTCCCAGAGATGATGGAATGATGGGGAAGTACACAGTCTGGGGCTCGTTGGATTTCACCTGGAGGGAGACAGGGAATAGTGAACTAATAGTGATTTTCAGCATACATATTGTTCTGAATAATTACAGAAGCACAATTTGACAGATGCGATCGAAGCGAATGTTTACTGAAAAGAAGGAAGGATGGCATACTATTCAATGAAATGAGGAACGAATTACCCATTCAACAAAGAAATACTGAAATCGTTACTGGATTTTAATCCAGTTACACATAGACAGTTCCTCAGTTCCACCATCATGTATCAAGAAATTTAGCATTATACAGTACATACAAAATTAAGACATGGCGAATTTGCCTTAAATTACATTCATTTAGAAAAGGGTACAAGCGAGGATCCAAACTGCTGTTGCAGCAACCCAGCAACTCATAAATTCTATACATTTTACCATTGCCATTGCCATTGTAAAACAGCTAGAAACGAACTCATACACTCACTATTGTTAATAGTTTATGTTAACATTGAATTGATGGTATATTGGTAATGCAGCATTATGAAATGATGATGATGTACATACATACAAGAAGACTTCAACAAGGTTCCATTGACCTATGTAGGTGTAAATACGTTTATCGTTTGCATTTAATGTATCAACTGTAAATCTATAGAAGAAATCGATCTGTGTTAAGGTATGTTGTTCCCAGTCCTTTTGTGTTTCAAGTGAAGAAGATATGTTAAAATAATAAACAGAACTTACTTACACTAAAAATATTCATGAACACCAGAGAGACAAGACTAATTAAGATATAATGTAAAACTGTTGTGCCCTGAACCACCACCAAGGCTGTATCATCTTGTCAACCTACCGTGATGTAATGTGTTTGGTCCTCAGATTTCTGACTGGTCTTGCCAGTGCTGTCCACTGCCACGTTGACGTAGTCAGCAGAAGTTGGCAATGACACCACCACCTGAATAACATGTTGGAATTATATCATAACATAAATACATGTCCAATAACGTAGATAGATGCCTTGATTAAACTCTTAATGATGGTGTTGGACAGAAATGGAACCATATATCAATGGTGACTAAGGAAACTGTACAGTAAGAACTCACATCCACGTCACTGGGCAGGTAGTTGAAGATACTGGCTTCAATGACGACCTGTTCTCCACGTAACACCGAGGCAGGCATGGACAGGCTGACGAAGAAAGGCCTAAAGACACGCAGCTGAAAAAAGGAAATTTTCAGGAATGCAAGTTAGGAGATGAAGTGTTTTCAGATTTGTGAATGTCAATGAGTAAGGAGAAGAAAGGTACATGTCTAGAAAATATTCATATGCTATGAAAAGTCCAAAATGCTTCGGAGATCACAATCCTGTTTAACAACATTTCTGAACCAACCAGATTGTAGCACACACTGCATTCTAATTCATTTGACAATGCTATTATAGCTATGTACAGGTAACAATTGATGTGAAATGCCCGATTGCCCATGACTACCCATTCTTTTCCAGCAATACACAAAGAAGACTGCTTGAACTTGAGGTGTAAGAGAGATGAAAGTGAACTGATGGCCATGTCTAAAGAAAGTAATGTGACATCTCGGGCATCAAACACGCTTATTATTTGTAAGAACGGAGATATAAGATTATAATATACAAGAACAAATTTTATACAAACTGTAATTTGGTACCTTTGTGGTGGATGGGGCTACACCAAGTCCTGTGGCAGAGTTGACAGCAAAGGCGCTGGCGATCCAAGAGGTGATAGTGTCAGGCACGGTGGTACTGATGGTGGCTTTACCGTCAGCTCTGAATAAAGTAAATGTGTTGTTGAATAGATGAAGAATTCAATTGTTAATAACCAGTTTGCACAGGACGGAATACATAAAAGTATAATGAACTAATACTCTCTACAGTGGTATTTCGTAATAACTCGTTGATTTATCTTGATATATAGAGAACACTACACTCATTCTCGTAAGATACCATAGAAAGTTAACTAGTTTTGTAAAAATGGTATCTAACGAGAATGAGTGTAGTATTTTATTTATTACCCACGACAAATATACATTTATGTGTAAATACATAACAACTTTCGTTCATTGACAGACCAAACTGAAACCGGTTGCAAAACCTGGTTGCGCATGAATATTGATATATGCCTAAATATTGGCATTGTTGACATTTCTATGCATACGCATTAACAACAGCACCGACGCTCGAGATCCTGCTGTGCAATATCAAAATGGTTCGGTTTCCTTGATCTATCAGCTGAATTAATATCATGTCCGTACCATTTTGGAAGAGGGAAATCAGAGTGTTCGCCAAAGACATTCATGTTAACTGTACCACCCTATACTGAAGACGTGAAAATCAACAAACTCAAGTCCGCTTGCATGTCAGTGACAGCTTCGAACGAAGGGCAAGGTCACAACCGGAATAAGAAAAAACAACTGTAACCTACTCACAGCGTTTTACGGTAGAGATGGGGCATGTCACTGTTCACAATCGGGATATTGTGGGCCACATAATCAGAAGCCAGGCACACTTCTACGGAGTTTTCGAATTATTTGTATCGGAAATGTTCACTTTGAGTGAGTGATCTGGTAGTGCAGTCGTGAACAAACAACTTCCGAAACAGTGCCACAAAATACGCTTGGGGGGGGGGGGGGGGGGGCACTGATGGCACAACAGTATCACCCCAAGTAAGTCTAGATATAAGACCAGATAGATTAAACTGACTTCATTTCACCACGCTTATCCATTTACGTTAAATCAAATTGAAAGTTGCGAAAGTGGTCGGTTGCGTCACGTTCATGTGTAGTCGTACGTTGTAAATGGATATAGCTCGATTATATAATGTCTGTAGAAGCCCTATGCATAACCTATATAGAGTGCAAACCGAATTTGATGCGTGTGACTATCTTGTTTGGTAAAAACGTGTTTGTAAATATCTCTCGCTCTCTTGAGATTGCTTCAGTTCTGCCATGTAGTTGCAAAATGAATGGTCTCGCGATTTTTTATGAATGAAAAAAGTAGTCCCGGTGTGATAGAAGTCACGGTTATCCAATCAAAACGAATAAAACAAGGTCAACCTTGTACGACACACGTGTGACGTACGGATTTAGTATCTTACCACACGTATCTTCACCACGTGGGTAATAATATCTATACTTACCCCACTGTCTTGTTGAGCCAGAGAAATGTTTCTGGGAAGTTCTTTCGAACTCTTTCTACCTCCTTCAAACTCTGTGATAGTCCGTTTCCACCTACTCCCGGATAAGGTGTGGCGCCAGGGGACGGTGTATAACCAATAGGATAAACTGCGGAAAATAAGTTGTTGTTTTTAATTGCAACACATAACAGAAGCTGACACGATGATGTGTAAATTCAAGAGTTCAGTTTGTTATTATTATAGCTAAGTCTACATTTTCTGCTTGTCTTGTTCCTCGAATACCTTAAATCCTGCATGCAGTCGTTATCCTACACTTCTCTCCAGTGGTCAGGACAATATTGAGTTAGATAACGAACAATACACAAACCGTCCCTAAGCCCCATGACATACACTAGACCAAAACACTTCAAATGCAGTAGAGGTTCAGTTGGGTTTCAATCCTGCCATTCCTTTCATTCACATTTATATATCAGATATGATATAATTTTATTCTTGTTATATTCATAATACCACACTGAAACGGGGATGGAGGGCTAGTCTAGTGCCTAAAGCGTTCGTTTGTCTGAAGCCCATTTCTCCCGCCATAACATATTTGCTTAACTCACAACTGACAGGATTGGCACGTTAATAGAAGGATTTAAATACTGTCCCCTTACTTGTCTTAAAAGCAGTAACTCTCAGCTGATACGTCCTCTTATTTAGAATGTAGCTTTATAAATATAAGATGAGGAATTATAAAAAATAAGTCATCTTCATCACCTGCATGATTGTAGTTGTAGTCGTAGTATTTAGCATCCGTGATAACGAGAAGTCCAGCATCCTGGAAAGAAGTTCCACTTGAGAAAGGGGTGGTTTTAATTTCATTAAACAGTATGATCGCCATCAAAGCCTGATGCCTTCTTATTTATTAAATGAGATGGATGGATGGATGGATGGATAGATAGATTACAACAGGATACATATATCTGAATAAATATAAGTTGGAGATATATGTTAGTTTATGAAAAAGATATAAGTCATATTACAGCTTGTAATCAGAAAACATCGTCACCTACCGAGAAGACGTCAGATGCTTTTTGAGAACTACTAGAAATGGCAAAGACTTCCGGTGAGAATTCTCCATCAGTTTCTCCGGAGCTGTACGTCTTCAGTTCTTCAAGTACCTGTACATGAAACAGGAAGTCAGTCATGGCACAGGAAGATAAGCTGGTTACTGACAAAGGGATATACTAGTAGATTAAGGATGAAGCACATGCGTTCATATACTTCGACTCAGTTTCTTATCTAATCAACTGTGGTATTGGTGGACTCTATGAACTCGACAAAGAAATACTTGTGCTCTTGCCTTATCTGTGGTGATGTCATTGCCGGACTTGAGAAGAAGAACACTTTGGTCGACAGCCAGGAGGTTGACAGATGACATAGGATCAGCGCTGACCAACACATCAATGTTTTCATGAGGCTTAGATTCGTTGCGACTGAATTCAATGGACACCTGAAATAGTGTTGAGAGGCTGGTCAAAAAATCTTGACTAATAAGCCTGGAATAAGCCGTTTATAATTGTAAAATTTCACAAAAACTATGGTATGTTAGGTAATTTGATTTGATCTCTTTTTCAGTCTACCTTGTTGTCGAAGATGTCATCCACACTGAAACTAAGGCTATCAGCCACAACCTCCCCAGATTTCTTGACGTAGTAAGCGATGATATGAGCTTCTGGGGCCATTGTAGCAGAGATGGGAACGTTGAAGTGGACGGGGTTTTGTCCTCCCACACTAACTTGATCAGTTATGTCAACAGTCCCCCGGGATAATACCTGCATGCACAAAATGTACACACTAGCAAACAGCAGTAAAAACACAAAAAATATTAACAATTTAAAAAAATATGTTTTATACAAGTGTTTGGAACATAATGTTACAGGGGTAAGTGTGACACGGAGGGTGCGTGGCAGGGTGTTGTGGTTGGGACTTTTTATATTTATTTTTTATTTATATAAATTGGGCTTGGACTGGGTTTGTGTGTGTTTAGAATAATGTGTCCCTTTGCTATGCCAGTATCCATGTGCGGAGGTTTCAATTCCCACTTTCTCTCATTATAATGACTTGATCACCTGGTGCCTCATAAAATACTAGGAACTGAAGTGGCAATAAAAACAAACACAATCACTCAAATATTATCTGAGATGCTTATAATCCTTTCTTGTCAGCGTTCAATATATAGCTGAAGTGGGGTCTGCATTATTTATACATAGTCCTTTAGAATATTAATTCGAATGTTGAGCCTTATTCAATTACACTTGAACATGGTTAGAAAATCCGGCCGCATTAAGACAAATAGTGTTACTCTGTATTGAAAGATTACCTCAAACGTAATGAATGGCACATCTTCAGTCAATTCGATGCTAAACGTAGCTGCCTGACCAGCCTGAAATGACATAACATGCAATGTTGAAAACAAATTAAGTTACATGGACAGTCAATATTTACATGGCAAATATAAACTAAGGGACCACCGAGCATTTGATATTCTGAGTTGGGTGTGGGGAGTGAGGGATGGGGTTTGGGGTGAAGGAGAGTTGTGGTCGTTTTTCTAAAGAAATTACATTGTCGCAGGAGATTCAAGGAGAAAACAAACTTCAGATCAAACAGAAAGAAAATATCAAAAATACATTGTTACAAGATCTTTTTTCCCAAACAAGTATCACCCCTCTGGATATCAAATTGTCGGGGCCTCAGAATACTATGTGAGATATATTGTGCTTACCCTGAGACCCTTGTTGGTGAGTGTCAGCTGCAGGAAGTTGCTGCTGAGGGAGTGCTTCTGCTTGACAGTCAAAGTATCAGATATTTCTTTGTAGTGGACCTAGAAGAAATAATATAAGTGTATTCATATTGAGGGTGCAAGAGCAAAATTTGTATGTCGTTTACAACTCTAGACTACCAGTCGTAGTTGTATGTGTGCGTGTAAGCGAGCGTGCGTGTATGCGTGCGTGCGTGTGATCCTTTCCTGTTTCATTCGCTTGCATTTTCATAAGACATATATGCCAATTTTAGAATATCAGTTACAGTTGCAATGACGGCTAAAGGACAGGGTTTGAAACGTCTTTCATCTCCCCTAAGAATTGTAAAATGTAAAATCTTTTGGATATAAGTTGTAGATAAAGTATTGGAGAAAAGTTGGTGTTTTTAAAAAATTCAGCTTCTTTAACGTATGTTCTTAAGGTTGCCAGGATAATGGGTTTTTTTCTAATATCATACTATCATGATTGATAATTTGCACTTCATTTTTTGTTTTGCAATTTTGAGATGGGGCATGACTGATCCATTGACCTAATACACCGAAAAATCTCTGTGCGGAGTTACTTTTGAGATACGATGGTCACTGATGAATCAGAGCCATACCTGTAACACCCAGTGTCATTTACACTTATGTCTTAGTACATTTGGCTAAGACACTATGATAAACAGAAAACATATATAGTTTAGATTATATTAAACTCTCCTATTGACTCGCTCACTCCAACATGATTGAATCATGGTTATAAGATGAAGTAAAGTACAACTTGGTCGAAATAACACCTTGACATCAATACTGGTGGTGTTCTCGGGGATACGCATGTCCACAGGGATGATGCCAGAGGCAGGGATGGTGTAGTTTTTGGTAGGCAGGCCGTAGTTGCCAGTGAAGGATGAGCAGGAGAACTCGGACTGGTCATCTTGGACAATACGGTATGTGACACAGGTGTACACCCCCACAGGGCTGGTGATGTCAGTCACAGGGCGGCCGTCTTGTTGGGAGACCTTGATCTGCAGTGCAATGTTTAAATTTAAAAGAGAGGAAGAACCCTTTCTAAAAATTATAGCAGAACTACCGTACAATTTATTGCTATTTTGAATATTACTGGAATATTTGTTAAGTATATCGTGACATGTCACTCACAAAGGCCGTGTATGGTAGTTTGGGTGAGAATGTTTTAGGGCTTGAGTTGAGGACTTCAATCTTGTAGGGGTATTGGTGGTACTTGACAGTGTTGGTTCCGTTCAGCCTCACTCCGGTTAGTCCCTCCTTCACGATTGCCACAACGGCGACAGTTTTCTCATTCAAATAGCGCTGGAGACGCATGATATCAGCCATCGGAATCTCAAATTTGGCTTCCCCATCAATCTGTGATTAGATATAAAAACTACACTAGTTTTTGTCACTGCTTTTTAGCATCTGGCCATTTTGTCATATTGCCTCACAAACTAATTCTACCTCATCTGAATGTTAATTTGGCTGGAGAAAAATTTCAGGTGTGAAATATTAAAAAGAACCAATTTGTTATTGCATTTTTAGCAATTTCGAGATATAGGAAGTTGTCAGCATAGATCTGATTGTAAATGCACACGCAGATTCACAAATTGCCCCCTACGTAACAAATGTACCCAAACCTTTATGCCACGTATACATATTGTATCATGGTACCTTCAATGTAAAATTAATTCTGGAACTGGAGAACAATGACCATGAACAAAGGGCCAGATATCTTCACCTCTAACAGTTAGAATAAGCTCCCCTGCAAAAAATATTAACTTGCAGTATACAAATTCGTTACATATCCTGATTCTACACTCGCCTTTGGGTATTTAATGTTGTTAAAAAAGAATACCATGAGGCCAAAAATAGATTTAGTAACCACATACCGGAAACGCCAACTCGATATATTTGGGAGGTTTTCCACAGTAGTCATTGCCGACGTTCATTTGTGTATGTAGCTCCACCATCCCCTTCACTGGCTTGCCGAATGTGTACCTGGTACGTACAAGAATAAATTCAAGTTCTTGTTCGAATATGAATATGTAATGTCCTTATCTGGTCAATCGGTTTCAGTCTCTTGAGATAATGCAAGGTGGTTGTATGTGTAGAACATCAGTATGATTGAAAGCTAAGATAACAGCAAGTTTACGTTGTAGAGACTGTTAAGAAACCTACTTGGCCTTCACTGTTCCAGATAGCTTTGTGTCAGATGTCAGAGCAAATGAGGGAAGATCCACGCTTACTTCAAACCGAGGCAGTTCTGAACAAGAAAAAGTATTTATCGTCAATGATTTCTAATGAAATGGAAACATATTCAAGACTTCGATACAACACTGTAGAATACATTGATACAAATGAATTGTTATGAATAAAAAAGCATGGTGGAACAATTATGTATATCAAACGATTTATATGGGGTATAACTGTTGTATCAATACTTACGGTACTCAGCAACTGTAAAGCCTTTAGAAGTAATGCTGACCTCATCCTGAAAGAACATGTAACATGAACCATGATACCTCAGACAGACATGTATAATTAACGTTCATGAGGTGCCGTATTCAGTTGGTCAATGGTACTTCAGATCCCATATTACTGTTTGGGAAGATATATCATGTGATTTGATACAAACTCTGCCTAAAGAGTTCAAAATTAACAGGGTTAGAATTTGATGGGTCAAATATCCTAAAATAAGAAGCTCGAATATCTTTAAGCTAAAAGCGTCGCAAATGCAAATGTTTAAATATTCAACATGAAATAAATCAGGTTACCTGATGATAGACATGATTCGCTTGATAAAGGCATAACAGCTTTATTTCCGTCATAATATGGGTATATCTATTTTAGTACGAACAGGAAAGCAACACATTGCTGATGATACCAACCCTCGGTTGGACGTGGATTTTCCAGTCTCCCAGAACAGTCTGATCTGCCAACTGGAAGTCCCCAGCCACAACACCAGAAGCATCATGGAGAGCCGTCCACTCCTTCAGGATGTTATTGTTAGGATCCTGTACATAGTATAAAGATTACAAGACTATCCCAGTGACGTGAAGTGGTTGTCCTCCCTCAATATATATATGTTCGAGCGTGTTTGTATACCACTTATTTTGTTTAAATATTAATTATGGTGGGTTTTTTCTATCATAACAATATAGTACTTCAAGTTGGAGCTATTGTTACATCTTATAAACTTACAAAAAGACATTTGTCGAATATATACACAACCTGTCCTCTACTTCACTTATATTTGCAATGGCGGAGATGAGATAAAGAAAGAAGATCCCTTATCTCTGTGTAGTGTAAAGATAAACAATCTTCTTGACATCACTCTCACTATATCAACAATAGCCCAGGCGGGATCACGAAGGTAGATCTGTTACCACTTACATTGCAATTATTTACTGAAGCAAGTATCTTTTGTCATATTATTTACATCACTCTCAGTACACCACCTACATGTATAATGAAGAGGTCATGTTGTAGTGATCAGTGTGTTTACTGTTGAGTCCCTGCATAGAATTGTTATTTTGTTTTGTTTATGTTAATCGGAAATATTTGTGCAATGATTAAGGTTACAACTTACAAGAAGAGATATGTCAAACGTTCCCGCGTATACTTGCAAATTGGGGTACACGCCAAAGGCACGGAAATGCACTGGAAGGCAAATTGAATATTGTTTCATTACTTCTAAGGAAGGGCAAAACACAAAACATATTTTCGAATGCTAGCCTCGTGAAATAAATATGTAGATATTCTATTGGTTTTGTCATTCGTCAAATGGTGTACCAGATTTCCTCATTAACAAAAAATGGTAATGATAACAGTGTGTTTTAAATGAGCATAAATAGGTAAGGATTTTTTGAGATGGCATAACTCTGAGTGATACATAGTTGCAAAGGTTACAATTGCCAGATACTCCGTAATGCTATAAAGGTTTTGTGATGAGAATGAATGCCACTAACCTCAAACAAATATATACCACAGTTCAGGTAATGATTATGCTCACCCATCTGTCCAGGCTTGTACATGGCCTTGTCTGTCTGAACCATGACAGAAATAGACTTGGGACGGAGGAAGACGCTGTCTTCTCGCTCAAACTGCAGAGCGCCGCTACCTCGTACATGTAGAACATAACGTCCACTTACAATGTGGCTTGGAATCTGAAAATACCAAACACAACATTGACAAATACGAGTCCAGAATGTTTTCAGAATATTCCTGATTTTATTTTAACAGTCATACGGGAAAACTAGACCATGTAGCTGATATTCTTTAGACATATTATAGATTGTTCAGAACTTAAGTCGGAGGAGCATTATAAACTCTTCTTTTGTGTACTTCACACCCAAGACTCATACGTACAATCATGGACAGTGTGCCTGTTGTTCCTGAAATGAATACAAAAAATGAAAGTGAGTCACTACATTTATTTTGATATTGGTTTGGACAGGATTTCATTTTTTGACAATATGTCGGCTTCATGTTTGGGGAAGGTCCCCGTTGATGTAGGCCAGATACTTTTATTAACAGTGTTGGTGCGGACAAACCAATTATAAACATTATGACGAATGTAAGATATCAAAGAAAGGATGTTGTCAAACTAACCACGCACCTGTACCAAAAAGTGAAATAAAGTGAAACAAATAGCGCTAACCACATGACTCAACTCTATTAATTAAGAAATATAAGTATGACGTGTGATTCATTTTGACAAAGCGAAATCTGTTACCAATAAATCTTACATTACATTTTAAACTCATTCCAAATATCCCTTCTATATCAAAAGATCCTTCCATTCACCTTTAGTAAAGTCCCCTCTGGCCATCGTTACAGGGAATCTATTGAAGTTCGTGTAGTTGTTCCATATACGCTGCACTTCCGCCTGGAGATGAACAGTGTCGGTGGTGTTCAGGATGTCGATGCTGACGTTGAAGGGCATCCCACGTTGCAGGTATTTGGAGGATGTAACAAGGTAGGATCCACCCGAACTATGGTGAAAGATAACCAGATGAATCTACACATTGGCCAAACCACAGTGTGTAAAATATGTGCTCTAAAGGGTATGTGCACAGACTACACTTAATTTTAGATAGTGTATAGACATTGGCTTCATTTATTTGACAGACGTCAGAACTGTTGACCTTTCCACAACTGATGCCAATGTAGAGTGAGTCAGGTTAAGTGCTTTCAACAGTATTTCAGTGTCAGCTTCATATGTGAGAAAAAATCCAACTTGAAACAGATCTTAGACATTCGTCGCTTTTGAGAGATCCATGAGATTTGGTATGACACTGATAAACCGAGAAACATAATTAGTACAAGATATGATCTATGGGGCGAATCTGGTTTTCGAACCCTCGATCGTAGGTTTCTGGCATTTCCAAGGGATGCAAATCTACACAGCGAATTGCGGCACCCCAGACCATGATGCCACCCGTCTATTCTACATTCCGATCTTCCCAGTGTCAAACATAATTGAACAAATGCCAGGGAACATTCAATGGATTCCTTCACTCCTATTAAAATCTTTACTAATTAGGACTATTTTTGTTTCTAATACCACAATGGCATACTCTACCTGTCCTCAGCATTGGTTATTCCAACACCGACAAGGAATAGTAACCAGAACATGGTGAAGCTGTAAAACGAATAACACCAATTAATACACAGTATGAAAACTTAAACTGATGAACGTTTACACATAATCTTTCCAGTATTAGAAACCAGAGGACATTCTTCTCTTCAAATTTATTTGAAATTGAACCAAAGTGGTTTATTGTGCAGTTTCTCCCTCTGACGTTATACATTAAGCTACTCAAAACCTCCAAAGTCTAAGATAAATAATGCAATTAATATAAAGCTCCTAACAAGTAAGTATATTCCTTGTAAATAATATTTCTCCTACAGCCTTTAGAACACGCCGTCTTATTTTTATCAGTGGTATGTTGTATTTCAGTAGTTCGCTTCCTTATAAGTAGCATAAGCATTTTCTTAACATCCAACGAAATATCTCCCATGGTAAGTACTGGCCTCTGGCTCTCCTGCACTGACACCTCTTTACTCACACCCTTCAGCTCACATGTACATTGTACATCAAGTCAGCAGTGGTTTACAATACCAGGTTGTACGGATAATACAGTCGTTTTGGCATGATCTAGCAGTCTTTCTAAAGAGCTTAAAACGCAACAGTTTCTGACCAATGTACCTGCTTCAATCACCTTCCTACGGAGAACGTGTGTCTTCAGAGCGACATATATACCTGGTGATTATCAGTGACAACGGCCTATTTGCCGACTTTATGGGTGTCTTATCTATGTAAAATGACATGTGTGTTGTTGTTTCCCAGAGCGAGAGGCGTTGGAGACGCCCACCATAACACCTACTGGTTTTGATTGGACATGTGTCCTTTGTTATACCAATAAGATTGTATGTATTGTCAAGAAAGCCGACATATATTCAAAGTCACCGTTTACCTCCTTAGAACTGCTGCGGCGTAGAGTAACGAAGTTTTGAAAGGTGTGACGGCGAAGGGTCGGGCTCGAATCCCCACAAAGTACAATGTGTGAAGTTAATTCTTGGTGCCCCGTGCGGTAATATTGCAGAAATTATGCTGAAAGAAGCGCAAAACCACACTCACTCAGTCACTCACTCACTCACTGACTCATCCACTCATGGTGCTATGGTTAATTAGTCCCACATTTATGCTATCGAGTGTAAAACTAATTAGCATGAACATATAGCATTTATATATGTGTGTGTGTGGGAAGTAAGATCTATATACTATCTTTCTGGGGAAACCGTTATATTCTTGAAACCTACACAACTACAATTTTCACTACCTAGCGGTTTTTCACAGGAGATGTGAGTTATATTTCAACTTGTATGATCATGTAGATAAGACATTCAATGCATGTGGTTGGCTTATGCATTAACAGGTGCTCCCCAATTAGTAATTCGAGCTATTGTTATCTGTAAAGTGGGCACGTGACCCAGTGTCAAGACGCTGCAATGCACTGTGCTTTTTGAGTGAGTGAGTGAGTGAGTGAGTGAGTGCACCAGAAATGTGCTTCACGCATTGTACCTATGGGGAGAATCAAACCATACCCTGCGGTGTCATCACTATCACCACGAGGTTACTTCACGCCCCAGTAGCTCTATTGAAGTAAACAAGTGATTTTGAATATGATATGGAGCCTTTCTCCTTGACAACGTATATAAGGTACAAGTATCATTGTCAAATCGTAACGAGTCGGCGTTATGGTGGGCGTCCCCAAATGTTCTTCACACGGTGAAAAAACCAACACACATGTTATGACACTGATAAGACACCAATAGAACCAGCACGAAGGTCGATCCTCTGTCACCCTACAGACACGCGGCTTTGAAGGTTCAGAGTTGTGTCTGAAATAACTTTAGAATTAATATCGTTGGGGTACAAACTAAGGAGGGAAGTACACACTAGACACACTTTAGTTCAATCTCAAAAAGGTTTGAAAAGACGAATTCCTCTTGTTTCTATTACTGGAAACGATTATGTCTTATATCGTTTACAAACTAAGGTTTTCATAATTTCTCGGTTGGTCAGCATCTTACCCGATCTCGTGGTTTCAACCATAATGATAAACGACTAACACCTGCATCAAGCTGCGCTGTCCTCACACATTAAGCTGACATGACCTGATATTATTGAAATATTGTTCAAATCTGCGTTAAAGAAAATTCACTCACTGTGTCCGCATTTGTGTCAGATATGGAAGGCACAACAAAAACATGTTAGGTTAGGCAAGCAACTATATACACTATCTAAGATATAACACAACAAAGTAAGACTCGGCACACAATGAACATATACTTTAGATGTCATGGTTTGGTTGTCCAAATAAAACATAACTGTTTGTATTTTATTGATACCAAATGAAAGTTGATTAGTGATTGGTATGTCTCTCTCAGGAAACCAAGGTGCCACATTCTACCAAAACCGTAGTCTCAAGAAGGCTACCATATGTAACGTATGTGACAGATGTTACCCCCAGGTGAGGTCATAGGTTATCTCTCTTTTCAGCGGATCACAATGAAAATTTACTACAGGTAAACAGCTCACGCCACCAGGGCATACATCAGAAAACTGTGACGTACCTGGAGAGTTTCGGCATTTGGCCCCGTGCCCCCTGGCTGTCAACACATATGCCGGGAGCATGTACTCTGGGAGAGCCTTCTGCAAGCTCAAGAAAATGTCTAAGAACAAGAGTGAGCATTCGCTTCCACTGGGCTCTAAGCAGTCTTCACGTCTTCATGCTTAACTATTTATTTACTCTTTCCATCAAGAAGTCTACTATTTACGTGGGTATATATTATCTGTAGATGATAATCATCATATTTCATGGTCGAGACATTTGTCACCGTATATCAAGTATTGAGGCTGACCTTACTTTACCGATATGACCTGTTTGACTTATCAATTAAAGCATAGCTTAAACGTTCATTGACGTTCAGAATTAAAAGGGAAACCAATGTTCTCTTTGGTCTTTGACGCCTTTTCACCTAATATTGTTTTTTTACAAGGATAAGTTTGTGTACTCACGAAACGCTTATCACATCTTGTATTACACCGAAATACGTATAAAATCTTTGACAGTTGACAGTTCATTAATATACCATGGTGATCCAAAGTAGTTCCCAAACACATACCAAGCAATGTTTGTATTGTGCAGGTGGTAAGAAGCATTGGGATGTGAATACTGATGCCAACGAGAAAAAGACCGAAGTGAAATCTGAACCAATCGACATACTGACGACGGCCTACGACCTAATGACCTTCGTCTCCCGCAATAAGTTCGGCCCTGGAATGGGCATTATGCGCTGGCTGTCGGCGCAGAGGAACCAAAGGGGTGGATTTATATCCACTCAGGTGACTTTGATACTTTTGAACTCGATAACTCAGATATTTAGTTCAGGTCAACACTGCTTACACTCTCTTTCATATTGCCCCTTAGAATTGCCTGGCCAGTAGTGTTTGCCATTTTGAATCTTCACTGTAACATTTAACAAAATGGCCACAAAGATCAATTTAAGTTGTTCTGTGTATTTGGGCTTGAGATAAGCAGACACAATGCGATCTTCTGACACAGTCATCATTCTTTGTCATGCGATTAAATGTACACTGATAAAATTGTGTTTGTCTTTACAGGGATTGCCACAGTCATTGTTTTAATTGTATCATGGTGGCCTGTAAATAATCTAGCCCGAAACCGGCAACCAGTGACTGACAGCTCAAGCAGATATACACGCTTGATGACATGCAATCAGCCAAGTCTGACCATCCAATCCAGTTCAGACGACTCTGGGCACATGTTACTGGGGAATAATTTTACCTGGAATCCCCACAGAGGAGTCTTCATAGTACATTGTGAATTGTAACCAACCATTGTATATTGGTAAGGATCTAAGATTGCATCATTGAAATGCTTCAGGATACGACTGTGTCCCTCGAGGCTCTCACCCTGTTCATGGTTGGCGCACAGCCTGACAACTACAACGTCAGACTCCAACTCACAGCCGGGGATGAAGTCAGGACCGTCACCGTCAACAACAACAACGCCCTCGTCCTACAGAGCATCGACGTTAGTTACCCCTGCACAGTTTCATCGATACCGATAACATAACGTTGAAGAAACATTTCGAAACGTATATGTGTGGGGGTGAGTTGGGTTTAACGCCGCTTTTAACAATATTCCAGTTGTATCACGGCGTTTACATGAAGCCCTACTCTGAGATACATGCCGAAGACTTATTCTGTCATTAATCAGCCTAACTACTTTATTATTTCAGACTCACGGTCGTGCACTGTAAATCATGAAACTAATGCGTCACCAAATATATGCGAGTGTCGACCACTAGCCGAGAATGTGTCATGAATGAATGCGAGTAGCCCTGACTATAAAACTATAAAAACAACTAATCGGCATATTTCAAGATTTACAATATGTACAGCTTTGTTGCTGTTAAACAGCATGTCATGTTTTCTAATGTTTATGAGGCATTCAATTTCTGAATTTCAGCTTATGTCCATTCCACCCGAGTTGAAGGTTTCCGCAGAAGGCACTGGGTTTGCTGTTGTTGAGGTACAATATCTTTGTACGGGCATGTCTATTAAATTATATCAATTAGGTCATCGCTATGTGGCTGAAATAATGCCGATGCGACGTTAAATCTTAACTCAATAACATAAGGACATGCTTATAAATATACAGAATGCTAACATATAGCTGAACTGTAATTTATAAAGTTACAGTTCACGTTGATTTTGTCGTCACATTTTCACATGCTATTGTCTTTCGTTCCTAGCTTGGCCTGTTTTACAACGTAGAGTCTTTGGGTGACGCCAGCGACGTATTTGATGTCAGCACGGTGCTTCTCGACGACACCACCAACGGCTTTACTCTAATGACATGTGCCAAGTATGTGTTTCTATCATGTCTTTATAATATGGGGTGCACAGGTGGCCCAGTCGTGTAAAGTGCCACTCGTCACTGTGCAGATATGCATCCCTGTTCCGTGTCAAAAACCTTTGATCGTGGGTTTGAAACTCATGTACGCCCTCAAATATTTCTGGGTTTTTCAACACTGTACTGAGTTGGTGGGTTTCATCCGAAGTGGTAAACGTCTAAGACCTGCATCACTGTAAACTTTCCTCCCACATTACGCTGACACGACGTGATATACCTGGAATGCTTTTCCCTCACTGAAGAGCAAGACTAGTTTTAAACGGCACCTCTTCTTATTCCACATGTGGACACCACAATCTGTCAGTTAATTAATAAGGATTATAGTAACTGTCACATATTTACTTTCAAAGACATCTCCAGGACGGTTCGAGTGGGGTGTGTGTTGAGACCATCCAGATTCCATCCGGGTTTACAGCTGATCTCTCCAGTGCAGGCAACATAGTGGGACTTAAACGCCTAGAACAGACAGACGGTCAAGTCGTCGCCTACTTTGATTCGGTAAGTTTTTACTGTGCTACAGGCTGATGGTAATATGTGAGTATAGTTCAATGAATATTCGCAAATATTTGTGAATAAGCCGGAAGTTGAATAGTTGACCTCTGCAACAATAAATCTTGGCCAATGATATTCAGAGAATGTCTATGCTGGGTTGACAATGCCGCAAGATCTCCTGTTGTGGGTGAGGTTAACATCCCCATGGCGTCATTGAGTCATGGACCTTCGCCAAACATACGTTGTATTCTGTGTAGGTTGGGAAGACCTCTACATGCATGAAGCTGTCTTGCTCCAGGACGAACATGGTGGCCAAGAACAAACCTGCCTACATTTCCATGGTGGACTATTACAAGCCGGGTACGTTCCGTGATATTATTACTGACCCCATGTGGACTCTTTCAAGATAACAGGCATGATAACAACATTATCATGATAAAGATTCAGGATTTAAGCCGGCTCTGGGTTTGAGTTGCATAAGATGATATATTCATGTTGTTATGACAACATACAAGTATTGGATGTTAGATGACATACTAAATAAACCACTAAAACACAATTGATGGTTTATTTCACATCAAATTTAACTTAAACCAATCCAATGTGACACTGATAACAACTCACTTCCCTCACCCTTCCTTTCCTCAGCCTTAATCTATACTTGATCAACACCTACCTTATGTTTTAGGCTACGATTGTAGACATGAGGCAGCCCTGATATTTAGTCTGCCTAGGCATGTTCCTCTCGTGGATTCGAATCCGCTTTTGTACTGTGTCTGGTCTATCTGATCCCCATCTGGGTTTCAGTCTGCCCTTGTCCCATGTCTCGCCTGTATCTGACCCTTACCTCGGTTTGAGTCCTTCCCTTGAAAGTGTCACAGATTTGTGTATTCTGTCCTTGTGGTCCATTGTCGTGTATTGTTTTGCGAATGACAACACCGTGGTCCCAAATCATATTTTACGGGTAACTAATAATGTGGACGTTAAGCATTATGCGATTTTACAGATGATAACAATGTGATTTCTTATAATGTCTTATGGCTTACAGATGATAGCACTGTGGTCTCCTACCATCCTCGTAAACTTCAGAAGTCAAGTGTCTGCGAGATATGTCCCCAGTGTTCCGGCTGTAGTCAACGGGTAAGTCACGTTGAATCGCACCTAGGACAATGGTACTTCACACTTCTAACCTCACCCACTAGAGATTAGGGGACCCAATGGAATCAGATCAGGTCATGCCTTCCGTGAGTCTCAATTGCTGTTAAGACAAAGTGTCAAAATGGATGCCATCTGCGGGTTGTGGTTGGGCCTCAACGTGTAAGACAATATCCGGAACTTTTCAACTGAAGGACATGATTCACATTGAATGTACACTCCCCCATGAGGAACCTGGGAGGAAATGGTGCCTAAACAATCCATGCCTTTTGTAAAAGATAGATGTGTTACCAACGACCGTTGTGCATTATCATTGGTCCATGTTTGCGCCAACGTACTACAGACCGCCACGGCTGCATATCGTACGTCATACTATCCTAATCACCAGGGCTGATGTCCACACTGTGGATCGACGGTTTCCAATATCATCTCAAATACCCGAGACACGGTTTAAACTCCCTTCACTCACAGTTCAATGTGTAGACCTCGTCTATTCTTTGTTAATGGGTTATAACAATAATTCCACTAAACCATATTATTGATGCTTTGGACAAGTCTCAAAGATACTCTATTCCAGTTTCTAGATTCAGTTGGGACTACTAGTCATTAAATATTCTGGGAGGGTGTTTTTTCTATTGAAACAGGTTACTTTCAGGCAACTTTTCCAATACAAATTGTTTACTGACAGTGGAAGCCGAACATTGTTTTGTTGATAAAACATCTCTTTTCAGGACTGCCAACATATCCAAATATTACAAACATTTGTGAATACTGTGTCATCATCATATAAATCATTTGTTTTCACTAATCTTTCAATAGATGTTATACGCATTATGCCACGAATTGTTTTCATTCGAACATTTTGCATGAACAGGGTACCTTTCATTATTCTAGGTTTTAATCAACGATAATATGGTAGATAATACCAGATATATCCTGTGTTGTTGAGAGTATAGTACAAGACATACCAGGAATCATTAATATCGCCAGAATAAGCAACTCATTGCATAACATAGGGCGCCTTCATCTACACTTTTCTGTAAGGCAAGGAGAGACTAATCTGAATGTATGTATTCTGTTGCAGTCCTAGACAACGTGGACAAATGGAGTTAACAGATCAGCCTGACGTTTCAACAATACACACAGCTTATAACTGCTCTAGTGTCGGAAGTTGAAATATTACAGTGACAATGTTTGATGACATTCCTGTGTATTTTTATATCGGAATATACCTCCCAATAACTGTATCCCAACCTGCCTGAAGTTGACGCAGAGATCCAGCAGAACCCGTGCAAGGTTCTATCTGGGAGATGATCGCCATGACACTCTGGTGCGGGTTAACTATGAAACAAATATGCCTGACGCTCATACAATATAACATCGGCCAAATATTTTATATTGAAATATATTTTATAGCTTAATTGCATAATGCCCGTACACAATTACCAATGCCGATTGCTTGCTCTAGATTCAGTTCCATATATTATTTCAAAATCATTGGTGTCTCTCACTTTGTTCACACATCAGGGCAAATAACCTGCCCATTAATGGAAAGCTGGATACATGGCTTGGACCGTAAATAAAGTCTCAGCAGTGCTGTATTTCTTTGGAGAATCATGTTTGTTGTTCTTCGTCCTTAAAACGTTAAGTGAGCATAGTATGTCAAATATGAAATTAGAAAAGCTACTAAGATTTACTCAACGTTGACGTCACATGGTTAAGTTCCCACTGCATCGCATATGAAACCATACAGGTATACCATCTACATAAAGCATTGTCTGATAGCGAGGATACTGGATCTCTACATAAACAGAGTGACCCATTTAGTCAGTTGACTGCACTTTGCAAAATACGACAAACTCGTTAACCTTTCTTATTCATGCGTTTATTTTATATTAAACTGTCGCATCGGTCTTCTCCATCCTTACGCCTGAAAATATATATCAAGGCATTTTAAGTGAGTCAAACAATAATCATCATTTATCATTCACTTTATAAAGTAGATACGAAGGTCATTTCAGTTTAAGCAGTTCGTAGTTGAACAAATATAATTTCTTAAACAATAAAGATGTCGATTGTTTGAAATTGTGTAAATGTTCATTGAATCTATAGATATAGTATGTTTGTATTTTTTTATAATTATATATAATGTCTACCTATGACCTTACCTGGGGACAGCACTTGTCACACACATTACATATGGTTGCCTTCTTGAGACTTCGGGTTTGGTAGAATGTGGCACCTTGGCTACCTGAGAGAGACATACCAATCACTCATCAACTTTTATTTGGATATCAATAAAATATAAACAGTTATGTTCCAATTAGACAGCAGACCTAACATACCCAGACATGTTATATACCCATGTATAGTTGTACCTTTGTCAATTACAATTTCACGTGAATACTGCAACAGGTGTTAACATTTCTAATTCAATATTGGCTAATCTCCTAAAAATACAGTAATTGTATAAACAGTTTACTTCCATGAAATGATCACATTATATCTCGTAAACATAAATTATGATCCTCTTCAAAAGTACCAACAGTTAATCAAGTGCTTGATCTCCGTACTTACTTGGCTGGTAGTAGTCATAGACCGTGACGTAGCTGGGCTGGTTGTTCGTCACCATGCCGGTTCTGGTGGAGAGGACATCGAAACAGATGGAAGTTGTGCCGATCTGAAATATGTTACATGTGATGATCAGATTGATTCTCATGAATGACTTTAGTCTCTCAATACTGGGATAAGATACACATATCAAGTTGAACTCACTTCATCAAAGTAAACAACGACGTTCCTGCCTCGTCTTTCAACTCTTTTTAGGCCAGCGACGTTCCCAATTGACGTCATATCCGGATCAAAGCCTGATTGGATCGATATTTCCATAACCGCCATGCCACTTGATCCTTTCTTCAACCACCTAATCGAGAAAAGATTTAAAACACTTTTTTAAAAGCGTTGATCATACTGCAAAGGGTTTTATCGCTGCTATTAATGTATAATGACTTTTTAGATCAACCAACCATGTGTGGATTCTTGGTTCCCGATAACCTCTGCTGGTCGTAAGTGACCACTAAATGGCTTGATGACTCATATTACCAATAGCTGGTTAGTCTGATACTGACCATATATTTACAGAAATGTTTTACAAACCGCCATCATTTAGTAACAAGCAACAAACAAGCAACTGCGAGATGTGCAATGTTGGCATGTCCTTACTTGGTGCAGGTCATGAGTCTGAAGTTGTTGATGGTGTCATCAAGCAGCACGGTGTTGATGTCAAAGGATGGGTTTCCGATCTCAGGCTCCACGTTGAAGAACACATCAACCTTGACACGGAAGGATTTCATCCTTTATTATTTTGTATTCGGAGAGGGGTGGGGATAGGTGGGGGTGGGGATAAAGCATGATGTTTACGAGCACATTGTTTCAAACACGCATTCGTTTACGTTAAATCTTAAAATCATGTATAAATAAATAATTTAATTTAGTAAATTGGTAGCACAGTTTTTACATGCAAATGAAGCGAAGAATTTCTTTAGGAGGATAAAACCTGAGGACAAGTTTCTCTCTTCTGGAACAATTTTTGTCAAAGACATCACTATATTTTAATTTATTTAAATTCAAATGTTTATTTATGTGAGCTCATTGACCCACATGAAGTGCAAACAATACAATGCAGGATTATTTTACAAAAACATTAAAATGTTTTGTACATTTCTGCCCTTTAAGGCATATTTAAAATATAATATAACGTATGTTTATCTTGGTAATTGGGAGGGCACGGGTGGCCAAGTCGTCTAAGGCGCCGTGTTAGGCTATGCAGTCCCTTGGGTACGCCAGAAACATATGATTGTGGGTTCGAATCCCGCTTCGCCACGATTATGTTTCTAGGTTTTGACAGCACCATACCTGTGCTCGTGGGTTTTACCGAAGTGGTAAACGTCTGGGACCTGTATCACTTCGGGCTTCCCTCCCACTTTAAGCTGTCATGCCGTGATATAACTGGAATACTGTTAAAAGCGGCGTTAAACTCAAACTCACTCACTCACTTGATAATTGGTGGGTGCCATAAGGAGAATAAATTGATATCTCACCTCTGCATAAGCAACGCCTTTACCAGTGGCGGCGAGAGATACTTCCTTCGGGAATGACGTCAGCTGTGGAAAAACACGAGATATACTGAGGTACATCCTGGACTTGTACCTTTAGAGAGTGTGTGTGTGTGTGTGTGTGTGTGTGTGTGTGTGTGTGTGTGTGTGTGTGTGTGTGCATTGCCCCATTTTGTGCAACCACTGCTTTTGAGAAGTTCATTTCAGTTGCGATTAAAAACTTGATACATGAAGGTATTTGTTAGACTTCGATATGAGCTATTTAAAAGCCTACCTCTCTCGTCTGCAGAACCAGTGCGTTGCTGTCAGTCACAGACACGTGTTGGTTGTTACTTCCGCTCTTGATGTCAACCTCTACGTGGAAATCGGAAGTATGCGCACGGCGTGCGTAGTCAGTGAGAGCGTGCAGTGCCACCATGGTGTCCTATGAATCCATATGATTTCAGATTCAATGAGTTGACATTAAAGTATAGATAATTAAACACAGATGTGGGGAGAGTCATACAGTGTCCGATTGCTACATCGCACAAATTATACACGAACCTTCCTTTCCTCTTTATACTGATCGACGTGGTGCGAATCCCTGCTTCGCCTGTATTATGATCTGCGGTATGTCGTCGCTATGTCTGTTCTATTTGGGTTTGTTTGTGAACCAAACGTCTGGGACCTGTGTCACTTTAGAATGCCTTTCCCACACTAAGCTTAAACACAATGTTCCAAATGAATTACTTTTCAGCCAACATATGATAAACCCAATTCATTCATTCCAACCAGATCAAGCTAGGTCTGTTGCAAGTAGAATTGCTAACTTTTTTTGACCTCTCAACATTTGACTTACGTGCACATTAGACCACTGACCTGCGTTGAGGAGAAGCCACCATACGGGTTCCTCTGGGACATCAGCCAGTTCGTGATTGGAAGACCTCCCTTCAGATCACCGCGTGCAGAGGACGCCAGGAGGGCATAAGCCGTTGTCTGGATGTCAATTGCCTGGGCACGTGTGTGTGGAGGAGACCATTTTGTGTAGTAACTGGAGGAGACTGTAGTGGGTTCGATCCAGTGTTTGAGTGTACCTGATAGGGTGCAAAAACAATATCATGAGCACACCTCTTCAGCAAACATACCATGTTGTGTCAAAGACATCAAAACAACATACAGACAACATAAAGACAATGTACCTGAGGGATTCATTTGATCTTGCTTTTCAATCAGGCTGATAAGGCTGACAAATAAGAATGTAGTGAATTTGTGTGATCAATTTATTAATAATTTACCTTGAACCTCAGCTGCAGCGTTGAGTTTGTTGAATGTGACATCTGCTACCGAACTCCCGGCCTCTGACAAGGCGTAGCTAACAATGGCGAGAGTGAAGGGGTCCGTGATGGAGGGGGCCACTAACTCCAGGTAATTCGCGGCATTCACGGTGGCGTTTCCCAGCGTGTACTGATTAATCTATTCATAGAAATGTCTATGTTTTTGGTGTGTAAAGCCCATTTCTAGTGTACCCTGCTGTGATATTGCTGGAATATTGCTAAAAGCGGCGTAAAACCATACGCACTCACTCACTGCTGTTGTTTATTTCTGATGTTTTATTGTTTTATTTGTTTGGGACAGCCATGACTACATTCAGTTATCGCATTACAAAGCCATGCTTGTCGTAAAAAGCGACTAACGGGATCAGGCTTGCTGACTCGATTGATTCATGTCATCGAACCCATTTGAGTGGATCGATGCTCATGATATTAATCACTGGATTGTCTGGTCCAGACTCGATTATTTAGAGACCGCCGTCATATAGCTGGAATATTGCTGAGTACAAAGCCTTAGAGAACAGTGACTCGTACTTACTCCATAACCACTAATGTCTTGGTTCTCAATGAAGGCGAGCAGCGCTATGGCAGTCAGTGAAGCTTTGGAGCTCTAAAATTAAACAAAGAAACACAATCCAATATGACATACATCAGACACGTGCAGCCCTAACTAATTGTATGTCATGTCAGTGTGAAAGCAGTAGTTCATTTGTAGTCAGTTTCTCTTGACTGCACAATTTGTATGGACGCTTATTGAGTGAATAGTGACCACAGCAAGTACCTTCATCTGTCTGTCAAACACAAGTCCAGGCTCAATTAAGGACCCATCCAAATTCTGCCTGTCTGTCATCCAGCTGAGTGCCCGTCCTAGAGTCTGGTTGCCCACAAAGATGTAGGGTCTGGCCTGATGGAAAGTTCGAGCTACAATGCAGTCAGCCTGAGGATCATTAACCAAGGTGGAATGTTAAAATCAAGCCAATATGAAAAATAAAAGAAACTGTTTAAAATTCATTACACAAAGCAATTTCAAAATTGCTCTTTCTCGTTTTCGTTTACGTTGTCATGATCTGAAAATGGAGCATGGGCGTATCACTTCAATATACCTAGAAATGTAAGAAAATGTAAACTGTAGCTTAAACAGCATTGAAAATGCATTCCTCTTTCTTAACTGTGTCCAGCATATGCACAT